TGAACTCCTGGCCTCAAGTGATATGCCCACCTCGGCCTCCCAAAGTGCTGGGATTACAGGCTAAAGGTACATCTGTATAGGACACTTATGAATGGAGCTTATGGGACTGGAAGTTGCCCTGGGTGAGTCAGTGAGTGAATGGTGAGTGAATGGTGAGTGAATGTGAAGGCCTAGGGCATTACTTTACACTACTGTAGTCTTTATAAACACTGTACACAGGCTACATTGAATTTATTAAAATATTTTTCTTTCTTCAATAATAAATATTAGCTTATCGAAACATTTTTACTTTGTAAACTTCTTTTAACTTTTTGACTTTTGTACTAACACTTAGATTAAAACACAAACATACAGTTATACAAAAGCTTTTTCTTTCTTTATATCCTTAATCCATAAGCATTTTTCTATTAAAAATTTTTTTAACTTTTTTACTTTTAAAACTTTTTAAAAAAAACCTAAACCACAAAACACATTAACCTAGGCCTACACAGTTTCAGGATCATCAGTATCACTGTCTTCCACCTCCACATTTTGTCCCACTGGAAGGTCTTCAGAACAAAAACATGCACGAAGCTGTCATCTCCTATGATAACAATACCTCCTGAAGGACTTGCCTGAGGCTGTTTTACAGTTAACTTTTTTTTCTTTCAATAAGTAGAAGGAGTACACTCTAGCATAATGATAAAAAGTGTAGAGCCGGGCACAGTGGCTCACGCCTGTAATCCCAGCACTTTGGGAGGCCAAGACGGGCGGATTGCTTGAGATTAGGAGTTTGAGACCAGCCTGGCAAACATGGTGAAACCCCAGCTCTACTAAAAATACAAAAATTAGCAGGGCATGGTGGCGCACGCCTGTAGTCCCAGCTACTCAGGAGGCTGAGGCAGGAGAATTGTTTGAACCCAGAAGGCAGAGGTTGCAGTGAGTCGAGATCATGCCATTGTATTCCAGTGTGGACAACAGAGCAGGACTCTGTCTCAAAAAAAAAAAGTATATGTAGTGTAGGAAATATATAAACCAATCAGTAACATAGTCATTTGCTATCATTATTAAGTATTATGTATTGTATGTAATTGTTGTGTTATATGGTACTTTAATATGACTGGGAGCAGAGTAGGTTTGTTTATACCACAAACATGAGAGTAATGTGTTGTATTACAATGTTGTGATGGCTATGAGGTAACTAGGTGACAGGAAGTTTTCAGCTCCATTACAATCTTGTGGGACCTCTGATATCTATGTGGTCACATATGTGGTCCACTGTTACCTGAAACACCGTTACGAAGCACGTGACTGCATGTGTGTGTATATATACACACACATTCATATATATTTATGTATATTGGGGAAAATGTATTTCTCACGATGGGGAGCAGTCAAAAAAAAGCTTAAAACAAATTAAATGAGATCTCAGATCGCTTTCATCTGTGGCCTTCCTCTAAGTTGTGGGGGTGCTACAGCAGCACGGATTAGGGTGCGAGGAAGGCCTGTGTGGGAGAGAAACTATGCCGAGAGCTTTACCTGACTCACTGTGGTTCTTGGGCTGCCTTTTACTTGATAAGTCAGTATCACTCCTCTAAGAAAGGGTAGTGCTCCAATGTCTACATTCATCCAAAATGTCATTGCTAGAAGTAGAACCAATCCAAGGGTGTGAGGGTGTTTCAAATGGGGCTAATAACAAACTCACGGGGTTGGTATAAGGATTCAATGTAGATATAGTACCTTAAATTAAGAAGTGTTATACACTGCTATGACACTATATTTTTGTCTGTATTCTCTTTTTTTTTTTTTTTAAATAGAGATGAGGACTCGCTATGTTGCCCGGGTTGGTCTCAAATTACTCCTGGGCTCAAGCAATCCTTCTCCCTTGGCCTCCCAAACTGTAGGGATTACAGGTGTGAGCCACCACGCCCAGCCTTGTAGTCTCTCATTCTTGTGGCTGGTACCACCATCCCAGGCTTGCTTTGGGACAAGCTCCATTATGTTGCCAACCATACCACCAATTGTTACATTTTGTGAATGTACTGGTGGTGGCACAAGAACTAAAGGAAACAAACACCAAGGCCACAGTAGGACAGGAAAGATAGGGCTCAGAACCTTGGATTGCTTGGATGACTCTTGATTTCCACATCAGAAAAATCTATTGTATTTAGGTTTCCTGGTGAAAATTCTAACTTGCTAGTACAATAACCCGTTAGCTGCCAAGAGTTATGGCTACGTAAACACACTGCTACTTTTTAAAGAATTAGGATATATAATACAATTAGCATTTTAAAACAAAAGTAATTGAATATGATGATTCAGCTAGCCCTTCAGAATCAGGCAGTGCCTCAGGGTCATGATGTAGATGGCTCATGCCTGTAATCCCAGCACTTTGGGAGGCTGAGGCAGATGGATCATGAGGTCAGGGATTCGAGACCAGCCTGGCCAATATGGTGAAACCCTGTCTCTACTACAATTAAAAAATTAGCTGGGTATGTTGGCGCGTGCCTGTAGGCCTAGCTACTTGGGAGGCTGAGGCAGGAGAATCCCTCGAACCTGGGAGAGGGAGGTTGCAGTGAGCCGAGATCACACCACTGCACTCCAGCCTGGGCAACAGAATGAGACTTTGTCTCAAAAAAAAAAAAAAAAAAAAAAAAGGGCATTGGTTAGTAGTGACCTGCTTTTAAAAGGATGATGCTGGATAACCAACTTACTTGGAGTTTAAATTCTGGTTCATTTATTTCCTAATTTGGTTAGGACTCTGCATATTTTGCCTTTACATATGATCAATTGCATTCAATCTATAGTTGAAAGAGACCTCAGGATGATCTGGTCCTCTGATCTGATGCTTAAATTACTTCTGATTTATTCAACAAATAGATAATATGCACATACCACACACTAAGCTCTATTCCTTGCATTGGGATAGAGTCATGAAAAAAATCCTTTCCCTCATGGAATTCACATTCTCAAGGGTCAACCATCAAGGGTTGGTAGCCTCTGTCTGAACCTCTCTATCAAAGGAGATCTCATTTTAGGAGATAATCCAGTACATCTTTAGATATCAGTTTTTGTTGTCAATTTCACTTGCTTGTCTCATTTGGAATTAATGCAAGCCCACTTCTCCATGACAGTCACTCAGATATCTGAAGGCAGTTCTTAGGTCCAACTTCGCTTCCCACCTCTATCCCCAATCCCTGCCCCTGGATGTTCTCTTTTCCAAGTCAAGAATCCTCCAGTCCCTCAAGCATTCCTTCTGGGTCAGCTTCTTGCTCCACTTTCCTCTGAAGGTGGTAAGATTGTGTATGTTGTTCTTAAGAGTGCCTTGTTAGACTTAGTGCCAACCTACTGGATTATTGTTTCTCAGTGCTAGATACATACCTGACACTCTGCTCAGTGATGCTGGCATTGGGCTCTGCGATCGGCACTGCTGCTTTGCCAGCTGCTTTCCTGCAGAAGGAAAGAGGACTTGCCCTTCCTGTTTTGGTCACTGTTGCTGCCGGTGTCCCAGGGGCACTGGTTCTCACCCTGGCAGAGGCAGCTGGCTTCATTCATTCTTCGGCTTCTTCCTCTAGCATTCCTAGAACCACCATCGGGAGAGCGCCCCCTTCTCAGAGGTCTGAATCCCAGTTCTGTGGGGGCTCTTTTTCTAAGTTCCTAAGGATCTTTCTGGATAACTTCATCTTCTCTAAAGGCTTCAGCCCATATGGCAATGACTCTCAGATCTGTATTTCCCTCCCATACCTCTCTCCAACACGATGTATCCCATAGACAGTCACCTTGAAAACCATGATGGCTGAGTCTGAACTTGAATTTCATGCTTCCCTCTTCAGTCATTAGAAACCTGGGATTTGTTGCTTCTTCTCTCCTCCTCACCCATCCACAGCCAATCTCAAGTGCAGGCCATTTACACGAGTATTTCTGAGATCTGTTCCCTCCTTTCCATTTCCACAAAAACTGCACTAAAGAAGTCCCTTGCGATTCCTCACCCAAACTTCTTTCATAACCTCTAACTGATCTCTTTGTCCTCTGCTCTCTTCACGTCAATCCTACCAACAGAGGTCACGGATTTGGCCAGGGCTCAAACCCAGTTGCTTAGTTCCGCCCTCGCCTACTCCAGTTTCATCTTCTGTCTCTCCCTTATGTTTCAGCAACAGCATGTTTAACCCTCCATGCTGCTTGCCTGTCTTTACTTGCACTGTCCTTTCTGCCTTTCTCACACACGTACTTCACCTGGCTAACTGATGTAAGATTCGACTTAATGTCCCCTATCCGAAGGTGCCCCTGAACTTTCTCTACCACCACCCTTTCTTTGTCCTCCCCTCTACTTGGTGGCATATTTTATCACTGCGTGTAACACTCTGTGTTACAATACTCTTTCTTCCTCACCAGACAGTGATTTTAAAGGGCTATTCACAGATCATTACCACCAGAGACAACACTTGTCACGCACTGGGCTTTTAACGAATGGTTTTTTGGGGAAGGTGAACTTTAAGGAATCATTACTATAAACATAAACCAAATTATGTTCTTACGATCAAGAATGCCTTCACCAGACCCAAGACTACTCAGCAATAAGAAGAAATGAACTAGCAATACACACGATTTAGATGAATCTCCAGGGAATTATTCTGGAGTGAAAAAAAAATCACATACTGTATGACTCCATTAATGTAATATTCTTGAAATGATAAAAGTATAGACGTGGTTGCCCGGGGTTAAGAAGCATGTGAGGGCAAGAGGCAAGTAGGTGTGCCTATAAAAGGGAAACATAAGGGTGTATTTCGGGTCCTTGTGATGATAGAACTGTTCAGCATTGCAACCTTATGCATCTCAGTGTCCTGGTTGTGATACTGTACTACAGGTTTGCAAGATGTTACCTTTGGGGGGGAAATGGGTAAAGGGTACACAAGCTCTCTCTGTATTATTTTTTACAACTGCATGTGGATCTACAATTATCTCAAAATTAAAAGTTTAATTTTAAAAAAGATTTCCCACCAGAAAAAACACAGACTTCATACTTTTCTTCAAATGCATTCTTTTTATTTGAGAAGGACGATCTCAAGGCAGTGCCCTTTGGGAAAGATGTCTTTCATCATCACGTACATCAGGATCAACCATTACTTTCAGCAAAGTACAAAAATACACACATCAGTGACTTCCGTACAATAAATACATAATCATGCATCCCACAATAAAAGGCACCGAAAACTGGTCACTTAGTAGTCATAAAAATTACTAGCTACATTAACAAAGCCACCCAAATTATCTGTACAAGGAAATGTAACAATATATTCCAAAGGTGAAAACACATAAAACATCTTTAAAATAGTAGACAATAAATATATCAATTGTATATATTTTAAAAATTATGCCATTGTAAACAGCATGTAAACAAACAAAACTCACGTTGTCTTACCATTATTAAAAGTAATTAGAGCCAAAGTTATAACCTCTGCTCTGTCAGGTATATTTCACTGGCAAGTGTGCTAAGCAGTTGAAAGTTTCACTCTTTTCTGCAGCAAACAGAGCCCACTGTGTAATAAATAGATATTATCTGCATCTTTCAGACCCAAGTGCTTAGTTTCAAAACAGACTACCAAAATGTAGTAAATTCCTAACCATAAATAATACAGCAAGGCTAAATTTAAAATACCTTTTCCAATGTAAGGGACGAAAGGAACTATACTGTTGTGTTTTCAGCATGATGATAAACAGGAGGCAAATGATTTCTGGTTATCTTTATCGAAAGATAAAATGAATGTGCTGAATGTCAGGGTAGTGTCCAATCTTTTGAGCCTCCTCCTTTTGTGGACCTTGTACAAAGTCGAACAAAGAGTAAAGCTGTATCGCATTAAGAATTTTCTTTTGCTAGAGAACATAAGAAATGGATGATACTTAATATTGATGGGAAACAATGACTTCAAAACATGCTTATCAAACTGTGAATATACATACAAGTAGGCTTTTTCCATACTTACTGACAATAAAGATACAGCTTTTTCCTTCTCATTAAGGAATTCTATTGCCTAACCATCCATAAATATCTACAGAATTTCTTATAACTAAAAATATTTTTGTTTCACCTATATATTAGTGCCACATGGCAGACAAGTACTAGTAATATTTACTATATGCTTAGATACGTATGCTACCTGTTAAACATTATTACCGTCTACTCCTCATTCAAAATAATCAAGGAAACATCAACCTACATCTTCAAATGGAGCCTCTGAAGTATACCAGAAAGCATTACCTTTTCCCTTCTACTGTGGGTTTACCATGCACAACTCTTATATATTTTGGTGTGTGTGTGATCAATAGGGTTATATGCCTTCCTAAAATCAACTTTAAATGTGACTTCACATTCTACAGATCTATCAGTCACTGGGATCACATGTATGGCTGTGGAAAGAGGATTGATGAAATATGTACTTTACAAAACAGTCAAAATTATTGGTGGCTGACACAAAAATATAAAAATTGTAGACATAAAAATGGGATTACCTCTTTATGATAAAATAATTTGGTTAGTTTTTTTGGGTGGAAGGAGACTCCCCTGAAGTAACCTGAAAAAAACACTTGGTTTATAATAGTTCTCCTAATATCTTAAACAGATGGTGGAAAAATAACTGTGAAAACAAACTTGGACTCTACCAGACAGGAGCTGTCTTACTTTATTTGTATCCCCGGAATCTAACTGAGTGTCAAGTATACAGCAGGTAGAAAAGTCTATCAAGTGAATGAAGGAACAGGGCATTTCAGTTAATTACAAACATTTTAACTAAATTTTTTTTTGTTTGTTTTTGAGACAGAATGTCGTTCTGTTGCCCAGGCTGGAGTGCAGTGGTGCGATCGCAGCTCACTGCAACCTCCACCTCCTGGGTTCAAGCGATTCTCCTGCCTCAGCCTTCCGAGTAGCTGGGATTACAGGTGTGCCTCGCCATGCCTGGTTAGTTTTTGTATTTTTAGCAGAGACGAGGTTTCACCATATTGACTGGTCTCGAACTCCTGACCTCAGGTAATCCACCTGCTTCGGCCTCCCAAAGTGCTGGGATTACAGGCGTGAGCCACCGTGCCCAGCCCTGATATTTAATTTTAGAAATTATTAACTTGGAAAAGCTTTCTGTTAGCCTTTATGAGTATTTGGTGATATGGTAGAAAGGCTTTATCTAATCCCAAAGAAAAACAGGCCCATAGGTAGTAGTTTTTTTTTTTTAAGTCTTTATATTCTATAGAGGGTGATAATAGTCACAAGCCTTCTTACGTTTACATTAAAATAGTAACTCTAAATAACCTGAAATCACACAAACTCAGTCTATTTCCCCCCAGCTGAATATTATTTAAAAATCCCACCATCACTATTGCTTTTGATTCTTTCTTAAGTCTCATTATTGTCTGTAGGGAATCAGTATATGTATTATGTGGACTGTATACACTAAATGTCTACAAAAGAGAAAGATGATCTTTAGGGCATATTAACAAATTACAAATAAGAGTTTGGCAGTTATGTGAAAATTTCAGAAGCCTCATTTTGAGAAACAAGAATTCAGATTTGCCAATATTTTGGATTTACAGCTAACAGATGATTATTTTTCACAAAACAACTGCTCTTCCTTGCTGTTTATCTTCTGTTGGTTTGCCCGGAGTGCACACATGCTCATGAATGCACACTTACCTCATGTGGAGTTTCACGTGGAATTGTAAGCCTTTCTTTGTGAAAGTACACAAATACAGAGAAGTTTGGGTTTTATATTACCTTCATTCAAAAATGTTTATCAAAGTCCTACTATGTGTAGCTAGACACTGAGAATACAAATGGGAAGAGAGAAATTCAGTGGAGGAGACAGGTGTGTGTGTGTGTGTGTGTGTGTAATTGAAATGTTATGTTATTTTAACAGAAAAAGTTTCAATCTACTATAGGCATGGAAGAAATATCTGCCTAGGGAAGTCAGGTAGGGCTTCACAGAAAGTTAAATTTGAACTGAGTCTTGAACATGTTCATCTATGGCACGGGATTATGCCAAGGCACTAAATTATAAGTAGTTCCAAATTCCTGGATTACAAAAGTCAACAGAGGGAAGGTTGGTGAGGATACTAAAAAGAAAGAAGCAAGGTCATAGGTCCTCTTACTTAGGACCTCTTGCTATTGTGTAATTTATAGAAAAGAGAGCCTACTTAAGAACTTTTAGCAAATTTGTTTTAGAGAGACCACTCTGGTGGGAAAGAGTCAAAGCAGAAAAACTAGTTGTTGGAAAAAAAAAAAAAAAAAAAAAAAAAAAAAATAAAAAAAAAAAAAACCTATGGCAAAAGCAAAGGAGTGAAAAATGGTGAGGGTTTGTATGATGAAGGCCTGAAAGGCAGCAATGAAATCAACACTTTACTGAAACTAATGAGAAACACAGCATAAAATGAGAATTCAGCTTTTGACATAACCAAAAAATGAAACATGCAACTGCATAAATACTGAAAAAAAATTGATACAGAAAATGCTTTTGCTTACAAAATCCAAAGCCAAGATTAAGATTAAGCATTTGTGTTATTCCATACTTTAGTTTATGAGTTTCTTGGCAAAAGAACCTAATTTGCATAGTGTTGCTATGAAAACTGTGTCATCTTTCAAAAGCTTTCTGAAAGCTTTTCAAGTAAAAGGAGAGAAAACAAAAGAACTGTTCAAGTTTGTAATTCTCTCATTCTCATAATTATGTATATTTTTTTTAAAGTGCTGCACAATTATAATCTGTAAACAGAGCATGTTCTAATTAAAATTATAATTAATTTCAATTATACTGAGGTCACCTGTATGTCAGGTCATTATGGGAAGCAAATTCCCAGAAAAACAATTTCTTCCAGTCACTGTACCAAATCATTCTGGATTAATCATTTAGGGATCTATCATCATGAAAATTAAGTTGCGTCATTAAGACAAATCAAAATTTCATGGGGATGAACTCCAATCTTTTCCCCGTATCATATGGCATTCCAACATTTTTGGGGCAGTGAGATGCAACAGGAACTCCAAATTATCATATTATACTATAATAAATACTAGATTTAGCAAAGAAACCTTTAGGTCAAGAATCAGATAGTGAAGGAATTCAAATGTCATGTAAAGATCAAGCCATCGTTCCCTCACTCTCATGTATAACTAATATAATGATTTTAACTAGGTTATTCTACTTTCTAATTTAATTCCCTTAGTCATACCCAGAGTTCCATTAATTAATAAAGACAATCTCTAGTTGAGTTTCTTTATGGGAAGTTTTGAAAGTACTTTGCATGAAAGAATGCCATTCCACAGTCAGAGAACGCAGTCAGGGATCCATGCTCTGCATCAAACATTCAGAACTCAGTACAGAGAAAGGAATATCACATACTCCATCTTTTTAACTACTGGTTTAAAGAGACATTTTCCTCTTTGGGGAGTTAAACTAAGAAAAGATATGAAGGATTTAACTTAAAAAATATATTCACATCTATAACGTTGTTTGGCTTAAGTATAGAAAAATTTTTGAAGATATTAGAAGTGAGTTTTGGCCTATCCTAAAATGATTAATATGAACATGTAATACAACAGAGGAAAATACTCATAATCTACTCTGGTACAAATGCTATTAATTTTAACTTTACTTTCATTTTTAAATTGAACATCAGGGATATCAATTTGAACTTCTAATTTCCGTGCTATAGTCTGGGAAGCCTTTATTTATATCTAAAATGACAGTGGGAAAGAAATTGTAAAATTAGGTGTGATTCATACTTATATAATTCCTTTTGTAAAAGAAACGTTACCAAGTACTAACAGCTGATAATATTGTGTGCCATTTCTAACTGGGAACACCAAGTCACCAAAACATAACCTGTAGAGAGGACACAATGAGCCAATGCCATCAGTTACAGAACTTGATAAACCTAAACCATATTCCCATCTCTAGGTATTGTGAATTTTAATAATTGTTTTGTTGTTTCAGTGAAAGGAAAAAACCCATTTAGCAATTGTCATTGCTAATACATTTCAAGGCTTAGCAAGTTTAAGAAAATCTCCTTGGTCTGCAGGGTATGGTCTGATCCACATTTACTGGTGTTTTTCTATAGAACCAGCTAAGCGTGTCTGATTAGTTCTCCAGACGTTAATCACTGAGATGAGAAAGCACAGATACTTGCCGCATATCACAAACCCTTGTGTGGACTCCATCAAATGTCCTGAATGATTAGATGATCTGAACTACCTTCTTACTGACTTCTAAATTTCAACGGTAGGATGTGCTTCCTGAATTCACTAGTTATGCTAAGATCTAGATACAGTCTCGGACTTCATCAGTGTGGTATTTTTTGTTTTGTGGGTGTGTGCTCAACACACTATATAGCTCACGTCTGCTTTGTGTTTCTATCATATAAGGTGAAAGATATCTATGTTCAAACTATTTGTTCCCAAATCTTTGCCAAAAATTACCAACTCAAGTTCCTTTTTCCTGTAATTTCCATGTAATTTCTCTCACCGGTTTTCTTTTTTCCTCACCTCCAGTAACTGCTTGTGCAACAGTAAAATTAATATAAAGCTCTTTGCCTTTAAAATTAGAGTAAATTAATTATTAGTCTCCTATGGGTTCTTAAATAGCACACAATACATCAACTGCTAACACTGTAACAGAGAAGAAAACAAAGTTAGGGCTTATTAAAGCAATTTTCTTTGGTAAACCCATGCTTCACAATAAATCAAAACAGGTATTTTTTTCCTTCCTTGAAAACATGTGTTTTATTCTGTGTGGTATGTTGTGCCATTATGTTTTAAATTTTTAGTTTTTTAAACAGTTAAACTAAGAGTAATTTTAAGTAGAAATAATTCAAACAATTAAAAGCTCACTGACTAGACAGAAACAATTATCCATAATGGTTACTATCCCAGAACCAAATGCAAACGTATGTTAAAAATATCCACCCTGGAACCAAGAACTGCTAGATAAGTGATATTTTGAAGGGTTCAAAATTCTTTTTCTTCCCCAAGACAGAGTCTCGCTCTGTCGCTCAGGCTGGAGTACAGTGGCGAGATCTTGACTCAATGCAACCTCCACCTCCTGGGTTCAAGCGATTCTCCTTCCTCAGCCTCCTGAGTAGCTGGGATTACAGGCACCCACCACCACGCCTGGCTAATTTTTGTATTCTGTTGGCCAGGCTGGTCTCAAACTCCTGACCTCAGGTGATCTACCTCCCTCAGCTTTCCAAAGTGCTGGGATTACAAGCCTGAGCCACGGCACTTGGCTGGGGTTCAAGATTCCTAACGTTCATTTGAATGTCATATTGGCAGTACAATCACTAAGATCTTTTTTGAACTAAAACTGATAATTAGCTACAGAAAATAAGTTGTGACATGAAGATAAAATACATATTGGCAAAATATAACACACTGAATCCCTTGGCTACATTAAATCCTTAATATTGGTGATTTCATTTAGGCTTTATATTTTTTAAAAATATTTATTTTAAACATGAAACTTATTTTTTTTTAACAAGGTGTCTATTACTATTCCGCTATCTATGATGGTAAAGAATACAGTTTTTTAAAAGGAAAATAGTTGGGCATCTGTTTGACAGAAATGAGTACTTCAAGTGCATAAGTAAATCATCAACAGAACTATACACTCTAAGCAACAGCAGTAAAAAGGAAAAGAGCTAGAATATGTATTTCAGATAAGATTAAATTTCACAATATAATAAATAAATGCACCGATTTATACAACTTGTGAAAACCTTCTGATGATTACAAGTAATACTGTCTGTTACTGACTTTGCTGATACCAGCACTGCCTCACATAGAGGAATTCAAAGGTAAAATTCTTGTCCCTAATGCCACAAAATATACAAAGCTTTTATATTTGTTATTAAATATTTTGTCTGCCAAAAATCCTGCAAACTAAAATACATCTTGGCAGTTTGAATAGCCAGCATAATTATTTTGATATAAAAAGATAAGAAAAATTTTAATATGAAAATTAATAACAGCAAAAGGAGAAACCTGTTGTATAAATACACATTTTAACATAAAAGTGAGACTTATCTCACTTAAGAGGAAGAAAAACATTCGATACAATTTACTTGAAGATTTGAAAATAATTATATTTTCCCAGCTCTAGATAAATATATTACTTGAATTTACTAGTCATCTTCAATATACAATATATAACTCACAAAACTGGGAATGTTACAATACCAAAACCTTTCACAGCACTAGTTACCAGTTACCAGAACTGTAAGAAATATTTAGCTACATATCAGCTTAATACTTGGTATACAGAAATAGATATGGCTAAGCTGTGGGACACAATAGTGCAATCAAACATTAAGGACCACAAAATATATTCTTTTTCCTTTTTAGTTTGTATATATAACTGCATTATCCTACCTTAATGGCATTATCAACTGAGTATGAAACTTCTTTATTTTAATGCATTTTAAAAGTAACCCTTTTTTTTAGGTTTGGTTGATTTACTTTTGAAATGTAGTTCCTATGAAATACCCAGACTATTTATAAAATCCTATGCAATGAATAACTTGTAGCTAAAATGAAATATTTTATGTGAAGTTTTTAGTAACTTTTAAGTAGTAGCTTGGTTTTCATTTTTCCAAAACTTGGAAGTACATAAACAACTAAGAGAATATATAAATAATGTAAATAGAATATCTTAGTTACATGGAGGGAATTAATCTGTTCACCTATATTATGTAACATGGAGTTTATCATGAACAGAGTTTAACAGTCTCAGTCTGAGTTACCCTGTTAAACTTCTTTTCCTAAAAATATCAGAAATAATTATACAAATAGGTACAGTCCAGCTGTCTTTGATCTCTGTTCTCTACAATGATAAAACTTCATAGTTTTTCTTCTAACATAAATATCTCCAAACAAAACTTGGAAAAAAATAATAAGGAGAAAATAAGATAAGAAACAATTAACACTTTGTGTATTATAAAAACCAATAATCATCACATTTTAAAAATTGCAGTTACTTCTTTAGGAAGGCCTCCTATTACAAAGGCATCATATTACTGACTTGACACAGAGATTGCTATACAAAAGTCAATCAGGGGATGCCATAGAAGAGACAAGCCCCAAGCATCATGGCACTGGGGCAGGCAGTGAGAGGAGAGAAACCCATGGTAACCACGTGCTGTGGGGACTGCTCTGGGAGGCTACTCTATTGGCTAACAATTACTAGTGGAGGCATTTTCACTTCTCACTCTTCATTTCAGCTGATGTAAAGAATTTGGTGTTTTAAAACTGCCATTTGTATTATCAAACTTCAAATCCACTGTCTTACCCAACTTACATCTGAGACGCAGGATGAGTTAGTTGGAGTGGGGCATAGAGGGGGCGGACGGGAGAGATCCTAGATGTCAGGGTCAAGAGATGCATTGTTCTTATAGCTTAATTAAGGGCTATATCCTTAAAGAATTCATCTCCGTAGAGCATGAAAGTCCACTAGGTTGACAGCCCAGTTGGAGATAAAAGATGTTTTACTTTAGAAGTGCTGAAAAGTGGCAGCCCCTATAACTTTCTAAGTTATAGCTCTGCATGAATATTTTCTTCCTTGATTCCTGCTAAAAATAAGTTCCATGAAGACAAAAATATTGTCCTCATTATTAATAAAAATTAGCTAAAGCATCTCTAGGCAATTGTGTTTTGTTTGGTACATTATATCAATATGTAAAAGTTACTAAACGAAGGATTCCTGACAATAAGTCTCATTGGGAAAAATCTTATTATAGAATTAAATAAATTGTTATTTGGGGGTCAAGAATATGAAATATTGTTTTTCAGGCACTATTTTAAGGAATTACTAACCATGTGACCATCAAGATAAGTGAGCATAAGGAACACAGATCTAAATCTAGCAAAGCAAGCCTTTTTACAGGGCTTAAATGACATTCACTTTACTTGGAATCATTTTGGTTCATTCCTTTTTCTTTATTTTTTTGCATGCCTAACAGTTCATTCACTGTGTGTGTGCTGCTATGCGTCCTCATGCATGGGCTATGTCAACAACAACAATCTACTGATAAGAGAACATGAAAATGTACAAGTTGTAGGAGACTAACATGGTTTTAACTTATCTCAGTAAGTATTTTTCTGAAATGTTCCCTGTGATTACGTTGTGAACAAATGAACATGCCACATGTCAACAAACTGAGCAAACGTGGATTGTTAGTGACTTAGTGGTGGAGGGAGGGCTAGAGAAAGGCCAGCTGTGTTGGTCCGCCAATCTCCTGTGTCCCACTTTGGCTACCAAAATACAACCACTGGTAGGGAGGGCTCACCTAGAACCAGAATAAGGAATAAGGATTGAGAAGAAAACTCACCAAGGATGATGAATGAGTTTCATCTCATTGCTGGGATTAGCTGAAGAATGAATAGGAAACAGTGGATGAAGAAACAAGCTATTCCAGAGACCTTTTGAAGCCCTTGGACCTCATGTCCCTTAGAGCTAAGGATGGATAAAATGGATGTAGGCCAGTGCTAATCATTTGAGAAATTTTGCTAAAGGAAGACTTTGATTCAGTAGATCTGAAGTGGACCTGGAATTCTGCATTTCTGTAAGCTCCCAGGCTGCTGCCCCATGGATCACATTTTGAGTAGCAATGATCTACACCAGAGCTGTCCAATAGAATTTCTGCAGTGATGGAAATTTTCTACATCTGTACTGTCCACTGTGGTTACTGAACACCTGAAATGTAGTTGGTGCAACTGAGAAATGGAATTTCTAATTAGCTTAATTTTTTTAAAGAGTAGGGGTCTTGCTCTGCTGCCCAGGCTGGAGGGCAGTAGCATGACCATGGCTCACTGCAGCCTTGAACTCCTGGGCTCAAGCAATCCTCCCACCTCAGCCTTCAGAGTAGCTGGGACTACAGGCACATGCCACCATGCCTAGCTAGTTAAAAAAAATTTTTTTTTCAGAGACAGGGTCTCACTATGTTGCCCAGTCTGGTCTCAAACTCCTGGCCTCAAGCCATCCTCCCGCCTCAGCCTCCTGAGTCATCAGGATTACAGGCTTGTGCCACTGTGCCTGGCTTAATGAAATTCCATTTAAATTTAGATAGCCACATGTAGCTACAATATCAGACAGGATAGATCTAGATATTCATGGGTCATTTCTTGTCAGTAACAACAATATACATCACAGTCCCAAATGATCTAATCCATCAATTCATTTAGATTATCTAGCAAGTATCCTTTTATACAATGCAAGCTGTAAAATTAGTGTCTTTAAATTGTTTTCTTCCTAACACTTAAATGACCCACCATGTATGCTTAAGTGAGAAATGAAAGGGGTCATTTTGTAGTGGATTAATTGATGGGGAAAGGAAAGCAGAAAGCAGTGAGAATTTCAGCAACCATGACTGCATTGGGCATTGTGAAAATGAAGAGCCAGAATGTAGGAAAGAAACTCAGAAAGGGAGGTGAAGAGACCCTAAAGAGAAATACTGCATACTCAGGAATTTTATTTAGGTCTGATTCTGTCCCTTTACCTCCTTTAAAAGCAAGTTCTTCCTCAGGAAATGGAACTGAAAGAAAATATATTCTGGCTGATGCCCTCCCCTTCCCTGACCTCCCACCAGCCCCCATCCTCCAGGTGAAGGAGAGCCTATCCGGGAGAAGAGCTGACAATTCCAGCCATTACAGTCACTGCAGTCAGGTGCAGGTGGGAACTTCTGACCCCAGCTCATGCATGGATCAAAGCACAGAGGCCCCATCCCACTCCCCAAAGCTGTGATCCGATCCCATGGAGAAGCTCTTTCCTACTTTTTTTTTTTGGTAATCGCATCTACTACAAGAAGAGGGATTATTTATGATATTGACAGGGGCCTAAGGAGGCTCTGAAGACCCCCTCCTGGAAACAGGTGTCAGTGAAGTCATCTGGGCCCTGCACAGCCATGCAGAGACAAAGCATATAGAGAAAATTGCTCTCATTTAACAAAAAGTACATCCAAATTGTCATTTTATAGAATTTCCCCCATCCAAAGCCATTTGCAGGAAAATTCTGGCTAATTAAGGATTCCATTAAGAGACTCAGGCTCTACCAACTGAGCCGGCCAGAAATGCACTGTAGGATTCCATTAACTGAGACTTTACAGCATATACAAAAGATGTTACCTGCGAGTGAAAAGACTACCAAACAAACCAACAAAATTCAATCCTTCACATCACACTCTTAAATTTGGGACACGTCATAAGCTAGACTCTTTTCTATTAGCAAAGGGGGATGAGGGGTGAAAATCAAAAACTATTTATATTAATACATTCTTTATGCTAGAGTTCTTCCCCTTCTTGCCCTCACTTTTCATTTTTTTAGTAGAGATGGACAGAGATCTGCAATGTCAGAGAGTTCTGGGAACCTGGCACCTCTGTTAGGTTGCACAGGAAAGTGCTTACAGAACAGCACTTAGGTGGGACTATCAGAGGGGCTGAAAAAGGAGACCTCTGACTTCATAAGTGCAGATACAATTAGAATAATTGAGTAATTCATGACTATTTTTTTTTTTGAGATGGAGTCTTGCTCTGTCACCCAGGCTAGAGAGCAGTGGTATGATCTCAGCTTACTGCAACCTCCATCTCCTGGGTTCAAGCAATTCTCCTGCCTCAGCCTCCTGAGTAGCTGGGATTACAGGTGCCCGCCACCACACCCGGCTATGTTTTATATTTTCAGTAGAGATGGGGTTTCACTATACTGGTCAGGCTGGTCTTGAACTCCTGACCTCAGGTGATCTACCCACTTCAGCCTCCCAAAGTGGTGGGATTACATGCATGAGCCACAACGCCCAGCCTCATGACTCTTTTTAAACTACTTGATATAACTGTCTTTGGAAAATTTCCATTTATTTACAACTTAGGTAAAATATATAGTCAGACATACTTGGTCAGGAATCCCTCAGGGTCATTTATTCTAAAGACATCAAAATTTTGTGATTTTTACTAGTAGTTAAATACCCAAGTTATAAACAAGAGTAAAGTGTCAAACAGTTAAACTCCTTTGATATAATTAAATAATATGCCTGACAACAGTTCATTTTAAATGCTCGCCTATTAGTATTTCTCTTTAAACACTGGGAAATAATTGTCTAGAAAATTATCAGTGATGCTATATCACAAGATTATATGTATGTAGGTATATATACACATATAAATGTATATGTGTGTGTATATATACACACACATATATGTGTATATGTATATATCTGTGTGTGCATATATCTATTAAGAACCTAGCAGGCTGCTTCATAAAAATTATCACCACTGAGTCAGTACCCTGTTTATTTCTCTTATATACAATATTTTAAAATATTATAATTAATGTTTTGGTATATAATGGCTAAAGAAAGCTTATTTAAGGATATTTTTGTGACTTTTTGATATGTATGCCTTTGGCTTTCAAAGATTTGACCAGTGTAATGTTGACTTCTAATAAGCTACACTGAAGTAGAGTGGTTTAGAAAAAGGAAAATAATATCCACCTGACAGGAATTAAGAATTAAGTGAGATAATAATAACAATAACATAAAGCCCTTAAGAAAAAATTTAAATCTCTTCTGTTGGAAAGTTTGTGTCAGAAGCCACTATAGAGAGTGGGTGAGTCTGGGTAATCTGTCAGTATATAAATCTCGGTTGGCACCTTAGGGAATTCCTGGATATCAACACTCCACTGTATCATAAATTCAAACAGAATATTAAATAATTATTAAATTGAAATTAAAAATTAGAAATGAAATGTGGACATTTTAGTTTGGAAAGCTGTAACAAATTTTGTCAGGTAAGGGAGCAGGTAATTTTATGAAAATACCCAGAGAATTTTCTTAACGTGCACGCCTACTGCTTATGATAGATTGAAATAAAATTGACGTGCATACAATGTATATCATTTGTTGATTATGGCACAGACACACATTTACAAAGTCTTAAGTACAGAATACGCAAAATTCCACATTAAAAAACAGAAAAGTGCAGTGCCCTTAGCCAACAAAAATATACTTTAGTAATAAATTAAATCCCATTAACATTAAAATTGACATGAAAGCTATTTAAAATGTTACAATATTAGATGTGACATGCAAGAAAAAGAAAGACATTTCAGGCAGGAACATCGTGCATTAAGATTTGCATTCATTCATAGTATTGGGCAGGTTTTCAACATATTCTTGACCACTAAGCACTAGGAATTGGAGGTGATACCAATCTACATTCAAAACACAACTTAATTTATATTTTAGTCTCCTAACCTACGATTTTAAGAAAATGGCCAGTGCCTCCAATAATGAAACCCAGGAAGTTTTAACCACATATTGTTATGCAGTTGCACAGCAGGAACATCCCATCAGACCAGATCTATGGAAAGTAAACATTTTGCAATTCCACCTTTTGGACAATGCAATCATCTCAGATTCCTCCTACCTTATTACTATTGTGACTATATTTGAACATGTCAGGTTTGCACAGAAAGAAAATGGCTTTGTGGAATGTATTTTTTGGCACAAAAATATTTTGTAATACCTCAAATCAAAATTTCACCCACAGCAAAATATCAAGCCATAGAGGTGCTTCAGTGGTGCTTACTTATCTACGCAGAAAACTACAAGAACCACCACTTGCTTCCAAAGACTTTGTATTAAGTGGCAATAACTTCTCTTCCAAAGAATAGCACTAATATGATTACACCTCTGATGGTGGAGTGTTCCTTCCAAGCTCTTTAATTCCCTGGAGAATTCGCTTCACATGACCCACCTTCGGTATCCCCAGGTCCTAAAATAAAAGAACAGAAAAAGGTAGAAATAATTAAAAATGAAAGAAAAAAGGCAGAAAGAAAATTTTTAAAAATGAAAGAAAAGAAAAAAGTGTATTGATAATAGAAAACCGGGGATTAAATATTTAACCAGTAAGAAACACAATTAGCATTCAGTTCATTCATTTTAGTTTATATTCAGTGATTCAGGAAGTGAAAGCTAGAAAAATAAGTTCATAAAACAAAAATAACCTGACACTGAAGAATTCCCAACTGGTACAAAAAAAAATCACATTCTACATAAACTCTTAACTATGACATTCTCATAATTACAGTGGCTTTTGACTTCAAGAGTCAAAACCTAAATTTTCTGTCTTCTTTTCTTTCCTTCTCTCTCTCTCTTTCTTTTCCCTACTCTCTCTTCTCTCTGTCCTCTTAGAAAGGCTCTTTTGGGATCTCTGAGAAAAAAATGATGTGGGACAGCAGGGCACCCACAGGTAGTCCTAAGGCAACATTTCTTGCGCTAAAATAATAAATTTAAAAGTGAGACCTAATTCTAGAGAAAGATACCAGTACCTGCTAAATAAATTTGGACTCTATATGCATTTGCAGTTGCATTACAAGTCTTTGATTTGAGAGGAATATTTAATTCAAACAGTCTTTATACTTTGTAATGTATGTGTGTAAAAAATTACTTAAACATAATTATCTGTTAGTTGATGCTTTCCCTCAAAACACTATTGGCTCTTTTCTCTCAAAATTATTATTCTTGTTTCTTAAAGAAACTTCTTCCTATAAGTGCCAAGAATTCAATATTTAACTTTCAGAAATAGATGATGACTGCAGAGTGTGCACAGCAAGTACTTTGCAAATATTTGTTGCAGGAATAAATTAAACCTAACCAAGGGTGAATAACCGCTAGTTATTCATTCTCTGAAAAACTAAAGCAAAGAGTTACAGCCTCCAAATCCTAGTTTCTTTAAGTGAAAGGGCATAGTCTGTTTGCTAATATGTGAAGACAAACAACTTCTTCAAAAAAAAAATGAAATATTTGAAAATTATTAAAAAGATGACTTCCAAAATGCAAAATGGCCTAAAAAAAAACAGGGTTATAAAATAACGTAACTTGTCTGAGAAGATAAAGATGCAAATATCCACCCTGTTTGGTAATTTATTTATTTTTCAACTTTTAAACGAAATAGATCAAACTGGTTTAAGTCTTCTGTCATTGTCTCTCTCTTTCTCCCCTTTACCCTTTAAGAACTCTTGGATTGTCTTGGAGATGCGGGCTCTTTTTTGGTTCCATATGAACTTTAAAGCATTTTTTTCCAATTCTGTGAAGAAACTCATTGGTAGCTTGATGGGGATGGCATTGAATCTATAAATAACCTTGGGCAGTATGGCCATTTTCATGATATTGATTCTTCCTATCCATGAGCATGGTATGTTCTTCCATTTGTTTGTGTCTGCTTTTATTTCACTGAGCAGTGGTTTGTAGTTCTCCTTGAAGAGGTCCTTTACATCCCTTGTAAGTTGGATTCCTAGATATTTTATTCTCTTTGAAGCGATTGTGAATGGAAGTTCATTCATGATTTGGCTCTCTGTTTGTCGTTACTGATGTATAAGAATGCTTGTGATTTTTGCACATTAATTTTGTATCCTGAGACTTTGCTGAAGTTGCTTATCAGCTTAAGGAGATTTTGGGCTGAGACAATGGAGTTTTCTAAATATACAATCATGTCATCTGCAAAGAGGGACAATTTGACTTCTTCTTTTCCTAACTGAATATCCTTGATTTCTTTCTCTTGCCTGATTGCCCTAGCCAGAACTTCCAACACTATGTTGAATAGGAGTGGTGAGAGAGGGTATCCCTGTCTTGTGCCAGTTTTCAAAGGGAATTTTTCCAGTTTTTGCCCATTCAGTATGATATTGGCTGTGGGTTTGTCATAAATAGCTTTTATTATTTTGAGGTACGTTCCATCAATACCGAATTTATTGAGCGTTTTTAGCATGAAGGGCTGTTGAATTTTGTCAAAAGCCTTTTCTGCATCTATTGAGATAATCATGTGGTTCTTGTCTTTGGTTCTGTTTATATGCTGGATTATGTTTATTGATTTGTGAATGTTGAACCAGCCTTGCATCCCAGGGATGAAGCCCACTTGATCATGGTGGATAAGCTTTTTGATGTGCTGCTGAATCCGGTTTGCCAGTATTTACTGAGGATTTTTGCATCGATGTTCATCAGGGATATTGGTCTAAAATTCTCTTTTTTTGTTGTGTCTCTGCCAGGCTTTGGTATCAGGATGATGTTGGCCTCATAAAATGAGTTAGGGAGGATTCCCTCTTTTTCTATTGGAATAGTTTCAGAAGGAATGGTACCAGCTCCTCCTTGTACCTCTGGTAGAATTCAGCTGTGAATCCATCTTGTCCTGGACTTTTTTTGGTTGGTAGGCTATTAATTATTGCCTCAATTTCAGAGCCTGCTATTGGTCTATTCAGGGATTCAACTTCTTCCTGGTTTAGTCTTGGAAGAGTGTAAGTGTCCAGGAAATTATCCATTTCTTCTAGATTTTCTAGTTTATTTGCGTAGAGGTGTTTATAGTATTCTCTGAAAACCACCACAATGAGATACCATCTCACACCAGTTAGAATGGCGATCATTAAAAAGTCAGGAAACAACAGGTGCTGGAGAGGATGTGGAGAAATAGGAACACTTTTACAATGTTGGTGGGATTGTAAACTAGTTCAACTATTATGGAAAACAGTATGGCGATTCCTCAAAGATCTAGAACTAGATGTACCATATGACCCAGCCATCCCATTACTGGGTATATACCCAAAGGATTATAAATCATGCTGCTATAAAGACACATGCACACGTATGTTTATTGCAGCACTATTCACAATAGCAAAGACTTGGAATCAACCCAAATGTCCATCAGTGACAGACTGGACTAAGAAAATGTGGCACATATACACCATGGAATACTATGCAGCCATAAAAAAGGATGAGTTTGTGTCCTTTGTAGGGACATGGATGCAGCTGGAAACCATCATTCTTAGCAAACTATCACAAGAACAGAAAACCAAACACCGCATGTTCTCACTCATAGGTGGGAACTGAACAATGAGATCACTTGGACTCGGGAAGGGGAACATCACACACCGGGGCCTATCATGGGGAGAGGGGAGGGGGGAGGGATTGCATTGGGAGTTATACCAGATGTAAATGACGAGTTGATGGGTGCAGCACACCAACATGGCACAAGTATACAGTTGATGGGTGCAGCACACCAACATGGCGCAAGCATACATATGTAACAAACTCAATGTTATGCACATGTACCCTAGAACTTAAAGTATAATAATAATAATAATTAATAAATTTTAAAAAAGGGTGAGAACTTCCCAAATTTTGATGTAATAAAAGGAAAAATAGTTCTTAAAAAAAAAAAAAGAACTCTTGGAGTTCTTCAGCAGTAATGAATCTTTCTGGAAAATACTGTTTTCATAGCCAGTGCTATTGTCAAACGAGATAATTTCAAGATATTTCATAGATATTTAACTGACTCAGAAAAATATTTTCTCCTATGACATAGGGATCCAAAATTAGTCCTAAGGCAACTATACATTTACTGAATATCTGCTAAAGTATCAAGCTTAAAAGCTAGGCCATACCGATGCTTGCTACCTAAATTTGAAATGTACATACATTTACAGTCACATTTAGATTTTTTGAGTGGAATATTTAAATATCTTTACCTCTTTGTGAAAACATAGGTATCCAATTACAAAACATATTTAAATATTAAATATTTTATTTTAGGCCATAAATACATTGTATTCTCAAGACTAAATCTTATTTGGGGAAGGTAGAATCTACTTAGAATTACTATTTGGGTATAAAATGAGAAGAATGTTTTCCAAAGAGTTACAATAACTTACTAGCTATATTTTTTTATAAATTAATTTAATTTTAAGTTCCAGGATACATGTGCAGGATGTGCAGGTTTGTCACATAGGTAAACGTGTGCCATGGTGGTTTGCTGCACCTACCAACCCTTCACCTAGGCAGTAAGCCCCACATGCATTAGCTATTTATCCTGATGTTCTCCCCTCCCTCTGCACCCCCAACAGGCCCCAGTGTATGTTGTTCCCCTCCCTGTATCTATGTGTTCTCATTGTTGAGCTCCCACTTATAAGAACATGCGGTGTTTGGTTTTCTGTTCCTGCGTTAGTTTACTGAGGATAATGACTTCCACCTCCATCCATGTTCCTGCAAAGGACATGATCCAGTTCCTTTTTATGGCTGCATAGTATTCCATGGTGTATATATACCACTTTTTCTTGCTCCAGTCTACAATTTTTTTTTTTTTTTTTGGGACAGAGTCTCGCACTGTCGCCCGGGCTGGAGTGCAATGGCGTGATCTTGGCTCACTGCAACCTCCGCTTCCCAGGTTCAAACGATTCTCCTGCCTCAGCCTTCCAAGTACCTGGGATTACAGGTGCCCGCCACCATGCCTGGCTAATTTTTTTTCTATTTTTAGTAGAGACAGGGTTTCACTATGTTGCCCAGGCTGATCTCAAACACCTGACCTCGTGATCCACCTGCCTTGGCCTCCCAAAGTGCTGGGATTACAGGCGTAAGCTACCGTGCCTGGCCTATCCAGTCTACCATTGATGGGCATTTGGGTTGATTCCACGTCTTTGCTATTGTGAATAGTGCTGCAACGAACATATGTGTGCCTGTATCTTTAAAACAGAATGATTTATATTCCTGTGGGTATATACCCAGTAATGGGATTGCTGGGTCAAATGGTATTTCTGGTTCTAGGTCTTTGAGGAATTGCCACACTGTTTTTTGTAATGATTGAACTAATTTACATTCCCACCAACAGTGTAAAAGCGTTCCTATTTCTCCACAGCCTCACCAGCATCTGTTGTTTCTTGACTTTTTAATAATTGCCATTCTGACTAGTGTGAGATAGTATCTCATTGTGGTTTTGATTTGCATTTCTCTAATAATCACTGATGTTGAACCTTTTTTTCATATGTTTATTGGCCGCATGTCTTCTTTTGAGAAATGTCTATTCATGTCCTTTGCTCACTTTTTAATGAGGGCTGTTTTTTCTCGTAAATTTGTTTAAGTTCCTTGTAGATTTTGGATATTAGACCTTTGTTCAGATGGATAGACTGCAAAAATTTTCTCCCATTCTGTAGGTTGTCTGTTCGCTCTGATGATAGTTTCTTTTGCTGTGCAGAAGCTCTTTAATTAGATCCCATTTGTCAATTTTGGCTTTTGTTGTAATTGCTTTTGACGTTTTAGTTTGAGTTCAATATTTTTATGCCTTCTAGGGTATAGGCTGTAATAAAGCTATGCTGTGACATTTGTTATATCTTTATTTTTATCACATATCATTATATATTAATATTTACCATATTCTCTTTTTTTTTTTTTTTGAGACAGAGTCTCACTCTCTCACTCAGGCTGGAGTGCAGTGGCATGATCTCGGCTCACTGCAACCTCTGCCTCCTGGGTTCAAGTGATCCTCCTGTCTCAGCCTCCTGAGTAGCTGGGACTACAGGCATGCACCACCACATCCAGCTAATTTTTGTATTTTCAGTAGAGATGGGGTTTCACCATGTTGGCCGGGCTGGTCTTGAACTCTTGACCTCATGATCCACCTGCCTTGGCCTCCCAAAGTGCTGGGATTACAAAGACGAGTCACCATGCCTGGCCAATTTTTATCATATGAGTAGCTTTCTCTTTCCTTGGATAAACAGTCCAAATTTTGACAAAGCATGCTTTGTAGATATTCAGTTATCCTTCCAGCCATACATACACAACTTTCCAAATAGAAAAAACAAAAAACCCTCACCATATGTTTACCATTCTCTTTGGTGTCTCTTCTTTCTCCTACTGTGTTCTAGCAGAGAAAATGATGCAATCAGTTTGTTTCCTTATCTGCTAAAGCACATTGGAAATACCTTCCTGGCTGGGCATGGTGGCTCACACTGGGAATCCCAGCATTTTGGGAAGCCAAGGCAGGCTGATCGCTTGAGGCCAGGAGTTCAAGACCAGCCTGGACAACATAGCAAGACCCTGTCTCTACAAAAAATAAAAGAAATTAGTTGGGTGTGGTGGCATGCACCTGTAGTCCTAGCTATTCAGGAGGTTGAGGTGGGAGGATCACCTGAGCCCAGGAGGCTGAGGCTGCAGTGAGCCATGATTGCATTACTGCACTTCATCCTGGGTGACAGAATGAGTCTCTCTCTCTCTCTCTCTCTCTCTCTCTCTCAATATATATATATATATATATATATATATATTTTTTTTTTTTCCCTTTTCCCAACTTTAGACTGTCATGTCGCTACGTCTAGTTGTTTTGGTGATATGGGAGTAACACTTGAGCTAATCTCTGAGCAGGAGTTAACCAGGTGAAGGGTAGGGGAAGAAGCACAGCAAAAGTGAGTACATCCCTAAGGTGAGAAAAAGTGTAGTATTTTTAAGCAACTGAAATAAGGCCCAGGGAGGAGCCAGAGACTTCACAGGAGGTCAAATACATAGGCAGGACCTTGGAGGCCTGCAAAAAGATGTGGGTTTTTATTTCCTAGAAATGGGCAGCTACTGAAAAGTTTTAAGCAGAAAAGTGTACACCTGACTGATGATGCTAAAATAACACTCTGTTTGCAATGTGGATAATGGACTGCAAAGACAAAGAGCGGCAGTGGAAAGACCAGTTAGGAAGCTATTGACCCTACACAAGCAAAACTGGACAGTAGCATGGAGCAGGATTGTGGATAGGAGATAAAGAGAAGTGAATGGAGATGAGAATCAATATGACTTGGTGATGGGCTTGATGGGTTAGGGGAGACTGACAAAAAAGAGGAAGGTGCTAAGTATGACCCTCATTTCTCTGCCTAGACTACCTGAAGGGCCAGAGGTCTGATTTATAAAATGCAGAGCACTGGAGAAGGGGCAGAACAGGAGTGCAATAGGAGCTCAAGAGTTGCTTTTGGACATGTTAAGACTGAAAATCTCTAACTTAAAGTTTCCATCAATGGATGACTGCATAAAGATAATGTGGCACATATACACACTGGAATATTATTCAGCCATAGAAAAGAATTTTTTAAAAAAGAATGAAAACATGTCTTTTGCAGCAACTTGGATGGAACTTGAGGTCATTATCTTAAATGAAACAAGACGACACGGGAAGACAAACATTGCATGTTCTCACTCATTAGTGGGTGTTAAACAGGTATATACATGGACCTAGTGGAATGATAGACAATGGAGACTTGGAGGGGTAAGGGAGTAGGAGGGAGTGGATAAGAAATTGCTTATTGGGTACAATATATGTTATTCAGGCAATGGATTCCCTAAAAGCCCTGACTTAACCACTATGAAGGTAATAAAATTGCACTTGTATCCATATGTATATATTCATTTTTGGAGACAGAGTCTTGCTCTGTCGCCCAGACTGGAGTGCAGTGGCATGATCTCATTTCACTGCAACCTCTGCCTTCTGGGTTCAAGCGAGTCTCCTGCCTCAGCCTCCTGAGTAGCTGAGACTACAGGAGCGTGCCACCATACTTGGCTAGATTTTTGTAGTTTTAGTAGAGATGGGGTTTCGTTGTGTTAGCCAGGATGATCTCGATCTCCTGACCTCGTGATCCACCCGCCTCAGCCTCCCAAAGTGCTGGGATTACAGGTGTGAGCCACCGTGCCCAGCTGTACCCACATATTTTTGTATAAATAGAAATAAATTAATTTTTAAAAAGCAAAAATAGAGATTGATATCCCTGTATAATACCTGAGTACCAAGCAGCCGGTTGGTGCTGTAATCCAAAAGTTCACAAATCAGGTCAGGCAGGGCTGAGAGAGAACCTGTGTGCCACTGACATATTCACAAGTAGTACCGGAAGTACCTAAGGAGTGAGTGATCCCTCACCAGCATTTAGAGGCTTCGGTCCGAAGGACTTGGTGCTGCTGACAGCTACAACCGCAGAGAACAAGGGGAGCTCTTCTCTAGCTTTATGGTTTTGTGCTATAGAAGACTCTTTCTGTGAAATGCTCCTTTTCTCATCCACCCCCCGACATCTTGTTTCAGACCCAATATAGTTTTTAAAATCCATGTCAATACAAATTTCTAAAAGTTTTAAGAGAGAGAATGTAATTTGCATTAAACATAAAAACAAAACAGAACAAAAAGTCCCATGAAAAGCAAAAGAATGTTTTCCAACATAATTCTTAACCATCTCCTTTCTATTCTTTTCTAACTTTGCCTTAGTGTATGTTCTTCCATTCTACACATTCATTCTGCTTCAATCATTGTGTGTCTACCTGTATGTTTCTATAGATCTGTATGTATATATATAACATGTATGCATATATGCATTTATGTATGTATATTTTTTATACATACACACAGTCTTTTCCTTGAATGTGTGCTTATTCACAGCAAATGCGATGCATGCTTCTAGAGGGCAGGTATCATGCAGAGAAGCTAGCATAATATATTAAACAGTCATTAATAAATATTGTTATCTGCCAAGGATATCAGAAGTTACACAAACATGTTGGCTATCTTGATCCCCCCTACATTTACTTTTTTGTGGACTCATTTCAAGCTTGGAAACCAACTTTTGCTTTATGAACTCTAATACTACGTATTTTGCTATGTTCCAGATTTAGGACTCTCAATTAAGGTAATTCATTAATTACTTTATTTTATTATGGCTAAAGTTGTTTAGATATAAGTGGTGCTCACCTTTTGATGTGCTAAAACTCTTTGTGAATCTGTTTAATAAAGATGTTTATACTACCTATTATCTGTTCAAAGATTTTTGCTAATATATTTGTAGATAAAGGTGCAACAGTTCATTAATTTGTTAGGAATTCTCTGTATTATGATAAAATTTAATGCATTTTAGAACTTGGTCTAGAGGAAAGGAATCACTCCAACAAATGTTACTACTTATTGGAAATTTAAAATGGCAGTATGTGGTAAGAAAATACAACATGACAAAATCCTACTCCTAAACCTTGGCCAGAGAGGCTACTTCAGCTGTTTCCACCACTACTGAGACTTCACCCAAAGAATAAAAGGGAAATGCTACAGATGGTGAAGGAATAATTTTCTCTCTCGTCATAAATAACCAATAGGCTCTGAGCTGTTTTCTAGCAAAAGCTAGGCAAAATTTTTACCTCATTTACTAAAGAAAAAAAAATTCATTTTGAGAATAATAGAATTTTAGCAATATGTCATAGAAAGGAAATTTGAATTTCTCAATCTGGTTATTCATGTGACCTAAAAAAGGCTGATTTAAAAACAACAAATTGTAAGACTCTAAGTAGCCATTGCTGTAAGTCTCTCTTCTCATTCCATATATTAGAAAGGCTTTGTTATTGGTATTTTGAATTAAGTTTTAGTTGTTAACTATATATTAGATTTTAGTCATTTTCAGCCAAATTATCACCTTCCATGCTGATGCAATAAAATGAGCTGACGGAAACATGATCCATTTGGAAATATTAGCACAGGAACAGTCATATGACTGGATGCAGAGAAAAATTACTAAGTTCATGCTAAGCTTTAGCTATAAAAGAGTGATTCTGCCAGGAAAATACTGCTGACATGCTTGTTAAAAAGCATACAAGAAACTCAGACCACAGAACAGTGAATGTAAGATTACTACACATTTGCATAACATAAGCGAAGCTAAAAGCACGTATCAGAAGAGGCACAGGAGAAAGGATTCCATTTTGCAATAAAATTTTCAAGAACAGAAGAGCACAAAAGAAATACCTTAAGATCTCGCCTTTCCAGATGCAAAAGTTCAGCCCCTCTGATGTCATGACGGATGAAGATATCTTTGTACTCTCCCAAATTGAGCAGATCCAGCCAAGCAGCAACTTCCTCTGTGCCCCATTTCTGAACTACCAAAGTTAAGAGCAAAACCCCCTTAATTTCTACATGCTCAATGCATTACAAAGCAAGGGTTGGCCAAAGAAGATGCAAAACAGAGTGCAGCGGCAGTGCTAGCAAAAGAAAGGTTAAAGGTGTTGTTTCAACAAAACTGTAGTTCCACTTTTTCCCATGCAAGTTATACACTATCAACACAACGATCCGACTATACAAAACCATCTGCTGCCGTGCACCCATGCTTAACTTTAGTTCGGTTTCCTCATTAAAGCCACCCAGCCTATACAATATGCATACAAAATGTATTTCACATCATTAGGATCAATGGTGCAAGCTCTAAATAAGCTCTGATGATTTCCTTCAGACTCTGTATGAAAATGGCTATAGACTGAAATGAGCTACAAATGCTAATTACAATTTAAAATCTAATACGGAGTATTCAATTTTACACAAACTTTTCTGCTTAAGGTCTTGCTGATTTCAAGTGTAGTCTTGATTGATTCTCCTACTACTGATAATAATGGCAATCAATGTGCTGTTAAATCCCAATTTAATGTCATTTAAAAATTCCATAGCACTGCTCTCTGATATTAGTTGGATTACGTTATTTTTTGGTGTGTATCATTTGCTTATACATTTTATTCAACACTGATTAGCTTAATAAAAGCCTACTTATTTGCTGTATTTGGTTTTTAAATGGCTTTCAATAGCTGCTTTATGAGTATCAAAAATAAGGCTTTACATCACTTTTTAAAAGAGATAGTGCACTCAGAGGAATTTATAAACTTATTTGGTTATGAAAGGCAGCTACCATTGTACAAACAGAATTTGAAGGTGCTTTAGTACTAGCATACCTGTACATTTAAACTCTAAGGAAAAGTGAAAAAGGAACAAGAGAAATAGCAGCAAAGAGGGGGCTTAATCTCTGCTTGAGAATGCAAGTATCACAGCATACTGTCATTGTTGAGGGGTTGAAACAGTATCCTCAAAACAGGAGAAAGGGAATATATAACTTCAGGTGGAAAATATATTCGGCAGGTTAAGTGAGTAAATGAAAGTTTCTATGTTCCATTTATCAAAGTAATCTAAAAACTGTACTTAAAAGAAGAAAAATTATACACTGATGCTTTGAATTGCTGTTGAGAAAGAACCATTTGAACAGAAATGCTGACATCCACTAAACAAAGTAGAAGCAAATTAGGAACCACTTCATTTTTTTGTGCTTCCTTACTAGAGATTCCCAGTGATATTCAGATGTGTTTTAGGTATGAGAGGATTCTTTTATGGCAAAATTCATAAAGCATGAAATTCCCCATTTTAACCATTTTAAAGCGTAGAATTCACTGACAGTATGTTCATCATATTGCGCAAGGCTCAACCACCGTCTAGCTCCAGAACATTTTCATGACCTCCATGATGTCACTTTAGTCAGTTCTTTTTTCATAATGTTTTATTTCCCCTTCCCATATGGACCACCTACCAGGCTGTGAACTTGTCTTCTGCTTCTGAACCTTTTCCTTTTTAAACTTTGGCACTATTCGAAATACGGTGCTTCTGTTGTTTCTTTTGGTGCAATCCATAGGAGGTTCCTGTTCAAATCGAGCAAGAAAATAATTTTTTCGGGATATGAAAAGGAGAAAAACCTACTCTGATAATAGGGATAACACAGGAATAAGTTATAAACACTAAACATTATAGAACAGTGATAACTTCTTCAAAAAAAGTTCATAATGTACTACTGAAAATGTCCCAATTCCCCTAAAATGCCTTTGTTCACATAAATGCCTTTTCTCATTTGTTCAAGAACAGAACATTTGAAAACAGTATTCAAAATTCATTTTTCCCTAAATATCTCTTTTTCAAAGATGAGTTCAAATTCTCTAGTGATATGGTCTACATTTCTAGAGAAACAGGCTGAATTTTACATACCTCATCCTCATTTGGGTGTAAGATATAATAAAGCCAAGGAATCTCTGTCAATTTCTGTAATTCCACCTCCACAGAGTGTAAGGCATTGGATACCCGCTCTTCATGTGGTGATTCCAGCTGCTATTTACCAGAAACAAAACAAGCTGCTATTTACCAAAACAAAACAAGACTCGGTGGCCAGTCTCAAGTAGAATAAATCATTGTACTTTGACAGTGAACGGCCTCACTCCTTATTAAGCTAGTATTTTTTAAATTAAGGAATATTAAGGATAAATTCTTTTATATTGACTTCATTTTTAAAAATCTGAATAGATTTACTCTAATCATTACTTCTCAAAGATCATATGAGTAGCTAGTGTAACTTTAATAACTTCATAGAAGAAGTATTCTTTGGGTGTTTTTTTCTGTGTAAATGTCTTCTTTCCTATCTCCCTCCATGCTTTCCAAGCATTTATCTACCAATTCTTCCTGGTGGCATAAGTGTGCAGTCTTACTATTCTACTTATTTGTGCCAAAAATCTTTCTGATTTAAATAGGTCACCAGGCTGGGCATGATGGCTCACGCCCATAATCCCAGCATTGGGAGGCCGATGTGGGTGGATCATTTGAGGTCAGGAGTTCGAAACCAACCTGGCCAACATGGTGGACCCCTGTCTCTACTAAAAATACAAAAATTAGCTGGGCATGGTGTTGGGTGCCTGTAATCCCAGCTCCTTAGGAGGCTGAGGCAGGAGAATTGTTTGAGCCTGGGAAGTGATGATTGCAGTGCGCAGAGATAGCACCACTGCACTCCAGCCTGGGTGACAGAGCCAGACTCTGACTCAAAAAAAAAAAAAAAAAAAAGTCACCACAGGAACACATAATACTTTTTAAACTAGTTAAAAACTTGTCATATAAAAGAACTGCAGAAAAATCTCCTTGAAAATTTAAAGAATAAGCTTAAGGGAAAAAAAACCATGAATCTTAGAAAAATTTGTGATGAAAAATTGTTGTAAAAATTGGGGCAAAGCAAAAAGCTCAATGGCTTATAATCTGAAACTGGGTTTGGATATTTTAAGGAGAATTTAACTGCTCACCTATTATCTGCATTATTGAAAGTAGGTATTAAAATGCACTTACAAGTTCAATAAATGAATAAAGATTAAATAAACATTCCTCTGCACAGAACTGGAAGGCAGTAGATTGGATTCTACTCCTGGCCTTGTAATTAACTATGTAACCAAAAGAAGGTTAACTGACTTCAGAAGACTTTGTTTCTTCCTCTGGAAATAGTACAAGGTAATGATGATGATCATTATTATTTGAGACACAGTCTTGTACGGTTGGCCAGGTTGGAAGTGCAATGGCGCAATCTCAGCTCACTGTAACCTTGGCCTTCTGGGTTCAAGCAATTCTCGTGCCTCAGCCACCAAAGTAGCTGGGATTACAGGCACAAACCACCAGGCCCGGCTAATTTTTGTATTTTTAGTAGAGATGGGGTCACCATGTTGGCCAGGCTGGTCTCAAACTCCTGGCCTACAATGAGTCGCCTGCCTCAGTCTCCCAAAGTGCCGGAAATAACAGGCATGAGCCACGGAGCCTGGCCGACTAGATTATTTTTGAGGTCTCTGCTAGCTAACCAATATATTTATAAATTACTGTAAAATTATAGAGTTCTTATAAATACGATTATAGAATTTTAGAACTAAAAGTTCAGAGATAATTATTACTGTTATGATGAACTGTTTTGTGTGTTTGTTTCCCCTTGTTATTCACGGTATCTACCACTTCTAGTAGTGATTAAAAATATGGAGATTCTTGGCTGGGCGTGGTGGTTCATGCCTGTAATCCCAGCACTCTGGGAGGCTGAGACAGGTGGATCACTTGAAGACAGGAGTTTGAGACCAGCCTGGCCAACATGGTGAAATTCTGTCTCAATTGAAAAGAAAAAAAAAAAAAAAGCCAGGCGTGGTAGTGCACGACTATAGTCCCAGCTAATTGGCAGCTGAGGCAGGAGAATCACTTGGAACCAGAGAGGCTGAGGTTGCAGTGAGCCGAGATTACGCCACTGCGACAGAGTGCGTCCCTGTCTCAAAAAAAAAGGAGATTCTCTACCCTGTTGTGTTTAAAATTTATTAATTGTCTTTTACTCTAAGAATATGTCTTATAAAACTTATAAAATGGTTATTACAGATTCGTTCTGGCACTAAAATATAGAGTAAACCTTAGTTGCTCTCAAATACAATCAACTCCTTATTGTGATATCACTATTGTCAAAGGTTTTGGTAAAATTCACCAGTGCACATTTTAAACCAAAATTCATATTTAACAATGAGAGAAAATTAAAAGTGGAGAAGGAAAGTCAGTCCATATTAACATAAATAATAAATATTAGCAAGGTAGCACTCAGCAGGTACTTTTCATGTAGAGAAAATAAGTACAGAATAAGTTATGCTTTTAGTTGTAAGAATTGATCTTCACAGGTCACTGGATTTCCTCTAGGACTAGCAGAAGATTCTGGTTAAAAACAGTAGTGCCAAAAAAAGCCAAGAAGGGATCCCATTGGTTTTATCAAAAGAGATAACCAATGTTTCTTCGTAAAAGGTTTTCTTCATGGCCATAGTAGAGCCAGCCACCTCTTGTCCCAAGGAAGCTGTGTTTCAGTTTCCTTTGGAGGTAGGTAAAAGCGATGGCCTTCATGCAGTCTTTCAGCTTCTCTTCTAAGAGCACAGGATGACCCAAAGGTGGCACTTTTCTGGACCATAGGCGAAAACAGAAACCCTAAGCTCGGGCACTTAATTGCAAGGCTGTGGGACGCACCTCCCATTCATTCACCCACTGTGCCAGATACTGTGACTCTTAGTACCACTTTTATTTAGGTGTAGATTTGCCCAACCAAGAGAGAAAATTACTGTCAAAAGAAATATTTTAAGATCATCAACTACCAATTAAACAGAATTGTAAAAAGGAATAAAAAACAGCAAATGAATTAGGCCTTCCACACAGTGGTAACAGCATGTGGGAATGAGCCACAATCGAACTCTAGGTGGCGGCAAGAGCCAAGATGCTAGAATACTTGAAAGTGGTGAGGTATTTGTAAAGAAAGGCTAACTAGCAGGACATCCACAGGCTTCCAGCATTTATGCTTGAGATCCGTGGACTGTGGTGAGATTCAGATTTGGCCTAAACTTGATTTCCAGGACCAATCTGGATTAAACAAGGCAGAGTTTTTGAAATTTAGTTCTTGAAACACTGTGTCTAGAAAATGTTCTCTTTTAAGCAAACTTGGAGGACCATACCAATCCCATTCAAATGTTAATTCAGGGAACAAACTCTATGAGTTCCTCTACTTGTGTGCAATAGTAAGTACCTGAGGAATGTCTACGACACTTTATAAAGCTCACGTCTCTCGAAGCTGAATGGGACAGAGCAGGGCTGCCTAAAAACAGGATGGCATATATGAGGGGAAATCTCCACTCCTGTTAGCCTGAATCATGACTCCTAACTTCAGCCACATAATTTTCTTGAAGACAGAAGCCAGGTGAAGAGGCATCTCTCAGGATGGAAGCCAGAAGGCTGCTTCTGCCTTAGAATCTGCCGAATGCCTGTTCCCCAATGAAGGTAAGACCCAGACATTTAATTCATCACTCTTACGTTATCAACCATTCTTCTCCTTACCAAAGGAACCCTGCCAACTAGCAAAGATTCCGTTTCATTATACAGCGCCTTCACATTGATGGCTATTTCAGTGGCAGTGTCTCTTGTAAGACTCTAGAAAAGAAGAATATCAAAGACATGTGATCTGTATTAAAATAGGATTTCATTACCAGTAAATACTTTAAATTTTATTCTTATAATTTAAATTCACAACACACATTTTTTAATCTATCAAAATTCTATAATTGCAAAATTTCATACATTTGTTAGTATGACTATCTCATTATTATTATATTATAGAACCAAAAGAATGCACCAACTACAGTGAATACACTCAGGATCACACCTCCTACCTAATGAATATATGTATGCTAGTACCAGCATATACATATTTCCATTAAAAAGTTCAGTCAAATAAAACTTTTCCTCTCAGTAGCACTAACCATATTGCTTTTTAGACTATAATCTTGAGAACAAGTACTTAGTTGTATATTAAGTAACTTCAATCAAATAATAATAAAAAAGCTATCAGTTTTCTCTACACTATAGCATTGTACCATGTATCACATTTTAATAGTTATATTCTATCAATTCTATTATGAACTTCTACATTAAAAATTTTACAGAAGTATCAATTTCCAGTTTAGCAAAACAAAATGAAGTAGCAATAATTTCAGTGCACAACTTCGGAAATGAATGAACATCTCTAAGAAATGCACACTGATGATATCTAGGCTTGCCCTTTAACAAGGCACAGGGCAGAAGGTAAGGTAAAAGGAGTAAGAAAGGATGATAAAAGTTAAAAAAAGAGTGAAGGCAGATGAAAGGTGACAAGTGATTGAAAGTGGAAACATAAAAAATGAGAGAATTTAAGAGCAACAATGAAAAAAATAACAGGAAAAGGAAAATAAAGAAACAGTTGGCCACAATTTTACTGCAAGTTTGTAGAGACTCATATAGACAACATAACTTTCTTTCACAGGGCAGGGCATATTTTACGAATTAAAATACATGTGTAACACCCAAAAGAATCTGTGGAATGAGAATTTACCATTAGATCCTCACCTCCGGGCACCTTGGGTTGGCTTTATTCAGGGCATGTGAGCAGGCATTCACAGCATGGGCCAGTTCTTGCTCCAAAAGACAGTGAATTGTGGCTGCGTCACAGATCCTAAAAGCAAAAATGAAACAAATGAATAAAAAACTTTTCTGAGTATTGCTCAATTTTTTTTGAAGTAAAGAAGTGTTAGGATAAAACAAGTAAAAAATATATGAAGATCAGTAAGGAAGAACATTTTTAATGGCTGCTCAATTATGAATGACACAGGTAGATCTACAAATCCAGACCCCACTGCAACAAAAAATATGAAATAAAAAAATCTTTGTATAAAAAGTTAGGCTTAAAATCAGAGGGAGACACATTGAAGTGCTATTTTGAAGAATGAAATATAGCAATACTTCATTCTGCAGTATCCTTGGAAAGTGAGAGGGATCACAGATATAAAGACTAGAAACTTCTCTTTCATTCATTGAAACTGCAAATGCAACAGATTAGAGAAGAGCATTACCGTATTTGTCACGGATACACAAAGTGATCACAAGCAGTATGTAAGTTAATATCCATAGCCTTTAAATGTAGCTATGATTTATTATCTCCATATTATTGATGATGACATTGAGGCTCAGAGAGACGTGGTATGTATACAGAGCTAGTCAGTTTTAGAGCAGGATCGGAATCTATGTCTATCTAACTCCAAGCCTGTTGTGCCATACTCCACCGGTATCCGAACCTCTAAGAATAGTCCTGAAAAGACCAAATTCTGGAAGGCACTAAGGCCAAGGACGAGAAAGGAGAAAAAGTTCCTCCAATTGCTAGAAAATTATGTAAGCCTTGCAGATGAGCAAGAAGGCAGGGCTGTTCAAATGTTTTTTTGCTTCTGACAGCTTCATAGAGAAATATTTTCTATCTGGAAAGGGTAGAACAAGAAAAGGGACTGAAGCCCTATATAACTGAACCAAGAGTAAAGAAAAATAATTTAATTCTTAAGGATTATACAACGGATATCTAAGGTACAAAGAGGCTTACAAATGTCACCTCAGCACTACTATCAGCAACCTTGAGAAATCATGAAGAATGGGCTATTTTTCAGAACAGAGATGGATAAAGGTTATTCCAAGTTTCAGAGAAAGGGAAAGACATAAATCAACTTCAGATCAACATTTCTAATTGCCTACTGAATCTCCTAGGTATTTTTAATGTAATTTAAATTCTAAAGTCCAACATGGAACCCATCATTTTCATTCTAACACCTACTCCTCTTCCTGAACCCTATGACTCCATCAAAGGCACCCCACAATCGTCCAACCACTCATTAGAACATTAAGGTCAGTCTGTCTCCTAATTCATGCCCAATTACCAAATTTAAATCCTAAACTGTCTTTAATCTTACTTGTCCTTTCTATCTCTACTGCTTTAGTCTATCATTTTTTATAGGGACAACTTCTACAGTATCCTCAGTGTTCACCTTGCCCCAGCTTTGCTGTCTTCCCAAAAAACCCCTCCACACTGCTTCTAGAACAGCCCAATAAAGATCTGGCTCCTCCTCACCTCTTCATCTACATTCCACACACACTTGCATACACTGTGCCAACCTTTCAGTCACCCCAAACTCTCTGAGATTTCCTGAAAGTAGCATGCACTCACACTCCTCTGGGCGTCTTCCTAGGCTGGTTCCCATACTTAAATTGCTCCTTTTCTTACTCTTCCCTCAAGACTCGGTTGAAAGGTCACTTCTTCCAGGCAGCCCTCCTTCACTACCTCTGACCTCCTCTGGGTATCTAGGGAGTCCACTGTGTGCCTCATGTCAACACTTTGGCCACATTTCTCCCTCTTATTAATCTGTGAGCCAATTAAGTAGTGCTGTCAAATAATCATCTTGTATCCCCAGCCTAAAACAGTGCTTGGCCCACAGAAGAGGCTCAAAAATGGAATATGTTTGCATAGTCAATGAATAAATTCTGAAAATAGACACGTAAGCCTGATTTCATCTGCAAAATTTAAAAACAGATGGGGAGCCAAACTGTGTTGACCAGAAGCAAGCCTAGTCAACCTTTGCTTCCTTTTTACGATAAGATTATTTGGATGGTTCACAGGACGAGAACATGGAAGTATATTTTGGTTTCCAAAAAACGCTGTAAATTAGAGGCCACAGAAGTTGTCTGTAGTATCTAAAAGAGATGTATTTACTCTAAAACTAACAACCCTATGGATAAGAAGCTAAGATGTACAATAATGCAGCTGTGTGGGTATAGCTGAGTAAATATTCATTTTCTCTTCCCTTTCTTCTGAGTTGCCCAGTATTTTGCAGTTATAAGATTTCATTCTAATTCTGATTGTTGATCTAGCAGTAGGGGATGTATGCCTTTTCTCTTCTGTCTCTAACATCTCGTACATTCTAGCTATCTAATAAATATTAGAAGAGTAGAGTAAGGAATGGGAGGGGAGCAGATGGCAAATAGTAGAGAGGAGGAAAGATGTGAGTTAGCCCCTGAAACCACTGAGCTTTGCTTTCCTTCTTTTCTTTTTCAACATTTTTATCAGTGACCAGATGAAGATGTGGGAAGAATCTAAAGTTACTGTGCACAGAGCACTCAATATGCCAGACATGATGTGTGATGTCATTTGGCTGTGTCCCCACCCAAATCTCATCTTGCATTGTAGCTCCCATAATCCCTACATGTCGTGGGAGAGACCAGTGGGAGGTAACTGAATAATGGGGGTGAGTTTCTTCTGTACTGTTCTCGTGATAGTGACTAAGTCTCACAAGATCTGATGGCTCTATAAAGGGCAGTTCCCTTGCACACACTCTCTTGCCTACTGCCATGTAAGACGTGCCTTTGCTCCTCCTTTGCCTGCTGCCATGATTATGAGGCCTCCCCAGACATGTGGAACTGTGAGTCTATTACACCTCTTTTTATTTTTTCTTTGTTTTGGAGACGGAGTCTCACTCTGTCATCCAGGCTGCAGTGCAGTGGCATGATCTTGGCTCACTGCAACTTCCACCACTCAGGTTCAAGTGATCCTCCTGCCTCAGCCTCCCAAGAAGCTGGGACTGCAGGTGCCTACCACCACAGCCAGCAAATTTTTGTATTTTTAGTAGAGACAGGGTTTCACCATGTTGGCTAGGCTGGTCTCGAACTTCTGACCTCAAGTGATCCACCTGCCTCAGCCTCCCAAAGTGTTGGGATTATAGGAGTGAGCCACTGTGCCTGGCTTTAAACCTGTTTTTCTTTATAAATTACCCAGTCTCAGGTATTTCTTCACAGACATATGAAAATGGACTAATACAATGTGCTTATAGCACTCACCCCTAGAGTCTCATTTAATCCTCACACACCCTCATGAAACAGCTCTTATTAACCCCATTTGGTAGATAAGACTCAAGTGAAGAGGAAGTAAGACACAGGCCTATGGTCCCTCCTCCCCTCTGAAGTTTTCCCTGGTCATAGTGATTTTTATTTGTTTAATACTCATAGGACTTGTGTTTTATCTCCTGTCTACTGAAATTAATTTATGTGTGGTCTCAAAATATCTCTAATATCTTGTCTGAAACTGCTTTTTGAAGTCTGTTTATTCTTTTTGCTCCTGACTCTCCCCTGGAACAGGATTAGTGTTTAGACTTCCCTCTCCATTCCATAAACATTTAATTAGTAATTAGAAGGCAACATGTCAGTGGGCAGTATAGTGTGAAGACTATATATAAAATGGAGAAACAAGCAATAATGGAAAGAGTGCTGTGCGAAGAAGAGTAATTGCATCTCTTTTTGATACCACTACTGAAACAGTGTGTTAAGATTAAAAAACCAAAAATTAGCTGAGACCAGAGTTCCCGCAGCCTGAAAAGCTAGCAGAGCCCCCTACCTAGTAATGAGCTCCTCTGCAGCCTGGGAGCACAGCTGCATCTGCGACACCTCTTCCGTTGCTAAGTCAATGGCGTGATGGATGTACAAATGGGTTCGGAGAACTGGTTTACCAGAATCACACTTCTGCTTATCTTCCCAAGATTTCAGAGTGCTCTCAAAGGCCTATTTAAAATCAATATTGTAATGAATTGTTAGTTTTGAACTCAGAGGTCCAAGTAAATACTTTAATAAAACTACAATTGCTTTTTCTCTGACTCCTCAAATAAATCACAAGTATAAAAAAGACATTTCAAAGTTTTCCAATGTACTGCAACACATGAAAAGTAGTGCAGTCAATGATCATGAATACATCATTTAAAAGCTAAAAAAGAGATTAGTTGGAGGCGGGATGATCACTTGAGGCCTGGAGTTGGAGACCAGCCTGGGCAACATAGTGAGACCTCATCTCTACAAAAAAGAATTTTTTTTAAAAAATTAGCTGGGCTGAGGTAGAAGGATTGCTTGAGCCCAGGAGTTTAAGGTTGTGGTGAGCTATGATCATACCACTGTACTTCAGCATGTGCAATGAAGCAGGACTGTTTCAAAATAAAAGCAAAAAAAACAAACACACACAAAAAAGATTTAATGCTTCAATCTTTACTATTGCTTCAATTTATTCTTTAATCTTTACTATTTTATATATACTAGATGGGGCAAATATTAGCAGTCTTCTTTGATAAAGATTGATCTTAATTAAAAACACACATTCTGCGAAAAAGAAAATAATAGAGACAGTAAAAAAAAAAAAAAAAAAAAAAAAAATCGATGATTGCCCGGAGTAAGGGTGAGGGAGGGAGGGATGAATAGGTAGACCACAAGGAATTTTTAGGGCAGTGAAATAATTTTGTACGATACTGCAATGGTGAATACAAGTGATTATATCTTTGTCCAAACCCACAGATGTACAACTCAAAGAGTAATGGAAACTATGGACTTTAGTTAATAATAACCAATCAGTATTGACTCAGCAGTTGTAACAGATGTGCCACACTAATGCAAGATGTTAATAGGGGAATTTACATGTGTAGGGAAGAAGGCGGAGGAGGAAGTATATAGGAACATAATTTGAATTCTCTTTACTTTCTGCCCAATTTTTCTGTAAATCTAAAATGGCTCTAAAAAATAAACTCCTACTTAAATAAATATTTGTTCATATTTCAAACCACCAAGACCTAAATGTCAGATTTAACAATTTAAATGTTTTAATTTTCTATTTTTTTGTAACAATCTCAGAGTCTTTAAAAACCTGACAATATTCTAGAAGAATGTTTTTGTTACATACTCTGTCCCTTGTTAGCATTTGTGCTCTGTTTTTGTGCACAATTTTGATAATCCCTGGAGGCTGAACCCATGCTTCACCATCCACTTGCACTGGGACTCCTTCGTCACCAAATATAGTGATTTTTACTGTACGGCACTGAAATAAAACAAATTATTTTACAGTACGAATCATTTGGAGAAAATGACACTAAATCTATATGCAGGCTTGAGTATTAGACTATTCTATAGAATAGAATATTATGCTTTATCACTTATAAATGACATGGTAAAAACTGATAGGACAACGAAGTCTGAATATTATAGATGAATATCCAGCATAGGAGTCATTTAGAATAGATTCCCTCAACCCTCCTTAGCCCAAGAAGTGCAGTCAGGTTTGATGAGAGAAACCAACCTGGGCTATTCGATGATGCTGCAGTTTAATGACCCTTGAAACTGCCATTTGCATGCTATCAAATATTGCTACAACTTCCAGGATCTTGTCATCAAATGACGGTGCAGCAAATATCTGAAAGGAAAAACTACATTGCACTTCTACTGAATGTTTAGGGGAAGAGCACATCAAGCAATGTAAACTGCTATTATATATATATATATATATATATATATAAATTTTAATATATTTAATAATATATTTAAGTAAATATTATTAGGAAATAATCCAATAAAAAAATCCCTGAAGATGACTTACAATAAACATAACTTTAAAAAGAGTTTTCAAACATACATGGATATACTACTCATACCTCTCATTAAGCTACTCTTTGGACCAGTTAACTAATATATTTCTAAATGATTCATCTTGGAATAAAACATGTTAAATACATGTTCATACATAATTCAAATGTGTTAATAAGATGATACATGTAGGTTTTGGAAATCTAAAAAAAAACTAGACAGGTGATACAGTTTCCTAGAAAGGTGATATAGTTTCATAAGGTTAATGAAGATGCAAATTATGATCCAGTTCACTTGATATGTTCTAAGGGAAATCTTGCAAGGTTTTACAAGCAATATACATATGTGCTTTATATTTTAATACAAAACTTTTGAGGGAACTTGAGAGTATGCAAATAGAAACCTCAGAGGATAAAAATTATGCAGACTTATTTTGTCTTTACATTAGATGCATTTTCACAAAATTAATTTACTATAAAATTTTATATGTAGGCTGTATTACCTAATCATTTTTACTCTCTCTTTTACCATATCATAAATAATATGCATCTGAAACCATTTTCAGTATAAAGTAGTAAGCTAATTCTTTCACTGAAAATATCAGGACACAAAGTTGCTAACATTGATGATTTCTTGTAATTTTTTTATTATACTGCCTGAATTTAAACCCTGTCTCTGCTAGTACTAACTGGAAACTTTGCCTTAGATTCTTCAGTGGTAAAAATCAAATAAGCAATGTGGATATGAAATAATGAATGTGAAGCTCTTAGAACATTGTCAGACTACCTAGTAGGTGTTCAAGGAATGTTGGCTTTATTTATCTTAATCTCACTGATTTCTCCCCTTCAAAATACTTAATAGTGACAAGCAGACAAAAGATGTTCTTATACTCAAATAGGACTGGAATATATTTATGTTATGAAAATTACAAATACTTTTCAATTGATCTTATACTTTAATCCCTACCTGTCCATTTAAGATCTTTGAGAAAAATCGATCAGTAGGAACCATTATATCGTTATATCATAAACTGAAAATCAATGGATGTGACTCTTCAAATAAAGACTGTGATCACACTTCTCATTTTTACTGATATATACATACTTTGATAATTGTGCCCTCTCTTTCATTCTTTTCACAACAATTACATTTGTAAGGTTGTGTTTTCTTCTTTTTTAATATAGAAAAGTATGAAAAGAAAAACAAAAATAGCCCTAAACCCGATCGGCCAAATGAGCCCTCTTGATATTTCCGAAAATAAAAAAATATATACACACGCAAGTTTAGAAAGTTAAAAGTACTGAGGCTGGATGCAGTGGCTCATCTCTGTAATCCTAGCACTTTGGGAGGCCGAGGTGGGTGGATCACCTGAGGTCAGGAGTTCGAGACCACCCTGGCCAACACAGTGAAATTAAATGCAAAAATTAGCCAGGCGTAGTGGTGCATGCCTGTAGTCCCAGCTACCCAGGAGGCTGAGGCAGGGGAACTGCTTCAACCTGGGAGGTAGAGGTTGCAGTGAGCCGAGATTATGCCACTGCACTCCAGCCTGAGTGACAGAGTGAGACTACGTCTCAAAAAAAAGAAAGAAAGAAAGAAAGAAAATTAAAAGTACCAAAAGGTAGTTGTAGACAGAATAATGTCCCCTCTCTGCCCCCTATAATGTCCATGTCCTAATCCCCCAAACCCGTGAATTGTTACCTTATATAGCAAAAGGAACTTTGCAGCTGGGATTAAATAAACAGCCTTGAGATGGGGATGATCCTGGGTGATCTAGGCGGGCCCAATGTAATCACAGTGGTCATTAAAAGTGGAAGAAGGAGCAGCAGAGAGATGCCATGTGAGAAGGATTCAACCTGCCTTTGCTGGCTTTGAAGATGGAGGGGAATGTGGGCAGCCTCTAGATGTTCCAAAGACAGGGAAATAGAGTCTCCCCTAGAGCCTCCGGAAGGCAACAGCCCAGCTGACACCTTGATTTTAGCCCAGTAAGACTGTGCCAGTCTCCCATCATATACAACTGTAAGATGATAAATGTGTGTGAGGTGGCTAAATTTGTGTTAACTTGTTACAGCAGCGATAGAAAACAGATGCAGGTATAAAATTAAAAAGTAAAATCTTCCCTTCCTTATTTCATAAATCTACTTTCCAAAAGCAGATCCTTTAATGTTCTTCCAGAAAACTGTGACATCCATCCCAAGATACGATATCTGTATCTTCAACATGAGAAAAGTTAGAGGACATCCACAAGAGACTGTTACAATAAAATCCTAAATAAATCTATTCCATGCCTCATTTTCCCAATGCAAAATACTTAACATGAAATTAAATTACTATTCAACAGCACATTTAAAAAAGCCAATTATTCCAGTGATATAATTATTTTTGAGGAAACCAACTATTTACTCCCATTACTTACATCATCCTCTTTAGTTCCACCCCAAAAGTTAGTGCCTCCAGCATAGCTGGGAATGTTCAACACAGCTATGCCTTGCAAGCTGGGAAGAGAAATATATTGCCCATCACACTGTAATGTAAAAAAAAAAAAAAAAAAAAAAAGTAGAGATTTGATATAAAGAGCAAAACCACCAGTTTGGAAGATGCTAAAACACTAAAGATGAAGGACAATGGAGCAGAGTGTGTTCGTAATGTCTGCTCTCTACACATTACCAAATCATTTATCTTATTTTTTAATTAAAAAAAATTTGAAGTACAAATAACTATAGCAGAAGTTATTACAAAAAACTGATTTTTAAAAAAATGTTTTACCTCTTTCCTCCAAAACCAGACAGTCCTTTTCTCGAGTCATTTTCAGGCCTCTTATGCACTTGCACCTGCATTGTGGTCCTCTATGTACTTATTTTAGGCATCTTTTTGAAAGCAGGCTGGGTAAGAGCAAGTTGATCCTAACCATCTCACTTAGCCCTTCTCACAGTCCCTCATACATTGCTGGGGCTCTACAACCACCTGGGGACTGGTGAAACTCAAAAGCTGAGTACTTCAAGTAGTCAGAACCAAAGTCAAGCAAAAATATATGCATCTCGGAAAGCTCCTTGCAGTCCTTACTTTCTCATTAATCACTTAAATGAAAAGTAAATTACTATGTAAATGGCAAAAAAGGATATGGCTGGTGAAGGGATGTGAATACATTTTTACTGAGTAGAAGCAGAACTGTTACCTTCTCTCATAAATGTTGTTTCTTAAATTAATTTCAATTAATGCTGTTTATTCTATTAACTCTTAAATAAAGCCTAGTTGGCTATTAAGGAGACAATCAGTTATGAAACTAATTTTTTAAACATTACTCAAGAAAATGATCATAATTATGTTACACATATTTTATGAGGATCATAATTATTATTTTAATTAACATTTAAACCAAACCACTTGACATTTTTCTAAGTGAACATTTAAATCCAGTGGAAATGTTTAAGCCTTCATTTTAAAAGAGAACAGCTTGCAGATGTCACACTTACAATGGATGCTATATTTTCATTAAATAATTCTTATATTAAAAATAATTAACATAGCTTCTTAAAAATTACATTTTAATGCCCAGTAAAAATGATTTCCCAACAGAAAGAAATAAACTGTATTTCTGAGAGTGTGACAGAATAATTTGTTCTAGGGTAGAAACCAAGGTGAGGGGAAGAATTTCTGTAATGGGACATCTTATTGAAAAGAGCATGAAGTCCCACTGGTCTGGGATGGTTTGGGTTTAGGGAAGATTGAAGGAAAAGGTCTCAATGTCAAGAGTACCAATATTTTCTTTAATGTCTATTCAGTAGTGAGGTTCTGATTCCCCACGTAAACTGGTGAAAATCCAGGGCAGAGACCAGCAAACATCTGGAAATTGTTACAGCTGGTCCAAGATGACCTCGTAAGAGACTTCTCTGCTCTGTGAATCTGAGGACGGGGAAGAATAAGAGCTTAGTGGGGGCGTATAGGAGGTTCATCTCATCCCCAAGGACTGCAAAAAACGTTCACCATCAGAATCACACAGAAGCTTGTGTTTGCTAATTCAGCCAAAGTCAGTTCTCGGGAAGACCTCAGGGTTACTGGCTTATTGGAATGGTGTAATGGATGAAGGCCAGGATTGGCTGATTTACCTTCACGGGCATTTTTCACAATTCCTTTTTTTCTTTTTCATGAAAACACAGTGTTAACCATTAGCAGGTTTAGCTTTTCACATTCAAAGGTCCATGCACCCGTGGGTGTGTCTGGCACATAATTGGTGCTCAATGTATATTTGTTCAATGAATAAATATGAAATACTTAACAGAATAATAAACTTTTTCTCAACTCAATACATTAAACAGGTATCTTTATGTGCTTTAGAAAAAGCTGCTTTAAATCATGACTAACAAAGAAAATGGGGAAAAATACTATCTGTAAATATAAAAGAAATATTTTAAAAAGATTTTCCAAATGGATGCACTTTATTTGCAAACATGCTATGGAAAACAATGAACATTTTCAGAAGGAAGTCCCAAGTGTAGTGCTGAACTGAACATGCATATATTAAGCAACACACCTAAATCTAACTGATTAATGTCCATTTCATAGAGTCTCATAGGAAAAATACGAGGAATACAGATTCAACAAATTAACAAATTCACATGATTCAAAAGTTTCTTAAATCCAGGAAAAACTTCAGGAGTGTTAAACTTTTAAAAAATATTTCCAATAGCCCCAAATATCCTTTATTTTTATTTATTATTTTTGAGAGATGGGGTCTTGCTCTGTCACCCAGGCTGGCAAGTAGTGGTGCCATCACAGCTTACTGCAGTCATGAACTCCTGGGCTCAAACCATCCTCCTGCCTCAGGCTTCCAAGTAGCTGGGATTACAGGTGCACACCACCAGAGCTGGCCCCGTAGCCATCCCATGTTTCTGTTTGTGGTTCATGATGTTGCAAAATGCTACAAAACTGCCGCTATATGTTTTTTCTTATTAGTGTCTGTTTTCTCTGCTCCTTTCACCGGACAATCTGATATGGATGGAAGATGGTGGAGCTGGATTGAATTCTGTCACTTAGTATTTGGGTAAGTCCCTTAAGCTTTCAGAGCTTTGCTTTGCTCATCTGTAAAATGGGCTAACAATTCTTAGCACACAGTGAGGCCAATGAGATAAGGTAAAGAAAAGCACCTAGAACACACGTGGGAAGTCAGTAAATTTCCTTCTTCAGTTATAATTACAAATTGTCTTATGGAAAAAACACTGGATTTGAAATGTTGGCTCTTCCAGTTATCAGCTGTTTGAAATTAAGCAATGCCTTTACTCTTTTGAACTGAATAATACCTACCTCATGAGTTGTTAAGAATTAAAGGTGATATGTAGAAGGCATATAGTAAACTTCATTTAAAATGATTTTAGTTATTACAGAAATGAATTAAAGATAGAAATTACTATTAACATAATAAACTAAATTTATTTTGTTTTTTAAAAAGATACAGATTATGGGAAGATTTGAAATAACTAAAAATGTGAATTAGACAACTATTTGTTCTCAATCACATATTTCATTATAGCCTACAGATGAAGGCTATTTTTAAAAGTTATTTGTTTTTCTTCACGTATTTTAGTACTTACAGGATTTGAAGCAATATATAATTATTATTTCAGTTAACAAATAGAACAGGCTGCTTGACCCATGTAAATTAGGTATATTATGGGCAAAAAAATCATCCTTCTTATGAAAAAGTTTGAAATTTTAATACAATTCTTCCATTTACATGTGAAAGGTATTTCTACTCTAAAAGTAGCAAAATATGATACTGTGAAGTTATTTCACATTTCTGGAATTCCCAGCATTGTCAAAAGGATTCTGAATCTCACTCCAGATTTCTCAAAGTTGGGTATATATCAGAATCACTGATAATGTGGCTTGGGAAATAAAGTTTGTATTTGTACAGTTCTTTTCTATTTACACTGTGATTTACAGTACCTTAGGCTCATTTATTTATGGTTTGCACAAAATCATTATTTTATCAATTTCGTGTATAGGGAAACCAAAGTCAAAGTCTTTGTTCTGCACAAATGTAAAGTTAGGACATGAAGTCAATCTTGTTCCATATCCACAACAGAATAGGGGAAGGAAAACTTAGCTGAGGAAAAAGGTAAGAGTAAAAAGCAAAAAGGAGGGCCACTGGTGAAGGCATCTCTCTGAAAATAGCCTCCCAAAGTGTGGGTCTCTCTTTTCCACCTTTATCCCGAGTGAACCATCATCAGACACATGACTCTTTAGACAACAGGCCTTCCACCGTCCTTAGAAGTAGAACGTATCTTTTTGATTTACTTTATTATTATGGATTTTTTGTTAACTATGGCAAAGAATGCTCTACTTTTTCTACTTTATTTTTATGTATATTAACATGTTTTCATTTATCTTGTTTTACTCATTTTATTTACCTTTTTTATCATTTAACATATACATCTACATTAAGTGTTCTTAACTTAAGGTTCAGAAACCAGGAGTCCATGGATAGATTCAGGCGATTTATTAACTTCCTGGTAAAAATCCATATCTTTATGTTCACTAACCTCTGAAGTTTAGCATTGCCCTCAATTATAAATGTAGGGGGAAAAAGGCATTAGTAACACATGTGATTCCATCATCAATAGAAATGAGACATTTTTATATTACATTATAGATGTTTCAGATATCTTGTAATATAAGTTCATCATTACTTTGAAGCTATGGTATTTATTAGACATGCCATTAGATTTTTATTTGATACGGTAATGATGAAACACATATGTTATTCTTTAGAAACATAAAAATATGTTGTTAATTTATTTTAGTATTATTGGTAAGTCTTCTTTTGTAAGTCTGTATTTCATATAGTGCATTTGAAAACAATATTCTGAGAAGGGGTCTTTATTTTCACCAGAATGCCAAAGGTGTCTACAACTCAAAAAAGATTAAGAACCTTTTAAAAAGAAGAGTACAAAGCAGCTGTGGAAATAAGGTATCTTGTTCAAAATTTGGACCACCAGTAGAAGAGGTTACTAATCCTATTTCTGAAGAGCTGAGGCTCTTCCAGGAACTAAGACCATCCAGTCACTCAGATCCAGCTAGTTTTTCAACCCTTAAAGATGGCTGGCTATGCTTGATCACAGCACTTAATGAATTATGCTAAAGTGATCACTTAGCCATCCATTTCCGCCTCAAAACAGGGCCAGTACTGTGCTAAACACTGGAGACAGCAAAGATAAAAACAACCTCCCATGTGTCCTTGAGTGTGGCCAGGCCGGGCGCGGTGGGGCACACCTGTAATCCCAGCACTTTGGAAGGCCGACGTGGGCGGACCACGAGGTCAAGAGATGGAAACCATCCTTGCAAACATGGTGAAAACCCATCTACACTAAAAACACAAAAATTAGCTGGGAGTGGTGGTGCACACCTGTAATTCCAGCTACTTGAAAGGCTGAGGCAGGAGAATCACTTGAACTCAGGAGGCGGAGGTTGCAGTTAGCCAAGATCAGGCCACTACACTGCAGCGTGGGTGACAGAGCGAGACTCCATCATCCAACAAAAAAAAAAAAAACAAAGTGTGGCCACCCAGGGTATATGAAGAAAAGGAATGATTACATGATTAGTAGGGTACCTAAGCTGACCTGGGCACGGGGTGTCAAGGATAGCATTTACAAAATGTGAACCTTCCTGATTTTGTACCTTTTTATCCAGTAAGTCTATCTTAAATCTTAGAAGCAATAATAAATCAAACCAGCTGATCATACAGCTGTATGTTTAGAGTGAAAAGTATAATAGGCTCATCTTGACTAGGAAATATAGTTGATAAAGAATGAGCTACAGACACCTCATTAGTCAACACTGCAGTGTTTGGATAATACCCCAAATAATAATGCTCTGTTTATTTTGCTGAGTTGTAGACTTAAGATTTTATAATTCTGTATATGTATGATATGCTTTAATTAAAAATATATAGTTATAAAAAGATACAAAATAGGGAAGACATGCCCATCAGCATCAACAGTGAGTCCTGGATCAAAGGTAAAAGAAAATAAAATTCACAGAAATTAATATTCTTTTCAGAGCCATATCCCCAGCCTTGTTGTTTGTGTTGTTGGAAGAGATAAAATAACTTTTTCTGTCCTTAATTTCCTATTTAAATTAGTTAAAAACAGTAAAACATTTAAATGCTCAAAATATCTTTTAATTTTACTTGTCGTTAGCAATAATTGGAGCAAAAAATAAATGTACATTTAAATTAAAAGATTCTATTTACTTCAAATGTTATTTTCAGGGATTTGCGAAACTTTGGTTATTACAGAATTGGGTCAGAATTTGGAAGCTTAAATCCATTAAAACCCCTCTCCTATAAATGTGCTCCCTTGGCTCCACTTTTACATGGGGCACCACAACTCCAGAGTAGCCCCAATTTCAGGAACTAATGATGATGATAATTAAGTGTGTCATTCATATCCTGTGTATATACTTCCTTTAGTACAAAGTTGATAATCACATTCATTTTTCCCTTGTATATTTATTTAATCACTAATCAAAATGCATTTAGGTCAAATTAGCTCCAAGATGATATTTTTTTTTTTTAAGTAAGATAATATGAGATATCTTTACTTGAAGATGAACTTACCTCAAGTTGAACCCTTTGTTCTAAATTCTTGTACGATCTCTGTAATAACTCCCGGGTTCCAAGCACTCCATACCACATCAAGTTTTTAGTTCGGCTCCTGAAAATAAATATTGGCAGGTAATTTCAGGACATTTTATTTATTTACTCCTTAAAGGCAAAGCAAGCAAAAGAGATAATAAATGAAGAAAAAATTACCTTTATGTAATAGCATTATTACTTTTACTAAAATTACCTGCATTTTTCAGGGTGCTCCTCTCTTTTATTATTAAATTCTAATGAAATTTTTGCATCTAATCCAATCCCAAAGTAATTGTTCATGACACATTTTTCTGAATATCCATCTCTATGATCATAGGGAAAAGTACATCAAAGTCAATTTCAGATTCATTGCAACAATTACAATTTGTACACAAGACAGTACTTAAAACCATTTAAGCTTCCATTCCTTATAGCAGATTGTAAAACTTAGCACTAATCACTTCCTATTCCTGTGTCATGTCTACAACCACAGGACATGTGTTCAATTTCTGGTACATGTGACATAAAGGGATGGTGAGCAAGGCAAAACAGACACACAATTATGGTGTGATTTTCACAAAATCTTAGTTCTATTTCTTTTTTTTATTATTATCTTAGTTCTATTTCTACATAAGTTCCTCACTACACAGAAAAATGCAGATGATTATGGGAAGGCCTTACAGTCAGGTGCCAATTCTCTCTCTCTTTTTTTTTTGTTTATCGTTAGAAAGTCTCCTCCACTTCTACGCTTAACAATGGACAAATATTTATTGAGCAAAAAAGTACTAGATCCAATCCATTCTTCTAGGTGTTTCGGAACGTTTAAAATATGGTACTGTCCTTGAGGAATGTCATTACAGAAATGATATAACAAAAGCAAAATTTAAAAAGGAAGTAAAAGAAAGTATATCTTGAACTGCCAAAAAATTGTAGGAGTCTTAAGAAGGGAAGAGATCAGCGTGGGCCAAAAGATTCCCAAAATAAGTAAACCCAGAAGCTGACGTGGAAAGATGACAGGTCTGGCAAGACTGAGAAGAAAGGAGGTAAAGGGAATAGCATCAGTTCTACTTATTAGTCCCTTCCTTTGCCAGAGGGTTGCTCTCAGAGAGAACGGGCCGGCTGGAAAAGGACCTACCTCAGGGACAGACCATGGAGACCACTGAATTTTAAAGGTCTCAATGTGCTTGGCATGATCAACTTTTGTAATTTTCTGATCATCCTTTTTTTACATGGGACCATATTTATTGTAATACGTGTAAAATGTTACAATTCATGTTGAAAAGAAACAAGAAGAACCCAAACAAAATATTTGCAAAAGCATTTTCTTACACGGAATCTGGATCTGGGTCAATAAACGGCGTGGCACCGAAAGGATCAATGTTTGCTAGTAACATTTTGTTGATAATTGAACTCCCAGCAATAGAGGCAGCCAGTCCCGCTCTTAAACCTGGACAGAAAAACAAATAAAGATGGGATCGCGTGTTAAGAAAAAAACAGAGAAAGAACCAGTCCATGCAGACCTAATGTCAAATATCTTACTTTTAAAAGCATGGTTTTCAGTGCCTACTCTTCTCATTAATCAAAATTAAGAACAATGACATTTGTGAATACAAGGCATTAGACACTTCCAAGGATCTATATATATAAAGAATTAAGGAGAGGAGGACCTAAATAGGAATGGCTTTGTGACACTTTCCCATTTACCATCCCAATAATTCTATAACAAATAATTCTATAACAAATACATGTTACTTCCTTTGTTAGAGCAAAGATGGTATTAAGTCTGTAAGGAATTTACAATAAAGGTGGAATTACCCAAAATGTCATGGAGTTATCACTTCAATATTCTCAAATCATAGATAATGATACTCAATTTAAAATACTAAGAGATGTATTAAGGTGAAGACTCACTGTTAGTTTTAAGAATAAGTAGTAAAGTATTAAAGTAGGTATCTGTGAATTTTAGAAGAATATAGTATTAAATATAAAAAATGAAGCCTCTATCTTACTTCAAATTTATTTCACCATGCTTTCCAACTAGTTTTCTAACTGTTACAGTATTCAAAGCTAATGAATTTTATGATCTACTCAACCCAATATGAAAACTAGAAGCACTAAAGTCTGGAGAGGAGACAAACTAATAGGGACCTACAAGAACAAGGGAAACACGAGGAAATTAGAAAAACAAGTTCCTTCTTTTTCTTTTTATTTTCTTTAGAGATGAGTCTCACTCTGTTACCTAGGCTGGAGTGCAATGGTGCGATCACAGCTCACTGCAGCCTCGATCTCCCGGGGTTCAAGCAATCCTCCCACCACAGTCTCCCAAGTAGCCTGGACTACAGGCATGTGCCACCATGCCCAGCAAGTCCTTTCTTTAGCAAACATTCCTTTCCTCAGCACTATGCTCTTCTTAGGGAATTATTATCATTCATTATTTTAATGTTTAGGCAATTATCAAATACAATGAATTTTGTTCTTTCATTTAATGACATAGTTTTGAATATACTGTAGCATACTTCTTTATGCCAATTTCCTTTATGTCTAAACAAGTAAATGAATGAAGAAAACAATAAATTTAGTAAGCATAAAGAACAGTTTGGAGAGGTGAGAGCCACACTCTAGCTGCCCCAGAGGAAAGTGTTAATATCTTCCTTCCTTCCTTCCTCCCTCTTTTTTTTTTTTTTTTTTTTTTTGACAGAGTCCCACTCTGTCGCCCAGGCTGGAGTATAGTAGCATGATCTTGGATCACTGCAACCTCTGCTTCCGGGGTTCAAGGGATTCTCCTGCCTCAGCCTCCCAAGTAGCTAGGATTAAAGGGGTGTGCCAGCATGCCTGGCTAATTTTTGTATTTTTAGTAGAGACGGGGTTTCACCATGTTAGCCAGGTCTCAAACTCCTGACCTCAGGTGATCTGCCTGCCTTGGCCTCCCAAAGTGCTGAGATTACAGCCGTGAGCCACCGTGCCCAGCCAAGCCAAGTGTTAATATTTTCTAAGATGTTTTAGGGTTAGCCATATTCCTTTCAACTTTATTCCAGAGGGGTTATCCCAAGGTTCCTAGTTGGAATAGGAACACAGCTTCTAAATCTGAAGGCCTTTCCAGAACCAGTTTGTTCCAGACTGATCTTTCTTTTTCTCTTTTAATATTTCTATTCTGATACAATTGATATATTATAAAATTAACCCTTTTAAAGTTTTTAGATAATTCAGTTGTTTGTAATATATACACAAAGTTGTGCAACCATCACTATTAATTCTAAAACCTTTTCGTTTCCCTGCAAAGTAATGGTGCACCCACTAGCTGTTATTTTCCATTCCATCGATCACCTCACCTCCAGGTCCTTGGGAACCACGATCTACTTTCATGCTTATTCTGCGCATTTCATACAAATGCAGTCATATTACATTTGGCTTCTAGGTTCACTTTCCATAGTGTTTCTATATAGCATGTATCAGTGCTCCATTCTTTCTAATGGGTAGGTAATATTCCATGGTGTGAATATATCACTTTTGTTTATCCATTCAACTGATGGATGTTTGGGTTGCTTCCACTTTGGGACTATTGTGAATCCTGCTATAAATAGTCACGTACAAGTTTTTGTGTAGACATGTATTTTCAATTCTCTTGGGTGTATACCTGGTAGTAAAATTGTTGGGTTACATGTAAACTCTATGTTTAACTTTTGGCGGGACTGTGAAACTATTCTTAAAATGGCTGCACCATTTTACGTTCCTACCACCAATGTATGAAAGTTCTAATTTCTTCACATCTTTGCCAATATTTGTTATCATCTGTCTATTTTGATCACAGTTATCCTAGTGGCATAAAGGGGCAACTCGTTATGGTTTTAATTTGCATTCCCCCAGTGACTAATGGTGTTGAGCATCCTTTCGTGTATTTATTGGCTATTTGTGTATTTTCTTTGGGAAAATGTCTATTTAGATTCCTTTTCCATTTTAAAAGCAAGATATTTACCTTTTTATTGTTGAATTTTAAGAGTTCTTTGTATGTTCTGGATACTAGACCTTTATCAGATATATTATTTGTAAATTCTTAAGTTGTCATTTCACTTTCTCAATAGTGTCCTTTGAATTACAATACTATTAATTTTGGTAAAGTCCAATTTATTTGTCTTTTGTGGTGTGTGCTTATCATATCGAAGAAATCATTGCGTAATCCAAAATTATGAATAATTTACATCAATGTTGTCTAAAAATGACTACAGAGAGACTTATGGCTTAAAACCAAAAGGATTCAGCAGAACGCTGACTAAAAAACACCAAAAGGAAAGCTTAAGAAGTAGTAGAACGTAAGTTCAGACTTACTTTGGGAACTTAGTAAATGCAGATTCCTGGACTCCACTCCAGAACTACCAAATCATAATTTCTCAGGGCAGGACCCAGAAACACGTGTGGTTTTTTTGTTGTTTGTTTGTTTATTTTCTGAGACGGAGTCTCACTCTGTCTCCCAGGCTGGAGTGCAGTGGTGCGATCTCAGCTCACTGCAACCTCCACCTCCTGAGTTCAAGCAATTCTCCTGCCTCAGCCTCTTGAGTAGCTAGGATTACAGGTGTGCGCCACCACACCCAGCTCATTCTTTTGTATTTTTAGTAGAGACAGGGTTTCACCATGTTGGCCAGGCTTGTCTCAAACTCCTGACCTTGTGATCTCCCCATCTTGGCCTCCCGAAGTGCTGCGATTATAGGCGTGAGCCACTGAGCACGGCCAAAACATGTGTTTTAATACTTTCTAGGCAACTGCTATACAGGGAAGAATCTAAGGGCCTAGATTCTGGCTGAAAGTATAACAAGAACAGTCTACTAAAAGAACATTTATCTTTAAGAACATGTTTCCACAGTAATGGAAATAAATACTTAATATTTTCACAGAAATACTGAAAAATACACAATGTTTCAGAATCTGTACTACCTGGGCAGATTATTCTGGTATTGAGCACAGGGAGGTTTTCTTTGCTGGCTGCCACAGCTGGACCAGGGACAGAATCAGTTTGGGAATGGCCATGACTTGCCCGGGCATCTGGAGACCGAGGTGCAGTTTTAACTGTTGGCAAAAAGTCCAGATTAAAAAGAGACAATGATAAAGCTATAAAAATAAGCAAGTTCCTATAAATTTAAAACATAAAATAATGTTTAAACCAATCAGTAGAAATGAAAATATTATGCATAGCTATTGTTTACATTTTCTTGAGACTTACATGGAGGGAATCAGAAGTCTTGATTCCTCATCTCAAATAGAAGAAGATCAGTAGAAATAGATGTCTACCATAATTAAAGGTCACTAATACTCATAATGTGAATATGATCAACTCACACTTAAAGATAAATGAAACTTTTGAAGTCTGCTTATTTTTGAAAATGAAACATATGTGTTATAATGCACCCTACCCATCTAATCCTTTTCTCATAAATATCAAATGAATGATCAAATTTAATTAATGTAATTCCCAGAGCAAACACATGAAACATGATTTAACATTGCCTTCAATAAATGGAAGGGGCTAGGTGTGGTGGCTCATGCCTGTAATCCCAGAGCTTTGAGAGGCTGAGGCGGGAGGATTGCTTGAGGTCAGGAATTGAAGACCAGACTGGGCAACATAGCGAGACCCTGTCTCTACAAAAATGTTAGCCAGGCATGGTGGCATGCACCTGTAGTCCCTGCTACCTGGGAGGCTGAGGCTGGAGTGATCACATGAGCCCAGGAGTTTGAGGTTACAGTGAGCTACGATCACATCACTGTACTCCAGCCTGGGTGACAGAATAAGACTCTGGCTCATAAATAAACAAATAAATGGAAGAAAAATAGCATCTATCTTCAAGTGAAATTAACATATTTTTCCTGTACTTCTTAATTATTTATTCAAAATGATTTGCCCAAACAGTTCTATCATATTCCTGTAAAAGTTCAATACATGTGAAAAATTATTCTAAAATATAATTATTCCCAAAGTAAACAACAAAAAGAAAGATTTAACTCTAAACTGAGGCAAGTTAATGCAGAGCAAATGGTACCTTTAACCAATTTAGGAGTTACTGGTAGGTATTTTTAGGAAACAGTAATTCTCAAACGCAATTTTAAAATACTCTAAAACTTAATTATCTTCACTCTCCCTAAAACTAATTACAAGCTAACTATATTAATTTTACACTCTATTCTCTCATTCAAAACCAGTCCCATTGCAGTAAAGTAACAGAACAGCCACCCCTTTTTAAAATAGGTAGGACTCCTGGGCTAATTTCTCATAAAAACAACTTTTTGATGTTCAACTCTGACAAAAAGCAGGGAGTGTACTAATGACTAAGACTGATGTTCCACTACAGGTAACTAAATTAATGTTTTCTGGTTCCTCTTAAATAAATAATCTCATCAATCATCTTAATATACTGTCTCACATCTCAGACATATGAATTATTACATGACACAATAAATGTGCCTCAAAAAGTAGTATTTCATATACTTATACTTCCACTATTGCTACTGATTTCCAACAAGTCAGATTACTAGCCAAAATAAAGAACAAATACTGTACCATTAAAGACTTTTCTAAATCGGCGTCTATTTCAGTATCAACATTTACAGCACTATATTTGTATTTTTAAATTTCCTTTACAGGCCACAATGGAAGTGTCAAGTTTAAGAGTATGGTAAGGTGGGATGATAACCGGTTGGAAAACCATTAAATAAGCTTTGACAAACCAATCCTAACAGCCATCATCTTAGGAGGAATTATCAGTGTATAGGAAGGATGCCATTGTCAACTCTGCTTTAATCAATACTTTCTAATAGATGAAAACATCTAAGCCCTGCTTATCAAATTCACAGATGAAATAAACTTAAGATGATAGAATCAAGCTTCACAAGACTTCACAGGATGAAATAATAGATCTAAATAAAAAAGATTAAAGTTCATTGGGATGAGTGTAGACTACTATAATTAGGTTTTAAAAAAGAGAAGTCTTGGATCGTCTTTGTAACATCAAAAATGTCCTGAATGAGTAGTGTACGGGTACCAATGTGCTAATACACCACAGAAAATATCTGAAGAATTTTGTTTAAAAGAGTGCATCATATTTTAAGATAAACATTGACCAAATGGGTGCAACCAGAAAAACAAAAGGTTTAAAATCATCAATTTAAAAACTGGTAGAGAAATTTTAGGGCTGATCATCTGGAAAAGAAGATGTAAGGTGAGAGAAGGTCTGATGCCACCAAAGCTGTTTTCGGTATCATTTAAGGGCGGCCACATGAAGAAGAAAAAGAAAGAAGAAAGAAGAAGGAAGAAGAAAGAAGAAGAATAAAGAAGAAAGAAAAGAGGAAGAGGAAGAAGAAAGAAGGGAGGAGGAGGGGGAGGAGGAAGAGGAGAAATAACTCCAAAGGCAGAGTCCTCTTTGATATAGTGAAATGTATATGAAATTGCTCCTTAAACTAACCATAAGCACTACATAAAGGCCAGTAGTTGTTACTGTCAAACTATCATTCATAAAACCTAATAATTACTGTAATCATGGGTAGAAATTTAAGGGAGAAAATAGAAAGCTCAATATAAAGAATGACTTTCTAACAATTAGAGCTGACCTTAAGAGGGGGGTGTACTGAAAGTGAGTGGTCCTAAGGCTTGTGGCCATCTGCTTCAAGGGTCCTAGAACACGCCTGCATTGGGTTGTATGCTGAACATGTGAGGTCCATGAGGTCTGATTTCAAAGTCTTTAAGAGTCTCAAGTACAATGAAATATTCTCTCACAGTTAATGTAATTAGTGGCAGCAGCAGCAGCAGTAGCAATAAAAATAACAACAATAAAGATGACAGTGAACACTCAGACAGCACTATCTACCAGACACTATTCTAGGCACTTTACGTACAGTAACTTTTCAACTTTCGCAACAACCCAATGAAGTAAGTAGATTATTATCCTCATATGAGAGATGAGAAAACCACAGAGAGGTTAAGAAATTTGCCCAAGTTTATATGTAGTGAAAGTAAAAGCAAAAATTTAATGATTGCAAACATTTTTAAAATTTTTTTGAGAATAAGATAAAAACAGGTATTTAAATTTCAAATAATTTTATCAATTATCTTTCCTTTTACTTATTAAGTTTATTCTACTTATTTAGCTTCATATTAAAGCTAGAACTTAGCAACAACATATTAATAAACCTACCATCTAATTTTTTTCAAAGTTAACAAGTAATGTTTCAAACACGTAACATTTAAAATGTACTCACTACTACTAGTCCTGTAGTAAATCGTCCATAAACATGCGGAATGAAAGGTCTTCGTCGTGCCACAGCTCAGGCAGAAAATGTTAATCTGATACGGTCAGCTCTCCATAAATTTGATTTTTTTCATTGTGTGAAGACGTTTCTTTTTTTATAATTTCAACTTTTATTTTAGATTCAGGGGGACGTGTGCAGGTTTATTGTCTGAGTATACTAAGTGATGCTGAGGTTTGGGGTATGATTGATATCATCATCACCCAGGTACAGGGCATAGTACCCAATAGTTAGCTTTTCCACCATTCCCACCCTCCCACTTCTAGAGTTCCCAATGTCCACTGTGACTGCAAACAGTTCTGATATAATGGTGCTGACTCTTCATAAGTGCCATGTATTTATTTTTGTGTTGCCTCATCTTCATTAATATTTTAATTTCTGCTTTTATTCCAGTAAGTTAGAAACTTTTCCCTTAGGCAATATAAAATATTAAAAGTATAAATTCATTTTCAATTAAAATCTAAAAGGTAGAAAAATATTTAACATTCTTCAGGCGATTACATATTCCTTTCCTTACAAAAATAGTTTCAACAAAGCAAGGCCTGTAATTGGAAGTCCTGTGATTTTAAAGCTTGCTTTAAAGTCCTATGATTTTGAAGCTTAATAAAGACTATCAACCCAGAAGGTTGATTGATGGAACGGAAGGGACTGCTGAATCACTTAAATGCCAAATTTTGTGCATTTGGAGCGTTAGGAGAGCTGCAGCTTTCTTACAATTCTCAAAGAAATCTGTGAGCTATAATGGGTTCAAATCAGATGATTTAAGTGTTTCTTTCCTCTTTCCTCAGGAAAATCAACATATTTAATCATCCTTAGTCATATAATCCTTAGTTTACTGTTACAATCTCTAGATCACATGATAAGAGAGGGATGTGAGAGTACTGGACAATAGTCTAATCTTCATTATTTTATTATTCATGAATATCCATCTAAGCATTAACTTCCAAAAAGCCTCTTCGAAAATAAAAATACAAATAGTTTTTTTCAAACTGATCAGCCTTTTGAAAACTAAAAGCAAAATGACATTTTATTTAATTCCACAATAATTTTTTTCCCGTTTCCTCACCAGTTAGTGATTCTTTGGCACCATCGTCTTTAGCTTCCTCCTTAGACTCATCTGTTTCTGTGCTGTCATAATCAGAGGACTGATTAGCTGGTTCACAGGGGTGAACTGTAGGGTCATCCATAACTTCAGGTAGTAAGAAGATAAACAGTTTGGATAGGTAAAAATAAAGTCCATTAATATTAACATATGCTTAGGAAAGGAAAATTGAAACATATGCTAAAAGAAATTCCAGATTCACAAATAAACACTATTTAGCAATGAACTTGGGGTTGAGGTCTGAAGAACTAAAGATTAAAAACTAAAGTTGCTAAAATTATATTTTTATCAGAATAAAAAAGTAAAGTATAAGATTTTAGAGAATGAAATACAAGTTACAACCTATAAAGGGGTTTTTGAACATTAATTATTCCTATTAACATTAACATTCAGACCATAGCGAAAATTCTGAGAAGTATTGATATACACATTAATTAAAACAAGGCAGAGCTTTTATAAGCTCTTAATAAAGCAACATAAACATCTGGGAAATTAATGTTAAGAAAATATTTTCTGGCAGGGTGCAGTGGTTCACGCCTGTAATTCCAGCACTTTGGGAGGCTGAGGTGGGTGAATCACTTGAGCCCAGGAGTTTGAGATCAGCCTGGGCAACGTGGTGAAATCCCCTCTCCACCAAAAATACAAAAAATTAGCTGGGTATGGTGGTGCACACCTGTGGTCCCAGCTACTCAGGAGGCTGAGGGAGGAGGATAGCTTGAGCCTGGGAGGTGGAGGTTGCAGTGAGCTGAGATCACACCACTGTACTCCAGCCTGGGCAACAGAGTGAGATCCTGTCTCAAAAAAAATTTTCTTTTCTATATTTTCAAAGTAGGTTTACAGGTTTGACTTTCTTCAAGAATTCAACAGATTCCAATTAAGTAAACTATATCTAAAATTTTTTCTATGTCGTTTAAACTACTTTTATATTTTAGATAGAAATGTTTCAATTTACCTTATTTCTGATATTTTATTGTATTCCTCACTAATATGCTGATTCTTACTACTACTATTACAATATATAAGACTATGTACAAGTTTTCTTATAATGACTTTATCTTCTATCTTGCCTTAAAAATTTTGTTTTTAAAAAGTGTGTCCAATCTGACCACTATGAAAACTCTGTTATGCTTGCAGTAGAAATGCTGCCAACTTCTTCTAAAGCTTGTTAATGTGTACCTTTTTCGGCTTCCTCAATGACTTGCCTCACTGCTTTCTTTAAACTATTTGCCCGCAACATGATTTCTCTTGGTTTGACGGCTTTCTGGGAGGAAGGTTTGGTAACGTCATCCACAAGCTGTTCTTTGCTTTCACCCAGGGACTCTTCACTGGACGATTCCACAGCATCTTCCTCCACAATGAGAGGGCTGAGGCCAGGGAGAACAGGTGCAGCCTGGGAATCTGTGTGCAAAGCCTGCAGCAGTTGTTCGAGCTTCTCGTTCAGGACTGAACACTGAGAGGAAAATACGGCAATGAGAAAAATATTCAAAAATAATCAAGATCAGCAGACAAAGTACAAGAAATGTTTATAGAGATGTTTTGAAAGTGTAATTACTAGAGAGAAAAACACTAAAATTCCCACCTTTAATTTTGTAGATGCTTTGGTTCGGGAAGCTGCTAATTTTAAAACCTCCATTTAGTAGAGATAGACAATGATAATCTAAATTATGGTTTTTGATTTAGAGGGACGATGTCTTTATTGATGTTTACTACATGGAATAATTTATAATTTTTTAAGTTGGCACAATTATTACAGAATTTCATTGATTTGTAATTTCAGAGTCACTCAGACTCCATTTCATGGGGAAAAAAATCTTTACAATGTGTAAACAGCTATTTTTCTTAAAATAACACAACAGACACTTTATACAAAGTGATGCTTTGTATAAAAAATTACACAAAATTTGCTATACATTATAACAAAACACTGGATCAACTTTTTTAAAAAAAGTAATTGACTTAATGCACCATTCTGAGCATCACAAACGGCACGTCTGGCTGAGCCGCAGCAAACTCCCCTTCAAAGCTTTGGTTTGCAAAGGAGTGAACAATGCCTAAGGGATTATTGGCTCAAAGAAAGTGCAGGAAGGAAAAGGCACAAGGATAAGGAGGGAAAAGAAGAGGGATACAGAAAGAAAAGCATGCACTAGGCAAGCCCTTGTTTCTTTCTGCTTTTCTTGTATTACGAGAGGTGAAGAAACATTTAGGACTGAAGCTGTTGATGCTACCCCCAATATACTTTTCATCTCCATAAAATTTCCAGTCCCTTTCCTCCTCATCTATTTGTCTTTGATGATATGCTGAGACAAGACTACAGCAGAAATAGTTTAGAAACAGAAGTATGGCCAGAAAGGTTTCTATTTTCCGAAACTCTCCACAGAGCAGAAAGACAAGAGAAAAAGGCAGAAAACTTCAAATATATATTTATTTCTATTTTCTTTTCCTTCCACTCAATTTAACTGCCATCTCCAGCACAGATTTGGGGAAGCTGATTCCTTTGCAAGTCCGAGATACTCAAGCCTTTTGTAAGAAGGTCCCTGTTGTGAACTTATGAAAGCAAAGGTAGTAGTTTTTAAGGTTCAGTAAACTGTTCTTATTTTAGTTTATAAAAGGGGAAAGAAATCTCTAAAGAAAAAGGCAGTGCAAGAAGCAGCACTCTGAAAGAGACCAAGAATTGTAATGTCTAGGAAATCCAAAGAACCATGCTGGAAGAGAGCTGAACTGGCCCAAACCTGCTTGGAAACGGAAAGCCTTGCTTTCCCCACTGGAACCCAGCTGCATGGGATCCCCTGTGGTCTGACTGCTATGCATCTGCCCTTCAGTCAATCATGTCCAGGTGTGCTGGCTCACACTTGTAATCCCAGCATTTTGGGAGGCTGAGGCAGATGGATCACCTGAGGTCAGGAGTTCGAGACCAGCCTGGCCAACATGGTGAAACCCTGTCTCTACTAGAAATACAAAAAGTATTTGAGTGTGGTGGCAAGCACCTGTAATCCAGCTACTTGGGAGGCTGAGACAGGAGAATCGCTTGACCTGGGAGGTGAAGGTTGCAGTGAGTAGATATAGCGTCACTGCACTCCAACCTGGGTGACAGAGCAAGACTCTGTCTCCAAAAAAAGTCAATCACTGGGACAGGGATTTGAGTTAGGTTTTCAGCAATGCAGTTTTCCTACATATTAAAGTGTAACAATAAAATAGAATATTTTTTAAAATCCTCAGATCTGATCCAAAGTAATTTTTCTTTCAATTTAAGATGTTTTGGCAGGAAAACCACTTAATCAATTTAGCTCTGAAACACAGTTGAATGTGAGCATTGTGTGTAAACCACTCTCATGCCCTGAAGGGTCCCCTCTTACTTTACTGGCTACGGCATCAGCTACAACGGCATTTTCCAAGGTTTTGTCATACGTCTTCTCTACTTTGGCAATGAAGTCCTTTACAGTTTCACATAGTGTCCTTTGAGGAAAAGAAGTTGTACAATTTAGGAAGCTTCATGAATTGATTTGCTTTGATTTATGAATATATTTAAAAAGAAACACAATTCAGCAAACTGTCAAATATCTGGGTCATCTGTACATAAATCTGCGCTTCTATCTGCTGTGCAGTTTGTCTCACATAAGTTCAAGACATTCTAAGTGATAAATGTATACGTGAATAAGCCTTGCTGTATATTACTTAAATTATAGTAATTAATGTTATAACAAGCTATCCTCAAATATTTAAATTAAGTATTTGTAGATCCCATTTAAAAATGATAAAAGCATTATCTTGCTTTCTCCACTGGAATTCTAAAGCTTATATATTTTCATAACAGAAATTGCAGTGTCGAACAAAGATAAGATTATCACTTGTCACTGCACTACTCATCATATGGATACTTTGATTGTTACAGTTACAATATATTATTACTGAAAAGAAAGAGATTGTGCATTATGCTGAAAACAAGTCTGCCATTTGAGTTATATTCTCTGTAAATCTATTCATTTCTTCCTTGAGATAACCAATGCAATAACTACAAGACTAATTTAGGTCTTGTTAGTGTCAGCAGTATATGGTTTACTTGTTTGTTTATTTTAATTACATTTGGCTTATTTGCAATAGAAATAAGCTAAAAGGCAAAATAACTTGAAACACTAACAAAATCTGTCTTTGAAAGGCTTTGGATCTGGATCTGGATCTGGTGTTGGATTAAAAACAACAATCAACAGAATGGTATATGACCAGCTTTTTTAAAGCAAAGGCGTATGCTGATAGAATTAGGTTATTTTTTAAATCATAGTATTGCTCTCTATCATTGATATAAATTGAGAAATTTAAATTAAAAAAAGGTTCCAGCAGTTATCTTTTCTATTACACTCACAACTTTCTCTGGTAGTTGAGTGGCAAAATGGTAAATTTCCATATACTTCAGTATTATGAACTTGAGCAATTCAATAGATACAGGACACACACACACCATCACCACCACCACCACCCCTCCCCCAACAGACACACACACCACCGACCTTCACATTTATCATCTTGGAAATTGTATTACTTCTAATAATTTTTTTTTTTTTCAGCAAACATTTCTAGATTTTATTTGAACAAAAGGTAATATTTTCTAATCCTGAAACTTCCTCGTTGGCTTTTTAAACTCAAATTTCTACAGAGAATCTAGCCTATCATTTACTAGACATGCATTCAAGTACTTCGTGTCAAGTTTTCTCTTCTTTGATCAAGAACAATACTTCATGGGATTTCTTGAAATATAACACTATCACAAAATCTCTTCTATGTATTTTACTGAAAGCATCTGTAAGATGCGCTACTTTAAGGAAGAGAAGCATTGACGCCTCTTTCTGTAACTCCAAAATAGAGGTTTTTCTTGCCATTATTATAACATCGTCTTGACATAATTTTCTCTTGGTTTGTGAAACTGCATACGTCATATCATTATCATAATACTTTTGTTGGTATTTTACTCACTCCTAGAGACAGAGCCCTTCGGCCCATCAGCCTAGAAATGAAAAGGGCAGCAGGAGTGCCCCTCCTCAGTGTGCCATGTCACTGAGCCAACAGAGACTGACAGAGACACTATGATCCTGTGACAGTGGTGGCCAAAGGAGCTGAGGAAGGGGCAAGTGAAAGGAGAGTGCTCGTCACACAAGTGTGGAAAGAATCAGAAGACATGCTCTATCTTATGGCTCATTAAGTTCCATACGCTAGAAGGAATATAGATATTTATATTCTGGGGGAATGAAGTAACCTTTTATTATACCTAAATAGTGAATGTAGAGTTATTAAAACAGAAATAAAATATATTCTTAAAAATAGTATGATTGCAAAGTCCTACCAACCAGAAACTTGCAAATTGGAGAAAAGACAATCTTAAGATGTATTTACCATAGGAAGACAAAACATATTCTCCAACTATACACACAGTTTTCTACTTTATGCATAAGACTTCCAGAAAAGATGTGCAAAAGTCAAATAAATGAAAGTAGAACACAGATTTCCCCATAGAGATTAAAAAATTCTAAATTCCCAATTATATCTTTAATCAATGTTAGAACTCTAAAAAATAATAAAATGTTTAGAGACGGGGATCTTGCTTAGTTGCCTAGGCTGGAGTGCAATGGTGTGATCATAGGTGACTGCAGCCCTGAACTCCTGGACGCAAGTGATCCTCCCAGCTCAGCCTCCTGAGTAGCTAGGACCACAGGTACATGTCACCACGCTGAGCTAATTAAAAAAGAAATGTTTGTAGAGATGTAGTCTCTCTGTGTCGCCCTGGCTGGTCTCTAACTCCTGGCCTCAAGCAGTCCTCCTGCCTTGGACTCCCAAAGCAATGAGATTACAGAGGTGAGCCACTGCGTAAGGCCTAGACAGAACTTTTGGTATTTCCAACATTTTCTTTCTTTAATTGTGTTCTCTTCCTTCAAAATTGAACATAGTCAACTGTGTGAACCAAATACTCAGTTGAGGCTAACAACAGTTCACATTTCACATACCTGATGATTTCCACCATCATCTCCACTATATTACATATGTTAGACCCATACTTCTCATCACTAGTATTAGTACCCTCATTTACCAGCTTTCCACTTAAGTTCTGAAAGTATGGGCAAATGACAATAAAATATGCACATACTACACTAAGATAAATATGGCAATGGTACCCAGACAGAATCATAGATTGGCAGGCAGGGTCATCGTTTGGGAATCTGAAAAATTCATTTTTCATCTAATAAAAAGTTCCAATTTGAAACTGAAGACGATTTAGAAGTATCAGCGTGTAACACATAAAAATCTCTAGCTATTTTTGTCTCTAGCTAGATTGTGGTCTGAGGAAATATTTTTAACAACTACCTCCCTTCACCAATTAAATGAAGCAGGTTGGCCTAAATTATCCCTAAAGCAGGTTCCAAATTTAAATTCTATAGTTCTATGACAATGGCATCAATATTCCTGCTAGTTAGTTATCCCATTTTCTGAAACTTTTGTATACAGAACAAATTGCATTTATTTTAAAACTTGGGGGGTGAGTAGAGTGCATAAGTAAAAATCCTAATTAACTCCAACTGTTAAAGCTAAAAAAGTTTTAAAACTATTGACTAAATAAAAGGAGAGACATATATTGCAGCTAAAGACAACTGACTTAATAACTGGTTTTCATTTTTATTAATAAATGGTATCTATGATTGCTAATTAGAGCTGTGATTCTCAGAAGATAACTCCTATTACCATATCAAATTGATGAAGTGCTAAGGTCAAAGAAATGTTGTTTTAGGTTAACCCATATGTTAGCTATGTTAGTGGAATACAACTTTTCCACTAGCATTTCAACATTTTAAAAATAACTGAAAACAGTTAAGGCTACCAGGAATTATTATTGTATGAAATAAATACAAACATACACAAGAGGGTTAAAACATTTTGCCTTAATGTTGTATCACTGAATAAATAAATGACATTCACAAAATAAGGGAATTCTTTATCTAGGTGGTAATTACAAGTGTGTGTCTGTGTGTGTGTGTGAGAGAGAGAAGAGAGACTGTGTGTACACGCAGTATTTTTTTAATCATTGAGTTGTGCTCTTGTGATTTAGTTGCTTACTGTACATGGCATGCCTCAGTAAGAATTGTTTTTTAAAGGGGAACCATTATAGATTTTTTTAAGATTTTTTTTTTTTTAAAGACTGGGTCTCACTCTGTCATCCAGGCTGGAGTGCAATGGCGCGATCACAGCTCACTGCAGCCTCGAACTCTCATGCTCAAGCGATCCTCTCACCTCAGTCTCCTGAGTAGCTAGGACTACAGGCACATACCACCACACCCAGCTAATTTTAAAATTTTTTTGTAGAGAGGGGATTTCAACTATGTTGCCCAGGCTGGTCTTGAACTCCTGAGCTCAAGTAATCCCCCCATCTTGGCCTCCCGAAGTGTTGAGATTATAGGCATGGACCACCATGCCTGGTCAAGATTTTTAAAGTCTTAAAGAGATATCACTCAAATGTAGTGTGTGAACTTTGTCTGAATTTTGAACAAATAAAGTGTGTGTGTGTGTGTGTGTGTGTGTGTGTGTGTGTGTGTTTTAAAGACCTTGTCAAAATTCAGACAAGGTTCACAAAAAAAACCTCTGAGAAAACTAGGGGAAATGGGATATGGCTTAAGTAATACTGATGATATTAGAGAATTATGATTAATTTTTAGATTTTTTAAAAGATTATATGCATTCACACACACACATACAGTTAGCCCTCTATATTCATGGGTTCCATTATCTATGGATTCAACCGACCATGGATTGAAAACATTTGAAAAAGAAAGCAGATGGTTGTGTCTACACTGAATATGTGCCGACATTTTTTTGTCATCATTCCCTAAACAATACAGTATAACAACTATTTACATAGCAAATACATTCGTTATTATAAGTAACTTAGAGATGATTTAAATATGTGGAAGGATGTGTGTAGGTTACATGCAAATACTATGGCATTTTCTATGAGGGACTTGAGTACCTGTGAATACTGGTATCCAAGGGGGTCCTGGAGCCAATCCCCCATGGATACAGAGGGATGACTATATGCCAAAAGTGTAGTAGAATAATTTTCAGGATGTTCTTAGAAATACTGTAGCAAAATAAAGTAGGAAGCAGATGGCAAAATGTTGATAAATACTGAAACTGAATGATGGGTATGGTGGGAAGTAATTATACCAGTTTTCTTTGAAAATGTCCATAGAAATGAAATTTGGAGATGCTGAGCCACTGCCCATTTGCAATGGCGCATGGAAGTCAAAGCTGCACCTCCAGTGTGGCCCCTCCGGCCAGCCAGGCACCTCCGATGAGACCTGCACCCAGGCCAGCACCAGCAGCTCAGCTGCCAGCAGTGGCCCCATCCTCTGCAGTTGAGTCTCCTACTGCTGCACCCTGGCAGCCAGGTCTGATGGTCCAGATGGCAACCACTGCAGCTGGTGTGGCTGTGGGCCCTGCTGTGGGGCACACACTGAGTCAACTATCATGGGAATGGGGGCCTTCGACAGAGGAGGTAATGCTGGGCTCTCAAGGCCTGACATCACCTACCAGGAGCCTCTGGGAGACTAGCTGCACAGCAGCAGCAGCCTTGCTTGTGTAAGACAGAACAGTTTCTGGAGCGTGCCCAGAACTAGGGTGACATCAAGCTCGGTGAGGGTTCCAATGAGGTGCTGAAACAGTGCAGATGTGCACATGTACTGGCCTAATAAAGAAGTTCAACTGAAGACACAGAAAATCGGCTTTCATGACCAAGTTAATTTAGCATAAAAATGTAGGTATAAAGTGTGAAACCAGCAGTTAAGCCTCTCCTCTGTCATTCACAGCTTCCTTGCTTCAGAATTGCAGTGGAAGAGGATATTCTTACTGTGCAGAATTTCATTAAGATGGCATAAAATTTGGGGCTGGGTAAATGTTTGTGTGGCCTTCTTAAACCAGCTGTTGTGATTTTATTGTTTGTGAGATAACTGGAATAAAGTGATTTTCTTCCAAAAACAACAATAATAATAAATAAAATTTAACATATATTGTATTACTAGTACCAAATAATTACATATTGTCTCACTTTTCTCTTCAGCCTCTTTATGGCAAATTCCCTAGAATTGTATCTGGGGTTGTAAAGGCCTGGAAGCACAGACGAGTGAGTGACAAGAGGGAACCCGGATTGGAATGGAATCTGCTTAAGGGCAGGCAAGCTGGTTAGGGAGAAACCCAAAGCTAGGGCTAAGAGCAGAGCCTTAGACAAAGAGTCAGGCCAAGGTCAAAGAAAACATCTGAAATGTAACTGGGTAAAATGTAGGTGACGATACCATAATTTAATATAGCCCTCTGTCATTTATAAGTTCTATACTTACTAAATATTACTCAGCTTAATTATCCTAACAGTTCCATGAAGGAGAAATAACAGGCCTTCTTTCCATATCCCCCACAAATAGGAAACAGGACTGAACACTAGAAAAAGAGCTGAATGGAAGCACAATGGCTGGCCCAGGAGAGGTGGGCTACACACTCTGTTTGGTGGGCAGTGCTGCTGGGGTTTTCAATGAATTGTATTGCTTGATGGTAAAATGGACAAATCTCCAGTTTGCCCCAGGCCTTAGCACTCCCTGTTGTCTTTCTCATCCCAGGCCCAGTTCATACACGTAAATGATTGCCTGGCCCTTGCCCTGTGAATCAAATGTATTTTGATATGACATTTCAGAGGAACTGCTAGAAAAGGTGGAAAGCTGTAATGGAAGCTTTTTTAAGGTATAGCAAGTCATAAGAGAATTATTTTTTGTTTAATATAGTTAAGCAAATATTTTAACTGGCCACTTTTTACAGTTTGGATGTCAGCAAAACCTTTATATTTACTTTCATGTGTTTGATCACTACCTTTCATATATTTTACATATTTTTAATTAAGAGGAATTCTTGTTAAGAAATTTCCACAGACGCAAACGGGATAATTGTGGTAGCCACCCCTTTCTCTCCCTATCATTCTTAATCTTAACACCTTTGTTGTACAACGTTTTTGGCAGTGGAAACCTTTTCTCTAATAAAATCTTTTTTTTTTTTGAGACAAGGTCTCACTCTGTCACCCAGGCTGGAGTGCAGAGGCGCCATCTTAGCTCTAGTATAAGCTCCACCTCCCAGGCTCAAGTGATCCTCCTACCTCAACCTCCTGAGCAGCTGGGACTACAGGTAGGCACCACCACGCCTGCCTAATTTTAGTATATATATTTTTAGTAAAGACGAGGTTTTGTCATATTGCCCAGGCTGGTCTTGAACTCCTGGGCTCAAGTAATCTGCCCACCTTGGCCTCCCAAAGTGTTGGAATTACAGGCATGAGCCACTGTACCTGGTTCAAATGCAATCTTACACAGAATTCCAATATTAAAATATTAAAACTCTGTTTTGTTGACATTAATAAGTTAGATAGAATTGAATTTTCTCCTTTACAAGAAAAATTAAGCCATAAAGTTACAGATGACAGTTATAGTCTTCTATTCGACGCAGTTTCCAATTATTTCTGTATTTTATTTTAGTGACATGATTGCAAGGAAACTGTTTTCAATTAAGTAAAAATGGTAGAAGACGCTTTAGTCCAATATTTGCACAAAACAGAAAACTGCAGCACTGCCCGCCAAATAGAGTCTGCAGCCCACCTCTCCTGGACCAACTAGTGTGCTTCCTTTGCCGTAAGCCATTCAACTCTTTTCCTGTTGTGCAGTGTTGTTTCCTATTTCTGAGGGATATGTTGTCAAAAGCAATTGTTACTACATTTGTACTTTTTTCACAAGCAGATTTGTTTATAATGATTCATCTTGTCTTTCCTCAACTTCATTGCGAATTAAGTACATAATATACCAAAAATTGTGTATTTTTTCTTTACCACCACCATATCCCACTCCTTTTCTTTCCTTCTTCGCCTTTTCTCCTCTCTTCCTGTGTAATAGTAACCCGTGCTTGCTAAGCCAGAATTTGAATGCATTCTTTTGCTTGAAAATTTCAGCTGGTGTCACCCCTTCTTCTAGTCGGCTTTCCAGTCTCTTGACATGAGCATAGGATGCTTCAAAACTAAATTCTAAATTCCAGCCAGGCAACATTTGGGATAATAACATCAAGTAGCTTTGGCTCCATGCACAAAATCAACTTCACTAAAATCTGATAACTTTGAATTAAAATCTAATTATTCAATTTAAACATGCTGAGAAACATTATTTTGAAAAATCTCATCATTTTCCTTTTTCTAATGTGATATAAACAGTTCCTAAATAGTAATGTTTATGGAAATAATGAATTATAATGAAATGTGTTTTCCATATTAAAAGTAATCATAAACATTTCCTTAAATATTTAGGTTAATTAAACTCTAAATGCTTCTTACACCTTTTTGATAAAAATATTTCAAATTAAACATAAAAAATACCCTCTAAGTATACGCCACTGCAAATAAGATGCTAACATGATTTTAAAAAATCAATCCAAATTTAGTATATCTAATTTTATAAGCTACTTCCAAGATATTTTTTAAGAAGAAAACTCACAAAGAAATGACCTAAATGGTAGGACCCAGCTATCATTTCATTTTCACCATATTTAAAGACTTAAAACCCACAACTCACTTGGCAGATGATATGACCACTGCATGTTCATCAGAATTGAGGATTTTCGTAAGATGCGTTGCAACTGAGTCTTCATAAATCGTCATCTGAAAAAAAGAAAAAAGAAAACTCTACACTGTATTATTGTTGCTGGCATTTACACAACTCACTTACTGCTGCTCCAGAAATGGAGCCCTTCATGACATGTGTTAGGCAGGGCAATGGCTATAATGAAATATATGAAAGAGTCATCATGCAAAATAGATAAATATTTCCTTTTGGCAAAAGGCTTTCAGTTTCTAGAATTCTAAACCCCTTTATAAAATTTTTTAATGTAAAAATATCTCAATATAAAAATAATTCCTACAAAGTAGTACAATAAAAGTCAAAAAAATCTAGTAAAAATTGGGCAAAAGACTAGACATTTAAATATAAAAATCTCCAAATGGCCCATAAACAGATGAAAACATATCCAATCTCAGCCATCAGGCAAATGGAAACTAAAACCACAATGCAGTATCACCATACAGCTCCAAAATGGCTAAAATGAAAACAACTAGAAAATGGCAAGTGCTAGCAAGGCTATGGAGCTACAGAATTCTCATACGCTGCTGATGGGAATGCAAACTGATACACTCTCACAAACGATTTGGCAGGGTCTCTTAAAGCTGAACATATGCAATGATATCACAGGACTCAGAAATTCAACTTCTACATCTACACCCAAAAGAAATGCAGAAGTGTGTTCACCAAAAGACTTGCACTAGGATGTTCACAGCAGCATTCATCTAATAGCAGAATGGATGACAAATTGCAGTGTATTTATGCAACGGAAGACCATAGGAGAATGAGAATGAATGATTTATAGCCAAGCCACAGTATAGATGAATCTGATAAACATGACATTGAGTGAAAGAATCCAGAAACAAATGAAAGCATACAAAATGATTATATTTTATAAAGTACAAAACAGATACCAATCTATGCTATTAGAAGTTAGCATAGTGATTATCGGGGTAGGAGGCGGGGGTCTTGACTGAAAGGGGGCATGAGGGGGCTTATGGAGAACTTGAACACTATCAGGTGGCCTGGCAAAGATTTGTTTAGTTTGTGAAAATTTACCAAGCTATACATTTATGACCTGTGCACCTTTCTGTATGTATAATTCAATAAAAAAAGTTTTTAAAAATGCTGAATGCACTTTCATATAATCATGTAAATAAATATTTCTTTTAAACAATAGTCAAAATGCCAAAAGCATCCATAATCCCTTTTCAATTTGACTCAAACTTTAACATCCTGTTGAAAGAACACATACATTTTCCTAATATGTAAAAATGTATACAATATTTAAACAGCCTCATATTCAGAGCCTTACATCAAATGTATGCCTCAAATAATATTCCATTTCACACAGCTCAAAATTTTCTAGTAAAAATGATCTGCTCTAGGCAAGCTGGCCACCTATGCTCTTCTGCCTGACTCAGGTATCTTTTCATTACTTGTACCAATCAGCCTCAGTTCAGAATCTTCAATTAAGTCTGAATAAACCTTCCCCACAAAGCCTTCCTGATTAGTCTCTTCCCAAAAGGACCACATTCCTAACTTACCTTCACTCCACCAGTGGGTATGTTACTCTTTTAAATTTCTACCTTCCCTCCTTCAAAGGCAGACCACTATAGGAAAGCAATTTTACATTAAAGAAAGGAAGGCAGGCCAGGAGCTCCAAAGTTACACATGATGTTGTATTGACCCACAGATCCACTTTATTGATCTCTTAGTTTAAACACTAAAAATTATATCTTTACAGCTAGGATCAGAAAAATGAAAATATATCATCTAAAAATAAACTTTAAAATTTGAAAAAATAAAATGTTCTCCAGAGGTTAGTTTTATTTTTCTTCCCTGCAGGGTAGAAAATATTTTACAGGATCATTAATGCATTAATAAATTCATTAATGCCAGCTGATTAATGTATTAATTAGTAACATTTGATTAATGCCATTTGAAACTTAGGTTCAAAAAATCCAAGTTTTTGTCCATTAAAAATATTCGAAGATCAAAAAACACAACCTGTCTCAGAGGAAAATAAAATAGCCTCTATGTCCAAAGATAAAATTATAGATATAACTTATTAACCCATTATGCAGTCACTTAGCAGCGTCAGAAAGGTAAGTAATAATAAGAGTTAACATTTTGTATGTGTAGCAGGCACTGTAATTAAGCACTCTGTATACATTTACCCCTTTGTCCTGTTTTATAGCCAAAGAACCCGAGGCTTGTTGAGTAATGTGCCTAAGACCCACAGCTAATGACATATAGAAAAGCTAAGAAGAAAGATTTAGTCTACTTTTATCTCAGTTTTCAAGGTAAAAAAGTCACACACAGTAAAATGCATTCCTGGTGCCAGCCTAGTTCAGGGTCTAGCCAGGGCCATTCAGAACACTCATTTAATCTGTCATCTTAAAGTATGCTATCCCTTTGTTACAAAAATAAGTTTATTTTTAAAAAGCAAAGTTTCATTTAAAACCCTTTTGCACAAAAAAAGAGATTTCCTTCATATCTTTAGAATTGTACCTCATATTTAGTGATTATATATAAATGATAAAAGTAAATTATTTACTGTTATTTTATATGCTAGAAAACAGACATTTCTGAAGTAAATGGAAGAAAAAAATTCTTCTTTTTGTCTTTTTTGGAAAGAAAATTAATAACATTTACAAATACACTGTTAAGATAAAGGGCTGGTTTCTATAAAAATGTGTTATGTTTATGGAATCACATAACTAAAAATGCTGCTGAAAATCAAGTCGTAAATATATTAATCTTTAATAGTGATTACCTCTGGGTGGTAGGACTACAGGTGATTTTATTTTCTTTTTCATATAATTTGGTATTTCCCGAATTCTTTTAGAAGCAGTTTGGCTATCAGCAGTTTTTATGTCAGAAAATGTTTTAAAAATACAATTAGCTTCTCTAACAAACAGCCCCATATTTGTAGTTATCATTCCTTGCCTTAGTTTTGACAAGATCGTAATTTTCTTCATGACAAAACAAAGATTTCAACTGTGAAATAAACAGATGAATTTTCCTGGAGGGAAAAATAAGCTAGCATAGATCAAATGGTCTTAATGTGTCAGAGAATAATCCTCTGAAGGTCAGGTTCTGTTTTAAATCTACACCGCTTTGAGGTTTAATCAGAACATTGAATCTTTAAAAACATTAGTCATTTATTAGTCATTTATAGTAGTAGAGATGGAATTAAGTGGTCTTTCTTCCTTTAACTATATCAACAGGCTTAACCCAGAGACCTGTCTTGCTGTTCCTTCAAAAGAGTAGGGGCCGGCCACAGTGTCTCATGCCTGTAATCCCAGCACTTTGGGAGGCTAAGGCAGGAGGATCTCTTGAGACCAGGAATTCAAGGCTGCAGTGAGCTGTGTTTGGATCATTGCATTCCACACAGCCTGGGCCACAGAGCAAGACCCTGTCTCAAAAAGAAAAGAAAAAGAAAAGAGTACGCAAAGCAAGCAGTAAGAGAGAAACTGTATAATATTCTGGCCATGAGTATTGGTGTGTTTGGAGACTGTTTAAAGAAGCTAACATCTGACAACCAAACAATCTAATGGCCAAAGTAGAAGATGAATAAACACTAACAGGAAACATCAGCTGGCCTTCCTGGAGCTCTCCCGACACAAAGGAAACAGGCAGGTAGAACACGCAGGGAGGATTATCTGGGCAGGAGAAGAGACAGTGCTTTACACATCTGTTATGTCATTTAACTCCCAAGACTTTGTAGCCTCACTTTACACAAGAAGAGGCCCAGGAATGGGAGCGACTGGGCACTCCCAGTGTGGGTGGTCATGGACGGACTCTAACCTAGATTCAGGATCCTTCTTTCTGGGGGAGAGGACGAAAGGTAGTCAATGAGACCATACCCCCAAAATAAAATTAAGTTAACATGCTACCATATATTAGGAGTACATTTTCACTTTTTTTCCAAGATACCCACCCCCATTTCAAACGATAGGTAAAGGGTTAAGTCTTACATAAAATTCTTCAGATGCTTCTGGAGGTCCTGGAAGTAGGGAAGCTTTTGGTGGCAATTTGAGTTCATATGTCATTATACTCCACCTAAAGGGAGAAAAACTCTTTGGTCTAAGATTTCCTTAGAATTGGATAAACTAACTGTTACCATCTCATACATACACACACACACACACACATTCATGAACTATGGTTTATTTTATCTTAAAACAACCAAAAATGGGAAAGCAGATCACATTTCAGTAATCTCATAAAATGTTGAATTCATAATTTATGATGTCCACATCTTACCATTTCTCCAATTAGTGGCTTCTAAATGTTTTAAGACCCATAGCCCACAATAAGAAATCCACACTTGTTACAACGCCCCCACTTCTTCACAGGTACGATGCATTCTGACTTTTCCATTCTTTTCTGTTCTATTTTAAAAATAATGCTCATTGCAGTTTACTAATTAAGTTATAAACTACTAATGAGTCATAACCCCAAAGTTGTAAAACAATGTCTTAAATTAAATAAATACATACTACCTATAAACTGTTACTCAACTGTTACTCAACTTGCCAAATCAGCTTATACATACATAAAATGAAAATTACCGAAATACCCCTTCTTAAATTAAGAAAGAATGAATGTAACCATGGGAGTAGGGGGAAAATATTAATAATACTTAACTGAAGTAAATTTATTTCAATTAGCTATAAGTATTAATTTCAAAGCAAACACAAAATCATTTGGTGTTAGAGAAAAGCAATCAACTCAAGTCCAATTTTCTATTTGAAATAATAATTTCAAAATGTGGGAACAACAGTTAGGCCAGGACATTATTGTAGACTAACAAAATATGAAACAAAGGCCAGGTGTGGTGGCTCATCCCTGTAATCCCAGCACTTTGGGAGGCTAAAGTGAATGAATAGCTGGGGCTCAGGAGTTCCAGACCAGCCTGGGCAACATGGTGAAACCGCGTCTCTACAAAAAAAATTAAAAATAGCCTGGCATGGTGCTGCGCACCTGTAGTCCCAGCTACTTGGGAGGCTGAGGAGGTAGGATCACTTGAGCCTGGGAGGTGGAGGTTGCAGTGAGCTGAGATCATGCCACTGCACTCCAGCCTGGGTGATAGAGCCAGACCTTGTCTCAAAAAAAAAAAAAAAAAAAAAAAAAAAAAAAAGAAAGAAAGAAAGAAAAAAGGCCAGGTGCAGTGGCTCATACCTGTAATCCCAGCACTTTGGGAGTCCGAGGCAGGCAGATCACCTGAGGTCAGGAGTTCAAGACTATCCTGGCCAACACGGTGAAACCCCATCTCTACTAAAAATACAAAAAATTAGCCGTGTGTGGTGGCAGGTGCCTGTAATTCCAGCTACTCGGGAGGCTGAGGCAGGAGAACCACTTGAACCCTTGAGGCGGAGGTTTCAGTGAGCCAAGATCGTGCCACTGCACTCCAGCCTGAGTGTCAAGAGCAAAACTCCATCTCAAAATAAAAGAAAAAAAAAAGATGTGAAATAAAGATTTTAACACAGAAACAAAGCATAATAAAAGCAGTAGCATAACACATGAATTTTAAGAAAGCATAACACAGCTGAAGCTATTGATAGAACCCAGAGGAAAATTCCAAGATCAATATTTAAACAGAGTCTAGTGTATCATTCAGCCTATGAGAATAAATGTTTACATAAAAATTCAAATTCCCAGAAAGCCCCCAATAGACATACATTATATTTTGGGATATGTAAACTAGTTACTTTTGGCTACTATTCAACTCTTGACATGAAAATACTTTAAAAGAAATTTATTTTGGGAGGCTAAGGCACGCGGGTCATGAGGTCAAGAGATCAAGAACATCCTGGCCAACATGGTGAAACCCTGTCTCTACTAAAAATACAAAAATCAGCTGGACATGGTGGCACACACCTGTAGTCCCAGCTACTAGGGAGGCTGAAGCAAGAGAATCGCTTGAACCCAGGAGGCAGAGGTCACAGCGAGCCAAGATCGTGCCACTGCACTCCAGCCTGGCGACAGAGCGAAACTCTGTCTCAACAACAACAACAACAACAACAACAACAACTAAGAGGCTGGGCGCGGTGGCTCACGCCTATAATCCCAGCACTTTGGGAGGCTGAGGCGGGCAGATCACAAGGTCAGGAGATCGAGACCATCCTGGCTAACATGGTGAAACCCCGTCTCTACTAAAAATGCAGAAAATTAGCCGGGCGTGGTGGCGGGTGCCTGTAGTCCCAGTTACTCGGGAGGCTGAGGCAGGAGAAAGGCGTGAACCCGGGAGGCAGAGCTTGCAGTGAACAGAGATTGTACCACTGTACTCCAGCCTGGGCTACAGAGCGAGACTCCGTCTCAAAAATAAAAAAAAAAAAAAAAAAAAAAAAAAAAAAAGGAGAAAGAAAAGAAACTTATGTTTGAAAACCAAAAGTCATTCATTTATCCATGAGGTAGATACAGAAACAAAGCATAATAAACTACACTGAGCATCTCAAAGTCACAGGAAACACAAGGGTGAATAGGCTCCCCCAAAGAAGCTTACATTCTAGTGCAGAAAACAGGTATGATGCAAGCAAACAAAACAATTAAACTTTGTAAATATCCAAACAGGGAAAACCACAAGTAGAAACATAAAAGTCAAGTTCCTTATAGCTGGAAATACTTTACTGGTCAAAGCCAGTTAAATAAATAGTAAATAAATCCATCCAAATGTCTGAGTACCTTGCACCTTCCACGCTATACCTCTCCACTCGATAGGAAATGGTTGGAGCTAAAGAAAAAGGAGAAAGTGGCAGCAAGAGATAAAGAAGTGAGGAAGAGATGCATATGAGTACCAGCTAAGCAGAGGCAGAGGCCAGAAAGAAAGGAACCATCTGGCCTACATACACAAAGGGGAAAGACTGCAGAGTTGAGAAAGGACCCTGGAAACTAGACAGAACAGGGATTGCGGTTTACCATGCCGGTTCTATTACTTATTAGCTATTTAACTTAAATAATGTAAAAACCTCCTAAACCTTTTCACCAGTAAAATGGAGATAGCAATATTAGCTATCTCTAGGAGAAGGGCAATAATTAAATGAGATGCTACACGAATTAAAACAACTAGAAAGTGCTAGGCAGACAAAACATTAGGTTTTTTTATTCCCACTGTATCCAGAAGACTAAATTTTCATCTTTGTAAAATAATGCTTTTCTGACCCAACCCACAGTGTTGTTTTGAGGATCAAATAAATATATTTGAAAAACTCATGTAATTTAGAATATTAAACAATGACTTTTTAACTTTTTCTTTTTTTTTTTTGAGACAGAGGCTTGTTCTGTTGGCCAGGCTTCAGTGCATTGGGACGATCTCGGCTCACTGCAACCTCCGCCTCCTGGGATCAAGCGATTCTCCTGCCTCAGCCTCCCAAGTAGCTGGGAGTACAGGGGCCCACCACCATGCCTAGGTAATTTTTGTATTTTTAGTAGAGATGTGGTTTCACCATGTTGGCCAGACTGGTCTCGAACTGCTGACCTCAGGTAATCCTCCCACCTTGGCCTCCCAAAGTGCTGGGATTACGGGCGTGAGCCACTGCATCCGACCCACTTGTTCTTTACAAACAGTAAATTAATAAAGGAAACACAGGAATAAAATATTCCTATGTTTCTAATAAAGGTCTTAAGTTTCTGAATCCACTTTGATTTGCGTGTATGTCTATTTTCTTTTGTTTTGTTTTGATTTTGCATACCAGTAGGTATTCAAGGAATTTCACCATGGAGGTGCTGTTTCTTGGCTAACCACCTGGAGAAGTGACTTTTTATATTAATTTTTTAAAAACTTTTTTGAGACAGGGTCTCACTCTGTCTCCCAGATTATAGGGCAGTGGTGCAATTGTGGCTCACTGCAACCTCCACCTCCTGGGCTCAAGTTAGCCTCCCATGTAGGCCTTCCAAAGTGTTGGGATTACAGGCGTGAGCCACCTCCCCCAAGTGAGAAGTGAATTTCCATAGCACACAAGGGCAAAGCACATACCCAGGCTAGATGAAATGCCTAACAGCAGGGGAAGTGGTCTTTACGTTTGCAACAAAGAAAGCATTTAAATAACCCCTTTTGTTTGGTAATCACAGAATTGGATGGTTGCCTGGGAAGTCACCTCCAGGCTCATTTACAAATAATGGTGATTTTATTTATTCATTTCCAATCTTTTTTCCCCAGAGTTAGGTATAGTTGACAAAAAATTGTATATATTTAAGGTGTACAACTTGATGTCTGGATATATATACACCACAATCAAGGTAATTGGCATATCCATAGGTACCATTTCTCTTTTTCGTTCCTTTTCTTCTTTTAACCTCCAGATTGTTTTAAAGGCTGGAGGCTGAACCCAGAAGCACATAAGATTAAAAACTGTTATGCACCCAAGCTACTGTAGTATCTCTCTCCCGTAATTTTGGATAAACAGAGACGAATGTTCTACTTCCCAGCTCTCTTTTTAAATATTCTGTCAACAAAAGAATCAACTATTACAGTATTACCTTATGACAGGCAAGGTTACAATTAATTAGGTTATAGCCCATCTTAGAGTAATTATATTTCCGATTGGTAGCTCCCTGATGAAATTTTGTTATTTTCGGGAAGAGTTCCACAGATGACTAATTCTATCAAAGTTGTTTTGATTTATGCAACCTCAAACTGATCATATTTTGACATCTATCTTCTACTGACATTGGGGGATGAGGAGTGACTGGTCACTGAGTCCTGTTGTTTCCTACACCCAAATTCTAAACACCTCCTCCATAACACTCAGGGTACACATTGTGGTTTCTTTTTCATACATGGACATTCAGAGAGAAAGCAATTAAGAGATGTAATCAATAACAGCATAAACACAATGATAATCCCTTCATTTGAAGCTATCTTCCTAACACTTCCCTGTCCCTGGGAAACGACTGCTTATATTTTAACATATGTAGTTCTTATTGGATCAATGCATTCTTAATATATATGTTTAAGAGGAGATATTCTCACAAATCTAACGTTTATATGTCCTCTTTAGCTTTTTGGAAACCACACGATGACAGGAGGCTACCTAATATACTCATCAAAAGGTCCCCTACAAAATGAACTATTTTAGTTTTCTGACCTGAACTGTAATTAAAAGTAAATAGTAGTAACATAGCCTTCTATATTTAAAATAATGAGTTCCTCAGACTAGTTTTTTATAATTCATTCATTCACTATAAAACATCTTTATTGAGTGTCTTCTCTGTGATAGGCCCTGTTCTCCATCTCAGGTATTAACCAGTGGACAAGATCAGAAAGGCTCTGCCTTCGTGGAGCTTCTAGTCAGTATAATTTATTAATAAATCATTGAAAAATTATTTCAGTATGCCATTTTCCATCTAGTTGTAGAAAAGAATTCACTTTTACCTGTCCAACATTTTGGTACTGGCTCGTTCCAGTTTCTCTAGGATCTGAGGAAGCTGGGTGTCGTCGTCATATGAACCTCCCCAGCCAAGAACTCGGGCAAGGTCATTTCCTGTACCCAAAGGCAACACTCCCAGCTGACACTGAAAGAGAGCGCAACAGGGTGACTTTCAGACAAGTTGAGAAATAGGGACTACTGCATTTCTGCACCTCTCGTAAGTATGTTAGTATGCGTTCATGTTAACTAGCAAGTAAAAGAATTAGCACTTGCCTGTTTATTCAAGTTGAGCTTATCGATTTCTGACAAAACCCAACCTACACTTCCATCGCCTCCACAAACAAGAATCCGGAAATTGTCAAACTTCTGAAATAATCTTAAACTGAAAGCAAAAAGGATTTTATTTTAGTATAAAGAAATAAAAATCACTTTCCTCAATTCTTTGTTATTCTGTATCGGTATTCATATTCAGATTAAATATAAGAACTCCTACTTACATGTTAATTATACCATAAACATTCATTGAAGTGTAATTTTAACTCAAGAAAACTTCTGAATCATAAGGAGAAAAGGGAATGATAAGTAGAAATGAAGATAAAATTAGGAAGAGTGGGGGTGAGAAATGAGAAAACAAGAAAGAAGCAGAGAACAGGAAAGATAAAGTAATACAAGATGGTGGAAGTAGTGGTTCCTCTCTTTCTATTACAAGAATAAATTCTTTCCTTAAGAATTACAAACCATGGGTAAGGAATCTACGGTGCTGAAACTAATGAGTGACGCTTCGGCAGTTCCTAAAGACACCAATCACTGTATTGCTCTCAGGACTCCCACTGGCTTTTTCTCCTCTTCTCCTATTCTCAGGTCCATCCTTCTATTTTACCTCATCTCAACTTTTGACACATCCCATCTCCTAAATGTACCCTTGTACACTTACTTCACGTATTGTGGAAAATCTGAAAAATATTAGAGGGACAACCTCAGGAAGTTTCACCAAGAGAGGTCCTTGGAGCCTTCAAGGACAAATGGGAAAAATAAATCAAGACTATAAGATAATGGAACTATAAAGGATTATAAAATGGATGTGTTAGAAAGGGGGACAAAACTATCCTAGCATGGCAGAGACAAAGAAGGTGAGAAGAGGAAACTCTAGCACCTCAGCAGAGGAAAGGAAGGGCGGTACACGTAGATAAGGAGGAAGCTGGGTATAAATGAACAAGACCGACATCCATGTGACCAGAAGGGCCTGAGACTTACCAAGATAAAGGCAATGGAAGCGGGAAGGAAAACTCAGAGGCCAAAAGTGAACAGAGGCACCAAGAGAGAAGGAAGGAGAGAAACAGAGAAGACAGACGGAAGTGTCACATTACAAAACACAAAATGCCTTTTCAGGCACTGGTATCGAAAATCCCATTTCTACTTCTGTGTTCATGCTTTGAGGTAACGGTGGAACCCAAGAGAAAAGCTGAGTTGCCATAAGTAAATCACATAGAGGTTTGAAGGCCCCGGTTCAGAAGACATAATATCGCCTCTTAAGAAAAATCATATGCATACCCTAAAAATGTATTGAAAGTGCCAAAAGGTATATTTTCCCTCAGTTAAAATACTACTTAGTTCATTTTATCTTACAGATTTTAAGTTATATGACATCCAGAAAGCTGAAAGGAATCATCAACAAAAGTATTTCTTTGTCATTTATATGAACTGAGTCTGAGATCCTTGAAGAACTGCCCTTGACAGCCATGAGAGTCCCTGTACTTTGGTTTAATAATTGATTATTTATATTACATATAAATCAATATCAGCCTTCCATGCAAATCACTTTCTAATATTACTTTATATTTCTATATTTATGTAAGTTGATCTTTCTTGGAGCTAAAGAAATTGTTAGTATTGTTTGATGTAGAATATATTGTAAAACATTTTCTAAACAAATTTTGGAATTGAGAAATTTCAATAGAGTTTTGGACTTTATACAAAGACAGTTGTATAACTATCCAAAAGGTTGTGTTAAAACTTATAATTAGAGCTTTAAAAACGAGGGAGGGATCTAGAGGAATCTATAATTTTCATGAGCTGAAAAACCAGACACATTTAACACCTAGTCCTACATTGTATTCAAATAAGATTTATCAATAAGCAGTTACCCTAAATGAGGACCTCCATTCATTAAATCAAACACCTGAGCCGGATTTAGCAACTGTTTAAAGCGACGAAGGAACTTTACTCCCTGATTATCTCCACTCTTAGAATTGACAAAAACCAATAGAGGACTAACACAGAACGAAAATGTTGCTCTACAGAAACCTGTGAAAAAAACACAATACAAGATCAATACATACGGCTTTCTCTTTTAAATTATTAGCAAACTTTCAGATAAAAGAAAATAAATTTATAAAAACTGGAGCATTAAGTTATAATTTAGCTCTCCAAATAGAGATAGCTTAACTATTTACATACAAACCTATATATTTGTATGTAATTCTTATGTTTATATTCAATATTTCAAAGTATTTTAACTGCTCCTTTCTGAAGTCTGAGAGAATATTTTAAAATTCACAGTAAACAAAATCAGGGCCTAGGTTGGGGGAGAGGGCTGTTAATACCATAGGTTTAAAAAAAGTCACATATTTTGCGGTTTATAAACTTACATCTTCAGGTTTATAAACTTATATCTAAGATATCTATTGGCATAAATTAAATCAAAAGTTTGAAAAGCAAAAAGCACGATATCAATGCAAGACATTAGTAATAGCACAGTCCTCCCTACGTATTCTTGGGGAATTGGCTCAGGAGTCCCACGAATATCAAAATCCACAGTTGCTCAAGTCTGTTATATAAAACAGCATAGTATTATACATGGTTTTACCATATTACTTTGTAATATGGTTTGCTTAGAAGGAAGTAATTAGTATGTAATCCCAAAACCAGTGTCGTAGAGGGGTTCCTCAGCACTTTACAGTTAAGTTGTAAGATTTTGGGAAAAGTGCATGTATAGGAATATAAATTCCTACAGTGAAATTACAGAAAAACAGATTTTAATAACAGCCATGCTAACAGGCAGTTTCAATTATAGAGGAAAAAAACACTTATAAAAATTAACCTTTTCAGATTGTATTGCAGTACAGAGTAATGATCTTATTTTATTTACTAAAACATAAAATCTAAAAGTCTTATATACAGTAATTTCGCCAATGTGTTAATAGGTATTCTACAACTTTCACTTAAATATATTCTTTTAAAAATGGAATGTACTTTCAGCAATTGAAATGGAATTATTTTAGAAAAACTGACTACAATAGTCAATGACAGGTATAGTTATTCTAGGAAAAGAAATATATATATCAATATTAAATATACCAGAAATATACATACTTACACTACTGCTACATACCATCGGAATCAGTGCTGTTTAGCGCAATTGGAGGTATGATAGATACTTTACATTGACCAAGTGGACATATTGGATGGTATAAATCTTTGCAGGCAGTGTGTACCTAATAACAAACAAATATACCTTCAAGAATCATAAAAATAATGTTTTGCCATTACAAATCACATCTAAGGAACTGATAATCTAGAATCAACTGTACCACAAAATATTCAGTAATTCATAAACTACTTTAAATGGTATAATATTTATACTTAAGGAAATGACTAAACATTTTAGAAATGGATATTTGATTTTGGTCCATGCAACTAATTCTTGTAATTATCTCAGAGAAGAATATATAGTTAATGAATAATTGGTGAAGGCAAGAAGAGAGGAAGAGAAGAGACCAAGTGCAGAGGAAGGGAGGCAGAGAAGAGAAAAAGAAGAGGAAAAGGAAGAAGAAGGAGGGAAACTAACCAGTGTGTTAATATCATTGCCCATAAAATAAATTGATGACAGAACATTTATTTTGTTTTAATAAAAATTCTTATAAAATTTAACAACAATAAAATCTGTAATGTGCCTACTTTTTCTGCAGTAATCCTATAACTTTCTATTCATATTTCCGTATCATTAAAGTTACAAGTACACCCATGCTTATTTTCTAGCTGGACTGCTGCTCTGTAAGGTAAAGGAAAGTGATGCCTATCACAGGCACCTAGTAAATGTGCTTTCAGTAGAAATGAGTTTCATGGTCATGCAAGGATATGTTTTGTTCTCTATTGAGAACAAAAGCAAGGATAACTTATTAAGCAGGACCCAGGCAACTTAGGATACTTTGTGTACTTGTCTGGAGAGCCTTCTAAATGTTTTAACCAGGAAAAGCAGACACTTTTCATCAAGTTCTTATTTAATATGACTTTATTTTATTAGTCCTTTTAGAAAACTGGCATAATTAAACCTGTATTTATCAAACTTTGGGGAGAATAACTAAAACTTAATAGTAATTCTAATTCTGGTGATGACCTGTTTTTAGACAGTTTCCTATTATGCTTTACAATAATTAACAATCCAAATGCATTTTAGAAAAATTAGCACACACAGATAGCTTTAAAAGTAATTTTAAAATGTATGAGAACCATGGGGCAAAACAGAAAGGTATTTATAATAATGCTAAATAAGAAAAGCATATGATCAATTTATGTCTTCACAATTTTTACAGAAAAGGTAAAACTATGTCCACAGACCTGGATGACAGTAGGAAAAATAATAAGTTGATTCATTAGGCTTGTAGGGCTATAGGTTTTTTGATTTTGTTTGTTTTCTTTTTTTACTACACAGACTATGTTTTAGGCACTAGATATCCTGCTATTAGAAACTCATGTTTTTGTTTGTTTGTTTGTTTGACATGGAGTTTCACTCTTGTTGCCCAGGCTGGAGTGCAATGGTGCGATCTTGGCTCACTGCAACCTCCGCCTCCTGGGTTCAAGCAATTCTCCTGCCTCAGCCTCCCGAGTAGCTGGGATTACAGGCACCTGCCACCACTTCCAGCTAATTTTTGTATTTTTAGTAAAAATGGGGTTTCACCATGTTAGCCAGGCTGATCTTGAACTCCAGACCTCAGGTGATCCACCCGCCTCGGCCTCCCAAAGTGCTAGAATTACAGGTGGTCATGTTTTTTATTTTTTATTTTTTGAGATGATGTTTCGCTCTTGTTGCCTAGGCTGGAGTGGAACGGTGCAATCTCGGCTAACTGCAACCTCCAACTCCCAGGTTCAGGCAATTCTCCTGTCTCAGCATCCCAAGTAGCTGGGATTACAGGTATGCACCACTGCATCCAACTAATTTTTTTGTATTTTTAGTGGAGACAGGGTTCCACCACATTGGTCAAGCTGGTCTCGAACTCCTGACCTCAGGAGTCAGCCTGCCTCAGCCTCCCAATGTGCTGGGATTACAGGCATGAGCCACTGTGCCAGGCCAGAAACTCATGTTTTAAAGGCAAAATAATATGTAAACAGGCAAATGGTTGTATATAGGAAGTGCAAGACTAGGGGAGGTGCTATAAGGTGATGGTAGCTCAGAAACCAGCATGTTGAATTTACACAGGGTGGGGCAGGAATGATGTCACAAGGTGAAATTTGAGTTTGCCAGGAAAAAAGAGAAAAGACATCCTACCTTCTACCATCTGTAATACCACTGCTGTTCTAGTTAAGAAATGTTTAAATGTTAGGGGTGAATAGAATGAGCAAGTAATAAACCTAATTAACTCCTGCTGTTAAAGTTAACAGAGTTTAAAAATTACTGACTTTTTTTAAAGTAAAGATATACATATTGCACGTAAAGAAAATTTACATAAAATCTTTCTAAAATAATTCATCACACATGATGTGTTTTCTTTCTTTTTTTTGTTTGAGAGACAGAGTCTTGCTCTGTCACCCAGGCTGGAGTGCAGTGGCACAATCTCAGCTCACTGCAACCTCTGCCTCCCAGATTCAAGCAATTCTCCTGCCTCAGCCTCCCGAGTAGCTGGGATTACAAGCACATGCCACCATGCCCAGCTAATTTTTTGTATTTTTAGTAGAGACAGGGTTTCACTCTGTTAGCCAGGATGGTCTCGATCTCCTGACCTTGTGATCCGCCCACCACGGCCTCCCAAAGTGCTGGGATTACAGGCATGAGCCACTGCACCTGGCCAATACATTGGAAGTGAACAGTTGAAGCTCTAGAAGTAGAGAAATCAACTTTAGTAAATGTACAGGCCAATAAAAATAGCAGGAAAATTTGCTATCAGTGGTTGTCCTCTCGAAAACAAATCTGAGGTGGGATGATGATTTTAAATCTTGTTTATGGGTGGGATGATGATTTTAAATCTTGCTTATGGGAAGAATGAATTCCTTTAAAATAAAAAAATGGCATAAGAAGGTTTCAGGGGCTAGGCTTGCACTAAGATTCTAAAGAGAGACACCTGTTACAGTCTATATACTAGATTAAATGAGATAAGAGAAAAAGTATTAATAACATATCTAAGGCTAGTAAAAGACGCAATCAATGAAGAATAACAAAAGCATGAGGACAAAGAGAAGAAACACAGATTCACCTATCAAGTCTAACTAAAAAGTTGTAGGACTTATTTTCCTTTGGGGCCTACCAGACAATCTCATTGATTAGGAAAGCAATACATCACACATCTCTTACATTTGCTGATCTACACTATATATACCAAAAACAATAGTTTTTCCACATGTTAAAATTTGAGGCTGGCTTCCAAATTTCAGCCAGCAATGTTAAAAGACAAGACTCAAAACCACCAAGTAAGTCAGCCCCAGTGCAAGGCAATCACTATCTTCGTAGAACAGCATTGCCCAGTACTAACATGAACACTCACACCCACGACCTCCTCATCCCGCAGTTTTTCAGTCCCATGCTACTGTCTGCGTGACCTCTTTCCTACTCTGACTGTCCTCACACAGTCCAGAGGCCCTGTCCTCACTGTATCTGGCATAAATAATCAGCTGCCGGCTTCATGTTCAGCTGCATATGTTGTTCACCTCTGTCAGAGAGCACTGATAGCGTTGTAGCAAATTTACATTTTGCATGTCAACAAAAATTCAGTGACACACCAGAGAAGGGCTTTCAGGTAGGAAAATAGGCCTGAATATAGCAAACCACTTTGTTGATAAAGCAAAATGAAAAAACAATAGAACTATGAATAGGAGATCTTGAGGCACAGGATATGGAAGAACAAGAGTAAGTTTTACAGGGCATTTGAAACAACGACCAGACTAGGAGGACTACACTGTAAGGGAAGAAGAATGTCACCATGGGGTGCGTATGCTACCAGGCTCAGCTCTATCATAAATTCTTTGCCTTGCCTCTAAGCCAGGCGGATGGCAAAGTTAGGGAAAGAAGCTAATGAACAAGGATGAACTGATTCCAAAACCCTCACCATTGTCTTACACCACAGGCATTTCCAATCCTGTAGACGGAGAACACTGCCACACGTTTTGTCGCAGACAGCACACTTGGCACTCACAGGCAGGTTGCCCTCGAGCCACTGGTGAGGCATCGCCACCTGTGGAGAAGGAAGAAAGGGCAGCCAGGTGAAGACTGGTGGACACCAACCTTACCCCAGGGGAGATTTTGAATCATTTCTCACTCTAGGGGATCAGTAGTATATTTCATGCATAGCATTCACTCATTTACCCCACATTTATTGAGCATCTACTATGAACGTTCAAGCAATATAAAAGTAAGGCAAAGGCTTGCCCCTCAGGGTTTAGCTGAGGCATGTAAAGGGATGACAATAAAGTGATTACTAAGCGTTACCAGAAATCCATATGCATGGTGCAATGGAGGCAAGGTTTTGAAAGCGGAGGTGTACTGTTGAGAGGCAACCCCAAAGTCTGAAGAGTGAACATCTCAGCTAAGCCTAGGCATCTCAGAGTTCATCAGAGGTCGACAACAACAGCCCAGCACAACGGCCACTTCTAAGCCGTATTCACAACAGATTTCCTTCAAAATCTAAGAACTAAAGGAAGCTATGAAGGATTGAATTAAAAATAAAAACTCGGAATCAACCAAACCTTCTATTAAATCCTAATAATAAGCATTCCTACTTATCTTTCTCAGCTTCCACAAGAGCAGAACATAAAAGAGGAGTTACTGGGAAGAGAGCAGAGACAGAGCAGCAGCTTACGCCATCTTCATCTTCTATAATGTCCTTCCCAATGGAGGCCAGGGTAGTCCATTTACAGTTATTTGTTGCTCTCACTGCACATCTTTTGTGAGCCTTGAATTTACACACTAAAAAAAAAAAAAAAAAAAAAAAAGCAACTGCTTTTAAGTGGACAAGACCTTTTGGACCAATGATTAAAGGAAATCACAGCATAAAATTTTAAAAGGGAGGGAGGAAGTAGAAGAAAACAAATATATTTAAAAGATTAAATTATTCTGCAACAATAGTAATGGTATTCTAGAAAACAAATATGGCTATGTATTTATGAAGCACTTTTATCAAGCTATAAGTAGATTGCTACTTAGAGGAACAGAAAAGAAATAAATGCAAACGAATTACTGCTGTAGAAGGCAGACAACACACACATAGGAGAGAGGGAAGCAAATAAAATTTGGTAGCAGGTCTGCTGGTGATATCCTATTTTTAAATGTAGGTGCTGATTATATGAATGTGTTCAATTTGTAAAAATTCATCAAGCTGTACATTTCTGATATTTGTATTTTTCTATACATATAAAACACTAATTAAAAGTCTGAAAATGTTAGTACCATAAAGTTGATCCAGAAGGGCTGTAAAGTGCAAGTATACCAACAAGACAGCCAGGCATCATGGAAAATAGGTTGGTGAGAGTCACACACACGGCCCGATCTTTGGAAAGTATTATGTTGAGATGACCAAATGACAAATGTAGAAAGAAGGGATGATGAAGTGATGCTGTCACTACAGGTTTCACTAAATCTCCTCAGCCATATTATCAAAAGGAACTTATAAAAGAGAAATTGGAGGAAATAACTAGGGGGAAAAAAGCAGCCCATATATGGAAAAACAAGTGAACTATAGGTTATCTGAAAAATTAACCATACTTATGAAAATCGGAATTTGACTATTATTAGACACGTTTATCTCTCTAAGGAAATTATTCAAATATTAGTGGATACTGATATTAAGTCAGTTCCCGACTTCTAGCTAAAAAGTTAAAAGTAGAAATCATTTCAGTGCAAACATACTAAGGTAAGTGTTGCTAAATTTAAATGCAAGGTATCTCCTTTTCATGTGATTTTCTGAATTTCTAAGTCAATCATTAACAAATTTTGTATTACACACCACTCTCTTGAAACTGTCTTAATTTGATATAACATGAACACAAAAGTTTCAGGTAAAATAACTAAGATGTCTTTAGCCAAATGTTCAAAATGCTTCAGGTATCATGACTAATCTATGTACAAATGGATGGTTAAACTGAGCTGATTTATCCTTGAAAAGTGTTAGTCTAGGCCAGGCACAGTGGCTCACGCCTGTAATCCCAGCACTCTGGGAGGCCGAGGTGGTGGATCACCTGAGGTCAGGAGTTTGAGACCAGCCTGGTCAAAAACGTGAAACCCCGTCTCTACTAAAAATTTAAAAATTAGCCAGGTGTGATGGTGCATGCCTGCAATCCCAGTTACATGGGATTCTTATGAGACATAAGAATTGCTTGAGCCCAGGAGGTGGAGGTTGCAGTGAGCCGAGATCGTGCCACTGCACTCTGGCCTGGGAGACAGAGTCACACTCTGTCTCAAAAAATACCAATAATAACAATAATAGTGATAATTCATACAAATTGGAAATGTTTTGCTTCCCTTCTCTTTTGTGTACTTTGAAAAATCCTTTTCCTTCCACCATTTTTGTTATAAATGAGTGTGTAACTCAAACACAGACTTCATATAGAAAATAATACTTCACTTGAGGCTGGGTGTGGTGGCTCACACCTGTAATCCCAGCACTTTGGGAGGCCGAGGCGGGTGGATCACCTGAATTCCAGAGTTCAAGACAAGTCTGGCCAACATGATGAAACCCCAGTTCTACAAAAAATACAAAAATTAGCCGGGTGTGGTGGTGTGCACCTGTAGTCCCAGCTACCCGGGAGGCTGAGGCAGGAGAATAGCTTGAACCTGGGAGGTGGAGGTTGTAGTGAGCTGAGATCATGCCACTGCACTCCAGCCTGGTGACAGAGTGAGACTCCATCTCAAATAATAATAATAATAATAGTAATAATAATAATAACACTTCACTTGAATTTTGTTGCTGATGAATCCTAAGTGTGAAGACACAGCACCATCAGAAGGAAGCTTAGCTTGGTGAAAATTTTTACAATGACTTATTCTCTTTTGCTCTAACATAAGTGATTACTTTAAACTGATTGGTTAGCATCTCTAGGCCTTTTCATCTATTATGGTCTTTGTCAAAAGTGGAGTCCTAAAACTATCTGCAACATATTTCCCAGGGTGCTTTATAAGTACAAACAAGTACTTGATATTCACAGTCAGTATCTGGCTTCTAAGGGGAAAAGCAGGACATAAAAGAGAGTAATGGTATAATTTCATAGCTTTTTGAAAATTTTGCCATTAAAAATCGAACAGCCCACTAAAAATAAAAAAATCACACTTTTATAATAATAAAGTGCTTCATGTAATGAGCCTTGAAAATTACCAAGTTGCTTAATATAACATAATACTAATAATAAAACAAATCAGACTGTAATTATGGTAACTAAGAAATGAAAGTGATCAGCACACACCCGAATTTTGTTAACAAATTTCTCCAAACAAGTTATTCTGAAATAAAGCACCTTCCCCTGACCTATAAAGTTATTGTTTAAAATGAGAGAACTTAAAAAATAGGCCAGGCCTGGTGGCTCATGCCTGTAATTCCAGCACTTTGGGAGGCCGAGGTGAGCAGATCACCTGAGGTCAGGAGTTTGAGACCATCCTGGCCAACATGGTGAAACCTCATCTCTACTAAAAATACAGAAATTAGCTGGGCGTGGTGGGAGCACACCTGTAGTCCCAGCTATTTGGGAGGCCGAGGCATGAGAATCACTTGAACCCGGAAGGCAGAGGTTGCAGTGAGCTGAGATTGCGCCACTGCACTCCCGCCTCGCAGCAAAGAAAGAACCCCGTCTCAAAAAAAAAAAAAAAAAAAAAATGCAGACGTAATAAGATTATGATTTTTTATTACAATATTCAGTATTTACTATACTAAATCTCTGTAAGTGTTAAAAATCAGTTAAGTGTCGTGGTTTAATCCCCGCATTTCAGAAGGCCAAGGTGGGAGGATAGTTTGAGCCCAGGAGTTTGAGACCAGCCTGGGCAAGATGGTGAGACCTAGTCTCTACAAGTAATAAATAAAAAAAATTAGCCAGGCATGGGGGGTGCATGCCTGTGGTGCCAGCTACTCAGGAGGCCAAGGTGGGAGAATTGCTTGGGCCTGGGCAATTAAGGCTGCAATTGGCCGTGATTGTGCCACTGCACTCCAGCCTGAGCAACAAAATGAGTCCCCCCATTGCAAAAAAAAAAAAAATTTAAGATCAAAATTCGTAAGTACCCATGATGACATATTTGATGCTGTTGATTTTTTTAAAATTATCATTTATCTTTTTTGGTTAAATTACTGTTTAAATAACTGTAACGGACAATTATGCCCTGAAATTACAATTAATATTCTTAATTGACTTAGGGGATTATTAATAAATTCGATTTTTCTGTCTGCTATTTTTCATTCATATAATATTTTATATATGCAAAGCTTTAAAATAATAACTTTAGTTATTCAATATACAACTAGGAAACCAATCAGTATGGCTTCATTTTATTGTGGAAATGAGGGTAGAAAGGCTAGTAAATGTAGTGAAGGCTTCACAGACTGGAAGCTGAATTCTATGCTAATACAAAGTTATTCATATTCACCGTGGAACACATCATAATATTTGCATCTCTTACAATATTTAAAGCCTCTTGTATCTAATGTTTTCAGTTTTATCAAGCAAGCTGCTTATTCAGATTTTAGGGGGTTTTCAAAAGTGTAAGTATGACTTTGATTAAGATGAAAATATCCAGAATAACCATATTCTCATAAAATATAAAAAGGCAACTTTTTTATATTTATTAAACCCTTGGGATTTTTAAAATCTTCTGCTATGGTTCTGAAAACACTAATAGGTAAGATACTGCAGATTTAAAAATTTTTACTAGCAAAGGAAATGAATACTAATATATAATTTTCATTAAAAAATGGTTTAATCTGATAATTGAGACTTTTTAAAAAGTCTTGAAAATTATATTATTTATAGAAGAATATAACAAATTTATTTGTTTTGTTTCGGTTTTTTGGAGATGGAGCTTCACTCTTGTTGCCCAGGCTGGAGTGCAATGGCCCGATCTCCACTCACCGCAACCTCCAACTCCCAGGTTCAAGCAATTTTCCTGCCTCAGTCTCCCACGTAGCTGGGATTACAGGCATGTGCCACCACGCCTGGCTAATTTTGTATTTTTAGTAGACACGGGGTTTCTCCACGTTGGTCAGGCTGCTCTTGAACTCCCAACCCCAGGTGATCCACCCGCCTCGACCTCCCAAAGTGCTGCTATTACAGGCGTGAGCCACCGCACCCAGCCGAATATAACAAATATAAAGACTTTTAAGTTTCTTATTCTCACCAAATAATGTAATTTTCATTTTTCTTTTAAAATGCTTAGAAAAAATTCAGTCATTCCACTACTGACTCAATTTTTAAATACATATATTTAATAATGTATAACCCTCAAATCAGAAGGGTACCACAGACTGTCTCAGATGTGGTGTCTTTTTAGCATTTTTGGAATAAAGATTTTAGTAAAATCTTTAAAATAATACCATATAATATTACAGACCTGGTAGGGGTTATTCGGCTCTATGTGAACCCTTTTAGATGACTAAAGTCATAACAAAGGCCAATCAGATCTCTTTTGCAATCATTCTTTAAGTCTAAAAAGAAAGCTTTAATGCCTTCTCCAAATTTTCTCCTTCATGAATTTTAATGCATCAAGCCCATGACGCAAATTTGGAATAAGTTTCTTACAAAACAGTTACAAACTTCTTGCAATTTATTGAACTAGAAAAGTAGTTTTATTGTATGTATTCTCTCATTTAGTTTTTATAGTGACTCTATGAGGCATAAATGACTATTATCCGCATCTTATCGATGAGGAGAGGAAAGCCTAAGTGAGTTAAACAACTTCTCCTGGTTATAGTTTGTAATGGTGGAAGTAGAAGACGGTTTGACTGAAGAGCTCTATTCTTAACCACTATGCTGTATCATATTAGTTGAAACAATGACATATCACAGATTTTATAGCTTAAAACCAATTAAGGCTGTGACTCTATTACTACTTTATTACTTAATTATAAATAAGTGATATTCCAAATTACTTAAGAAACTTTTGGATTAGAGAAAAAACGCTGGTATTATTATTATCATATATAGTTCAAAAAGTAGTATACAGCAGTGTAATCACTGAAGTATGAAATAAAATAACTCTAAAGAAGTTATGAGTTTTCTGTTGGCGATTATTAATGTATTTGCTTTTGGTGGTCACTGCTCTTACATTAAAAATAACTCACAGATCTGCTCATGCCTCTAATCCAGCACTTTGGGAGGCCAATGCGGGAGGATTCCTTGAGCCCAGGAGTTTGAGACCAGCCTGGGCAACACAGTGAGACCCCCATCTCTAGAAACTTTAAAAAAAAAAAAAGATTAGCCAGGTGTGGTGGTACTTGACTGTAGTCCCAGCTACTAGGGAGACTGAGGTAGGAGGATCGTTTGAGCCCAGGAGGCTGATGCCTCACAGAGACTTGATCATGTCACTGCATTCCAGGCTGGGTGACAGGGTGAGACCCTTTCTCAAAACAAAACAAAATAACAACAGCATAGGCCTTATTTTTAGAAAATCTTAAGGAAATTAAAAAGGATGATACCTATTTAGATTAAACAAATGAAATGAAAGAAAACAATATTTAAAACAGTCCAATATAATTAACAATCAGAAATTCTGCCAAAGAGTATATACTGTCCTCACAAAAAGTTTTGCTCTCCATAATCAACCAGAATAAAGAATACCAGAATGATGACACAAGGTCCAAAGATTTTTTTTTTTTTAGACAGTAGTTCCTAGTTTCTTGGGGATGAAATGCTATATTTTGATTTATGTTTCCTTTAAATGACCATGTTATTTTTTTCCTGAGCAAAAATATTTCCCAAGCTAGTCCTATGTGTGGCAAGCTCAATTTAAAGCTACAGTGAAACCAGTGGTGGCAGGTCTACAGTATGGTCACTGGAGAAAACACATGCTAGGTGCTACGTACCTTCGCAGGACAGGCCATGGGAGGTGACTCCAGAAAGACTCTCTCTGCACACGTTACAGAAGGTGGGCCGGGCGTGGGAGCAGGCGTACCAGTTGTGCATCCCTGAGAAATGTTCCACATTAAACTGGGCCACCTAGAAAAGAGATGTGAGGACAGATGTGCCAAGCCAGCGAACAAGGCTACAGATGCTGAACTCTTTGGAATGCGTATAGTTATGGTCAAATTTTCAAATCCATCATTTTTAAAACCAAAGCCCTTTGCTTTAAGCTAAGAATTTCAAAATCTGGTTTAAACAAGTTGCTAAATGAGTGTACACATACTCATGTTTGCACAGTAAAGCTCTAGCCCTTTGGTTAACATTTATTTCCCAAGAACACGAGACGAAAGAAAAGATGCTATTTTACCTCGTAGGGTTCTCTGGTCTGTACAGACTTCAGTGAGCTGATCCAATCCTCCATCTCCTTTCTGTTCTCAGCACACAGCATTAGCCTTCTGAATGGAGTGATGATCTGAAAGGGATAATTCAATCTAATGATTGTTAACACCCAAAGAGAAAGATTGTTGCAAAACCTGACACCTTCTGAGGTAATTCCATTTCTAACCTGAGTCTTTATTTCTTATGTTTTTGTCCTCTGTATGATAAAAATAATGTGGTCTAGGAAAGAAAAAGCCTAAGGAGTTTTTCCATCTTTGACCCTTTTGCTACTTACTTGGGCTCTGTAGCCCTTTTTTCTAAGGCTATAAACCCAAAGACACAATGCATTCTTATTCCATGAAATATATCTTGCAAACTGATTTTAAATATACTTCAAAATAATTCATAGTAAGCCTAGCAGGCATACATAGTTTTCAATATGGAAAATATTTTTAAATTAAAAATCAAAGAAATGTAATATTAAATGATTTCTTAATTATTTTAGTTTTCAATATGGAAAATATTTGTAAATTAAAAATCAAAGGAATGTAATATTAAACGATTTCTTTTTTTTTTTTTTTTTTTTTTTTTAGTAGAGGCAGGGTTTCACCATGTTGGCCAGGATGGTCTGGATCTCTTGACCTCGTGATCTGCCCACCTCGGCCTCTCAGAGTGCTGGGATTACAGCTGTGAGCCACCGTGCCTGGCCACCTAATTGATTTATTATGGTATCAACAATATTCTGTTAATATTTAAATAATATTGAGTTTACATATCACTTCCACTGTCTATTTTAATGATTTATGAAGATTCTTCCCCCATTGTGTAGAACTCCACTGTACTAGTATTTAGTGAGAGCAGGGACAAAGAATTAACATAAACACCCTTTTGTTGGCTTTAGGGAAGAAAAGAATTGCGATTTTTATCTTTTTTCATGTCATTAAAAAGGCAACTTAATTACATTAAGGACCTTAAAGCAAGTGGAATGAAAACTTCACACTGTCATAGGATCAAAGTGCTTCAAAGTAAGATTCTGAAATGACTTGAAAGAAGCCCCTATTTATTTGTGAATACAATATTCTGGCTGTAATCCTGAAGTTACTAAATCCTACACATTTGCTGTCAAGAAGAGATCATTTATTTACTTGCAGAACAAGAGAAAAATGTTGCATTCCTACCTGGAAACTATTTCCAAAGAATAAAGCACATATCTATTTATATAGCAAATAAGAATTTTTCTCAAGTTAAAAGCCTCTTGATCAAGTGATAAGTCTAAACGTTACATTGGATTATTGAGCAGATTTCACAAGTAATGAAAGAGCAATAATCTTCTAAAACAAACAAACAAACAAACAAAATGAATCCTTCCCAAAAGGAGTAAACTAGTAAGCCTAAATCATTACTATTCATCTTGGAAAATAAGTCCATTATTCAAAACAACAGAGAGATCAATCCAGTCTTAGCTACTCACGAGTCACTGCCGCCTCTCATTTATCATGGGTTCAGGCTACAGAGTCCTTCCTTAAACCCAGAAGCTTTAAACACATCTAACAGGCACTCACCCTTAAATACAGCCAGCCAAAAGTCACATGGAAGAGGAGCACCAATCAGTCAGCTCTGGATATTTGTTAATTGCATATGAAATTGAAGAGAACCTCACTTTTGCATTTTCTTGTTTTCCACGACCCTCTTTGGATAAAGCTTATTAACAGTTGGTCACTTCTCTTCCTGAATAAATAGTTAATGCAAAGAACAATGCCTCTCATTACTTAAGAGCCAAATGGATGCTTTATTGCTTCAAAATGTTTTTCTAGGACAGCTCGTGAGATGCAGCAGAGAGGTACCATTAAATCATAATATACTCCTGGCTCTAATGACTGGCACAGCATTTCAGAGTCTCCAAGTTTCATTGGACTCGCTGATGTTTTCTGAATAAATATTGTCTCTAGCATTTATTGTATTTATTTTTTGCTACCTTATATGATGTAACTCTAAGGATTCCCTCTTCTTCCCTTATATGAGATAAAGTATCATGAGACAAGCATTATTCAGACAAATAAACCAGGCTTGCTATTTTGTTCTTTAACTGTTCTTTGCTGAATTCTAAGTAAAGCATGATGACTAATGGTTTTAACTGTCTTTAGTGCCTTTACATTAAATGTCTCGTAAAGTCATTGTAAATTCAAGAAAAAGGGGAGAAAGAAGGATAAAGAATAGCTTCTAATTTTTCTTTGCATATTTGGAATTACACAAATGCCTCAATTCTAAATGATTTCAGCAATATAAATCATGTGTGCTTATATACTAATAAAGTAAAATGTACACATTTGCAATTTCTCCTTTTCAATAAAAACTTGTTTTAAAGTGAACAGTAATAAGCAAGGAAAGATCATTAACACATTTAATACAGTTAAGTTTTCCAGAGGCAAAACAAATTGGAAAGTTATTTTCATTTACAGCCCTTGTGATTAAGAAATCTACTGATTATAAAGTGACATTATAAGAAGTCAGTATGAAAAAGAAATCATACTGGCTTTGTGGCCACAGTGCCACAAATACCTCAGTGAGCAGCCCAGAGTTGTCTGGGCTTACTAGACGAGCCTGGCTCACCAACAAACCCGCTAACGCCTCCCAGATGGACCTTTTCCCTCCTGGGGTAATCCCTCGGCAGTCCTTCAATACTCTAGTCCCCTCCCACCTTTTATTTACATTCTTCCTCATCCCAGACCTTCCTAGGAAAGGATGGGACAGATGCAGCTGTTGACCGACAGGCTCTGGTTATCCCTAGCTGAAATGCATTACACTGCAGCAGCTTCTCATCGAAATCTTTATTAGGAAGATAACCGGGGAGGAGCAAACTCCAAAATGTATTATTATGTCCTTATTTTGAGAATAAGATGTCCTACAAGTGAGTAGGATAGGGGAGATAGAAGGATAGGACGCAATCCCTCCACCATACTTGGCGGAGGGGTTATTCACCAGCGAAAACCAGGCCTGGTGGGGAGGACAGGTCCAGGACGTTTCTGGAACTAGAAGACGTTTTACTTGTCCTGGAAGAGCTGAAGCTCACCTATCCCAGAATGTCTCCGAGTCTTTGTGCTTACCTCAACCCCACTCTAACTGCCTCTCCTACCACCATCATATTTACCAATCATTTTTTTCAGACAAATCTGAATTTACTTCAGTAATTTTTTCAAACTATAACCACCAGTCCCACATCAGATTCTGGGGTACATCTGCCTGTCTGTTCATCCATTCAAGCATTTATTGAGCATGTACTGCCTGCCAGGGCCAGGGATAAAAACCACGTGGGATTTGCTTTAAAGAGTCTACAAGGAAGATAAGAAGTAAACCAAGGATTACTTTGCCTGAAAAAGTACTAGAGAAGATAGGGTCCAAAGGACAGACATCTAAATCAGTTCCCTAATTGCTAACTCAAATAATATACAAACTCTCCATTAATAGAAATATTGCCCCACCTTGGGAGTTACTGACCTGTAAGGATGAGCCAACGACACTATTATGTAAGAGTCAAAAATTTCTCAGTCTGACAATGCATATAAATGCATAAAACAGACAAAAAAAATTTGGCATTAAATATAAAAATCTATAGAAGAGTAACATTGTAGTTAAGATGTCAAATATATAAAGGTGTGCAGGCTTAAAAAAAAAAAAAAAAAAAAACCCATACATAGATACTGCATACTAAAACCCATACTATAAATACTGCACTGCTATCTTTCAGTGAAGGAATGACAGATAATTTTAATCATAATTTTTTTTTGTCTGTGGTTTTGTTTTGTTTTTTGAGATAGGGTCTTGCTCTGCTGCCCAGGCTGGAGTATAGTGGCTCGATCACACCTCATTGCAGCCTCGACCTCCTGTGCTCAAGCGATACTCCCACTTCAGTCTCCCAAGTAGCTGGGACCACAGGTATGTGCCACCACACCCAGCTAATTTATGTTTAGTTTTGTAATGACAAGGTCTCCCTACGTTGCCCAGGCTGGTCTCAAACTCCTGGCTTAAAGCCATCCTCTAGCCTCAGCCTCCGAAAGTGCTGGGATCAACAGGTGTAAGCCACCAAGCCCAGCCTTTCTGTAGTGTCTAAATCAAATATGCACTACTTCTGTAATAAAAACTTTACTTAATTTTTTACTAACAGAAAGATGAGAATTTAGAATTCAAAAATTTGCATTGTTCCAAAATAGGAACATCTGGAGTTTTTAAAAAATCCCCAGGTCTATGCTACACTCCATGAACACAGAACATCTGAGGGTGAGACCCCAGTATTTTGGGGGACTGGGTGCAGTGGTTCATGCCTGTAATCACAGCACTCTGGGAGATTAAGGCAGGCAGATCGCTTGAGATAAGGAGTTTGAGGCCCAATATTTTTTTGGAAACTCAGGTAATTTCCAAAGCATGGCCAAGTTTGAGACCTAGTGTCTAAAGATATTTTATTGTTCCCCCCAACAACGTTATAACTTAATGAAAGAAGTTTCTAAAGAGAAATGAATTAGAGGGAGCTGTTAATTCTCAGTTGGAAAAAACTAATATAAAAGCACAATCTAACTCTGTCTCTAAACTTTAGAGTCAGGCCGGGTGGGGTGGCTCACCCCTGTAATCCCAGCACTTTGGGAGGCTGAGGTGGGCGGATCGTCTGAAGTCAGGAGTTCAAGATCAGCCTGGCCAATATAATGAAACCACATCTCAAATTAAACAAACAAACAAACAAACAAACAAAAAAATATATATATATGCGCGCCGGGTATGGTAGCATACACCTGTAGTCCCTGCTACTCAGGAACTTGAGGCAGGCGAATCACTTGAACCTGGGAGGTGGAGGTTGCAGTGAGCCGAGATTGTGCCACTGCACTCCAGCCTGGGTAACAGAGCGAGACTGTCTCAACAACAACCACCACCACCACCACCACAACAACAAACTTTGGAGTCACACTGACCCACCCTGAATCCCAGCAACATCCCTTCTTACCTGTCTGGCTGTGGACACATTTCCTGAGCTCCCTAAGCATGTCCGTCCTCTGCTAAGAAGGGACAGAGCAGTAACTCACAGTAACTCTGCAGCGTCAGCTGTGG